CCGCCCCATGTGCCGTGCCGTGCGGCATGCAAACCATTTTGCTTAGAACATTTTGATTCACAAGAACAACTAAGAACAATCTTCCTTCTAACCGTTACACTTCAGATTCACGTTGCTCCTGTTCTCTAAGGAATGAGGTCGTTTGTAATTGCAGCGTTTAAGAGAAATGCCATACATGCCCATACACGCCCGCACGTCCTTTGGCCGACACCAACTGTTGGGATTGCGTGTAAACATTTTTTAGCACAAAAGAATTCCTGGTTCGACATTTACGTTGAAAGTGAATTTGGAATGTACTGATGCTAGTTATACCCTTTACTTTCAGCTAGGAATTTAAACTTAATAGGAGCGCTTGTTAAAAATATTTATTATTGAATTGAGTTAAAACTCCATATTAGCTTTTTATCTCTTAAAACAATGCGAACGTAGTTCAACGCATGATTAAATATTTTTAGCTTTTGATTTTGGTTTTATATTTAATCTTTCCAACTTCTTTCATTTGCCTGTAACACTGCTTATTTTAATGTGTGGTTCTACATACATATACATATTTACTATACTGGCACTATAAAAAATATTTATCTAAACAATTATAGTTTATTAAAACACGGTCGGACAGACCTAAGATAACCTGGCGACGGACCATCCTTCTGCAATTATCCCTGAAGAACATCACATGGGACACAGCTAGAAATATAGTTAGATGTAAAGTTCTTGTAGAAGCCCAAGTGGAGAAAAAGGAATTTAAAAAACCCGGTCTAGAGAATTTGCAAAGAAATACTTATACTGCATACCTATTTTAGATATAAGATATTTGTAACTTTTTAAGCTACAAACGTACATCAATATATGTAAAACAAAGTCGGGTTTGTTCGAACACTTATAAGTCGAGATCGGCTGGACCAATTTTAATGGTTTTTGATTTTTTGTATTTGGCATTTTTCAACCGATGGCAAATGAAAAAATTAATTAATTAATTAAAAGTCAAATCGATTGGTCTTACTGTAATTAGGCTTCACGAGGAGCAATCGTAGAGCTAACATACGATTGCACTATTGACTACAGCTCGCATCCAAGGGCGTAGCCAGCTTTTACCAAAGGGGGGCGCCAAAAATTTAAAATTTTGATTAAATAATGCCCGATGTATTTAAAAAATAATTTATGCATATGATCAATGAAAAAACTTCAACAAATCCAACGCAGATCCATCTTAAGGCGAAATAGTGCGTCATAATAATGAACGTGTGGTCGACTTTATATGGAAAAAATTTTTCTAGAGGGGGGGCAACGGCCTCCCCCTGCCTACGCCCTTGCTCGCATCCTTTCCTTCCATTGGTCTAATGGACGTAGTTTTTAAGCATTGTGCAGCATTGGCTCTTTTCAAATGTTTAATTCATTTAAGTCATGAACTCAAAACCAGCAGGCTACCCGAGCGAAGCAGGGGCGGGCCACTAGTATGTACATATATTAGTTATGAACTAAATCTATTTATATAACCATGTTATTCGCATTTTACTTCATTTTTGATTTACAGATGCTATAATCTTACAAATTCACCTCTAATTTCATAACATATGCTGGTGTTCCGCTTAAAATTCGACATATCAAAAGCTTCAAACTTAAAAATCATCTTATAGCGTCCGCCGAAATTGGATCGCATGTTAGTTATCACCACTCTTATAGGGAATGGTTCATGAACCAGGACGGTCTGTAACGCAGAGCATTAATCACATATATATCTAATGACGACCAAATATCTTACGCCAGGAGTATTAAGGCACTTCTTTTCTACGTCTTTTCGGTTGGTAATAAACTGAGTCCAAAATTTATACCAATACTGGTCTTTGCCGTACAACAAGCCACAGAAATTTGGATGACTCATACTAAAAACAGTGGGTTCCCAAGCTCCTCGTGCAAAGTGGAGCACAGATAGTGACGCCTGAAAGAATTATTGAAAATTGTTTATCAAAAATTTAACTGGTCCTCAAAATTTACGGCAACACGATCGCCAGGTTGCACATCCCAGATGGTGGTTACATTGCCCTTCACATGGACTTTTTCTTCAACTTGTGTTATTGTTAAGTGCTCAAAATCAAATAATCCATATATATCCAATGTACCGGGTGGGGCATCTGAACATTCGTTGAATACTTCTGGATCCTCCAGGATAAATTCGTAGTCTACTGCGAGCACATTAATAGAAGCTATTCCTAATAGCAGCAATGTCCCTACACACACCCACATTTTCGGGTGCTTGGAAAAAACTAACAATTGGAGCAGTTAAGTTCGGGCTTCGCTTTTATATACCATAGTCACTATTAATTATCACGTAATTAATCAGAAAGCATGTATATATGTATGTAATTAAATTAAATTGCAAACAAGCTTCGGAATAACGTAATTTCCGATGGCATCTACTACTTGTATATTATTAAAATATTTTCGTTTAAAAGCTAATTCAAAATTCGGGCGATTCAGTTAATATTGAATGTACATATGTATGCTGATTCTACAAATAATTGTATAACCGTTTCTAGATATCCTACTGGAGTAGTGTGACAAAAATAGTAAAGAACTAAAGTGGAATTAGGTCGATCAATGCACTTGTGTGCTGATTTTCGAGAGTAAAAACATTCTGCGTACTTTTTTATACCCTGTACCCGTAGGGTAAAAAGGGTATATTAGGTTTGTGCAAAGTATGTAACATGCAGAAGGAAGCATCTCCGACCCCATAAAGTATATATATTCTGAATCAGCATGACGAAAGAAATCGATCTAGACATGTCCGTCCGTCTGGATGAACGCAAGGATCTCAGAAACTATAAAAGCTATATATCCTGGTTATATGGCTATAACTTTGTTTATGATCAACTTATCATAATTGGTATACGTATATATAATCACTAACCTAATGTGACTACCAAATTTTAGTTCTAAATTCCAAGAATAACGGGAGTTATAGAAAATCTTGCAAAGGGGGGAATGGGGGGGGGTGCATCGGGAAAAATGAACAAACTCGTCCTTTCTCGGGCTCAGGAGCATCTGTATACCAAGTTTAGTTATTCTAGCTCTTATACTTTCTGAGATCCTTGCGTTCATACAGACAGACAGACGGACATGGCTATATCGACTCGGCTTGTCATGCTGATCAAGAATATATATACTTTGTGGGGTTTGCCACGCCTCCTTCTGTGTGTTTCATGTACACTCGCACAAAACTAAAATACCCTTGTACCCTTTGGGTAGAGGGTATAAAAAGTCAAATCGATTGGTCTTACTGTAATTAGGTTACGGAACATTGCGAACCAATTAACTGATAAAGAACGACAAATTTCACGATTGCATTATCCTTTCCTTTTATTGCTCTAATGGACGTAGTTTTTAAGCATTGTGCAGCATTGGCTCTTTTCAAATGTTGAAGTCATTTAAGTCATGAAATCAAAACCAGCATGCTACCCGTGCGAAGCAGGGGCGGGCCACTAGTATGTACATATATTAGTAATGAACTAAATGTATATAACCATGTTATTCCCATTTTACTTCATTTTTGATTTGCAAATGCTATAATCTTACAAATTCACCTCTAATTTCAAAACATATACTGGTGTTCCGCTTAAAATTGGGCATATCAAAAGCTTCAAACTTAAAAATCATCTTATAGCGTCCGCCCATAGTGGTGAATCGGATGTTAGTTATCACCACTTTTATAGCGAATGGTTCATAAAGCAGGACGGTCTGTAAAGCAGAGCATTAATCACATATACATCTAATGACGACCAAATATCTTACGCCAGGAGTATTAAGGCACTTCTTTTCTACGTCTTTTCGGTTGGTAATAAACTGAGTCCAAAATTTATACCAATACTGGTCTTTGTCGTACATAATGCTACAGAAATTTGGAATACTCATACTAAAAACAGTGGGTTCAAAAGCTCCTCGTTCAAAGTGGTACAAAGATGCTGAGACCTGGAACGATTTTTGAAAATGGTGCGTCAAGAATCTAAGTAGTCCTCAAAATTTACCGCAACCCGATCTCCAGGTTGCACATCCCAAATGGTGGTTACATTGCCTTTCACATGGACAATTTCGTCAATTTGTGTTAATATTAAGTGTTCAAAATCAAATAATCCATATATATCCAATGTACCGGGTGGGGCATCTGAACATGCGTTGAATACTTCTGGATCATCCAGGATAAATTCGTAGTCTACTGCGAGCACATTAATAGAAGCTATTCCTAATAGCAGCAATGTCCCTACACACACCCACATTTTCGGGTGCTTGGAAAAAACAAACAATTGGAGCAGTTAAGTTCGGGCTTCACTTTTATATACCATATGTCACTATTAATTATCACGTAATTAATCAGAAAGCATGTATATATGTATGTAATTAAATTAAATTGCAAACAAGCTTCGGAATAACGTAATTTCCGATGGCATCTACTACTTGTATATTATTAAAATATTTTCGTTTAAAAGCTAATTCAAAATTCGGGCGATTCAGTTAATATTGAATGTACATATGTATGCTGATTCTACAAATAATTGTGTAACCGTTTCCAAAAATAGTAACGAACTAAAGTGAAATTAGGTCGATCAATGCACTTGTGTGCTGATTGTCGAGAGTAAAAACATTCTGCGTACTTTTTTGCTATAAAATTGAATGCTTTTAGATGGAAAACACTAATCGAGTCAAATTAATGGCGTACATCAAGTTGTTCCGTCAACAAACTAATATAAACTCATAATAACATATCAAGTTTGGTAAACATTTAAAAAACAAATCGTGCTTTAAGTGTTCAAAATGCATTTTCTATGAGGAGCCTGCGAATAAACTCTACTTTTGTACCCATTGGGGACCACTTAGCGGTTAATACGCTTGCTGTAAAATAGCTGTTCGTTCAACGGTAACTGCCGGTGGCGCTGCTGTTAAATAAAAAAGCTCATGCCTTAGCTTTCGTGCGGTTCAGTTCAGTTTACAATTGAAGTCGACTGCGAGCGGTCGTCGTGCCTCGTCGGGCTGTTAGTTATTACTGTTGTTGATTTTGTTTTTGTTTTTGCATACGTCGTGCGTGTCAGTTTTATACGTGTGTGAATTTAATTTACGTTAAAAAGAACACGAAGAAATAACAAACGCGATAAAGACAACTAAATTAAAAAGCTTATGTAATTTATGCGCGGTTTCTACCACAGAGAGCTGAAGGGAATTGTTTTGACAATTAAATACTCCAGATCTTGGCTTAAGTCAAGCATAAACCAGTTTTTCTTCGATGTACGTACATTTGCGCCTTTTTGTTTACTTTACTGTTTTTCAAGTGCTCGAGAATTGAGCAAGTGGTCAAAACCCCTTTCAGTGGACGCAGGAAAATTCGTGAGTTCAATAAACTCTATAGCCCGGATCACAGATAACCTGTGCAATTATTTTGCGGCTTGCTTAGTCCAAAAGTGCAAGAAATTGTTCGGGTATTAAATGCATTTCTGATAAGCTGTCGCCGTCGCTACGAGCGCTTTAATTACCGTTAAAACAAAGAGAGTGGAAGACAGAGAGACACTAAGAATTGAAAACAACCACATGTTGAGTCGAAGCTCGTGCAATTCTCAAATGAATAAATATACTATACAAACCTATCTCGTTATTGTATACAAACAAACACATTCCGGCCGAAATAGTTAGACAAAACACTTGGCCAGAAACAACTCCAATCAACGCTGAGCGTGCGCCACAACCAACCGCGCGTAGATAAAGCGAGTGCGAATGACCTTGAGGGAGTGAGTGTGTGCGCGTGTGTGTGTGTGTGTTGATAAAATATACAAAGCAAGTCAGACAATAACATTGACATCCAGCCAGCAATTTTTCAAAGTCCAAAGAGCAATAACACACGCACATAAGTGGCAGCTTCAGCCTCCCAACCGCCCCCATTTGCATGGCCACTAGCGTCATACATCCCGTTGTCTCAACTTCAGCCGGTCGCTGCAGCCCCTGCGATCCCTTGACCACGCCTATTCCCAAAACGCTTTCGAGCGGAGACAAGAGTTCGTGCAGCACGACGAGCTGCGCTTGCCTGGACTGTCACAAACAGAGCCCAAACCGTTCACTACCGTTCCACTTCTACACCCACGCCCAGTGGACGGGCTCCACAGTTAAGGGCAGCTGCTCCAACTCGATTGGTGGCGACGGCGACGGTGACGGCGACAACAATAGCTGGCCTGAGGAGCACAAGCATCGACCGCTGAGCGCCGATTCATTGGGTATACTTGGTGCCAAAAAGTCGCCCATATTTGGACGCCGGCTGAAGCAACAGAAGCCATCAACTTTGGTGCCCCAAGAACAAGAGTTCTTCTCGTTACGCAGTTTGGCGCCAATCTACACGGAGCGGAAGCCACAAATCGATCTCAGCGCTGTGGAGGCTGCAGCAACAAACATGCCGGGGGCACGTACAAATATGGACATCAATCGGAATAATGGTTATCTGCATAATGGGGTGAGTATTGTGTCTACCCAGTTTTGTTTATCAGCCATCAAAAGTTTTTGAAATCATCATACAAACACAAATATATAGTTATCTTCGTATATATATACATACTATGTACGTATGTATGTTTGTACTTGTACAATATCTGCTACGGCAACATATGTGGCAAATGTATATTGCAGAATGCTCCAAAATGCTAAAAACTGAGTTTTGCTGTGTCAGCTTTGTTTGTTGTGGTTTTTGTACAGTAAGCTTAAGCTATTCAGCATACAAGTCATCAACACAATCCTTAAATTCTGAAATGGAGGCGAATTTTCATATGTAATTTGTTTTACTTTAGTCAAAATGTTGTGCCGGTCCCAATACAAATAAATAAATAATCTTTGATATTAAAACCCAGGAAATTGCCATAACTCTACTGCACTATATAGTACATGCATTAAAAAAATAGTTTATCCTTTCATGAACCTTTGGAAACAGGGACAATTATTGAAACGTTAGACTCGCGCGAGTACGGCTCTATATAATATGATAAAGAACTCTTAAATACCAATAATGTTTACGGTATTGAAATAAAGCAAAAAAATTTCCGTTACGTCACTTTAGTCTTATGATATATATACTCTTAACATGAGCCTGCCACGCCTTTGACTGCCTGTTTTACTCACATTCTGACACCTTAATTTACTAGATATCATTTTCTCTGTCACGCAAGTCATCAATATTTGAACGATCAAATAAATAGTTTGCCAATTACAAAAAGAGCTTTGTTTAGCTGCAAAAGTTAATCTCTTATTGATTCATTGTAGCAAAAAGCATTTATTGTCTGGCTCAAATGCCCCTAAAAATACTATTCAATTATTATGAAATCAAAATATGTACCTAACTATAATTACTGCTATGAGATTTATTGCAAAATCGAGCTATATTTCATGAAAACCAGAGTGTTATGCATCGTAGTAACCTTTAAGTATACCAGGGTTTCTTACCTATGTGTAAAACGTCTATTATCAGGCATAATTAAGTCTTAGCTAGTAAAGCCAAGTTTCGTAATTAAATAGAAATTAATGCTATAAATTCAAGCTGGCCTAAAACAATGTCACGCACTGTCTACCCAAATATACATACATACGCACACACACACAGGGCTATTGGTGAGGGCCCCAATTCAAGATAGGCTTCACCTACTCGTGTGTGAAATTTCACTTTCATATGCGGAACATTGACAGCGCGTCACACTCACATATTTACATGTAAGTATACATATACATACATATATGTATGTATGTGTATGGACATTCCACAGTAGCGTCAACGCCAATGAGGCATGAGCCGCGTGCGGCGATGTGGGTGAATGTGGGCTCGGGTGCGGGTATGAGACGACACTTAAACGATTGCTACTTAGATATTGTTATTGGGGTAACGTTATAAAGCTGCGGACAAAGCTGACAACTGCCAATCTGGCTATTGACGTTTCGATATGGACGACGTCACGTTTTAAGGTCAATTAAACGGGCACAATATTGTAGCAGACGCTTTAATTAATTGCAATGTAATTGAATTAAAGTATGTTACTATATATACATATAGTACCTATTCATATTGATGAATCACAATAGTGTCAACACTATACAATACTTTTGGCACAACCTAATCATTCCAACCCTTTTTAATGGTGACTCGACTCAACAGAGCTCGGCAATAGGCAAAAAAATTGATTAGATAAGAGTTTAATACCTGTGCATCAATGTATGGTATTTCATTGTATATATGGATCTTATTCACACCTTTAAGTATATGTGCATACTTACATACTTATGTATGTAAATTCGAAATATAGTATTTGTATATGTGCGCTTAGTTTTTGATGTAATCTGTCAACATTTCGCGCGCATCGTTTCACAAGCCAATGTACTTTTTCTTTCCATGTGCCTAATGAGTGGCCTGCATTATTATTATTGTTGTTGTTGTTATTGCATTAACATGACAATTGCATGTGGAGCTGATAAATGCATGCGATGCTATAGATCTGATCAGTTCATACTCTTACTATGTATGTACGAGCGTTAAGAGAATTTTGTGATTCATTTGAGATGAATATTTGTTTATACATGAGTGCATACATTATATCTTGAACTTGAGAAGGTCGCATTAAGGCGCTACTCTAAGATTGCAACATTGTATCAGACACGTCTACTACTCATAAAGGCTCGTGAGAAACTTAGCGGAAAATCCCAGGTGCATGCAAACAAAAAGCCAGCAGGTGTGAAAACCATAAAAGTAGTAAATATAAGTATGAAAGTAGTTTATATTATAAACGTAAGCTAGCGGCAAAATCTTTCTTTAAAAAAGATTAGATTATTCAGTTAATGAAGTGAGAAATTTCGGAACGCTCCTTAAAGTATGCAACATCTTTGGCTTCAATTTATTGGTTTGCAATGCACATAAGCGATAAAACGTACTATACTTGTACTACAAGTATGTACGCACGATTGCGCCAACATGCAAACCTAGATTTGAAATGTTTTTGCAAATTTGAAGTTGCGCCGTCACGCCCCCTATTATTATTTTCTGCCCCATGTGCCGTGCCATGCGGCATGCAAACCATTTTGCTTAGAACATTTTGATTCACAAGAACAACTAAGAACAAACTTCCTTCTAACCGTTACACTTCAGCGCCACGTTGCTCCTGTTCTCTAAGGAATGAGGTCGTTTGTAATTGCAGCGTTTAAGAGAAATGCCATACATGCCCATACACGCCCGCACGTCCTTTGGCCGACACCAACTGTTGGGATTGCGTGTAAACATTTTTTAGCACAAAAGAATTCCTGGTTCGACATTTACGTTGAAAGTGAATTTGGAATGTACTGATGCTAGTTATACCCTTTACTTTCAGCTAGGAATTTAAACTTAATAGGAGCGCTTGTTAAAAATATTTATTATTGAATTGAGTTAAAACTCCATATTAGCTTTTTATCTCTTAAAACAATACGAACGTAGTTCAACGCATGATTAAATATTTTTAGCTTTTGATTTTGGTTTTATATTTAATCTTTCCAACTTCTTTCATTTGCCTGTAACACTGCTGATTTTAATGTGTGGTTCTACATACATATACATATTTACTATTCTGGCACTATAAAAAATATTTATCTAAACAATTATAGTTTATTAAAACACGGTCGGACAGACCTAAGATAACCTGGGGACGGATCACCCTTCTGCAATTATCCCTGAAGAACACCACATGGGACACAGCTAGAAATATAGTTAGATGTAAAGTTCTTGTAGAAGCCCTAAGCTCCCAAGTGGAGAAAAAGGAATTTAAAAAACCCGGTCTAGAGAATTTGCAAAGAAATACTCTTACTGCATACCTATTTTAGATATAAGATATTTGTAACTTTTTAAGCTACAAACGTACATCTATATATGTAAAACAAAGTCGGGTTTGTTCGAACACTTATAAGTCGAGATCGGCTGGACCAATTTTAATGGTTTTTGATTTTTTGTATTTGGCATTTTTCAACCAATGGCAAATGAAGAAATTAATTAATTAATTAAAAGTCAAATCGATTGGTCTTACTGTAATTAGGTTTCACGAGGAGAAATCGTAGAGCTAACATACGATTGCACTATTGACTACAGCTCGCATCCAAGGGCGTAGCCAGCTTTTACCAAAGGGGGGGCCAAAAATTTAAAATTTTGATTAAACATTATTTAATGTATTTAAAAAATAATTTATGCATATGATCAATGAAAAAACTTCAACAAATCCAACGCAGATCCATCTTAAGGCGAAATAGTGCGTCATAATAATGAACGTGCGGTCGACTTTATATGGAAAAAATTTTTCTAGGGGGGGGGGGGGGGGGGGGGGGGGGTCAACGGCCTCCCTGTCCTTTCCTTCCATTGGTCTAATGGACGTAGTTTTTAAGCATTGTGCAGCATTGGCTCTTTTCAAATGTTTAATTCATTTAAGTCATGAACTCAAAACCAGCAGGCTACCCGAGCGAAGCAGGGGCGGGCCACTAGTATGTACATATATTAGTTATGAACTAAATCTATTTATATAACCATGTTATTCGCATTTTACTTCATTTTTGATTTACAGATGCTATAATCTTACAAATTCACCTCTAATTTCATAACATATGCTGGTGTTCCGCTTAAAATTCGACATATCAAAAGCTTCAAACTTAAAAATCATCTTATAGCGTCCGCCGAAATTGGATCGCATGTTAGTTATCACCACTCTTATAGGGAATGGTTCATGAACCAGGACGGTCTGTAACGCAGAGCATTAATCACATATATATCTAATGACGACCAAATATCTTACGCCAGGAGTATTAAGGCACTTCTTTTCTACGTCTTTTCGGTTGGTAATAAACTGAGTCCAAAATTTATACCAATACTGGTCTTTGCCGTACAACAAGCCACAGAAATCTGGATGACTCATACTAAAAACAGTGGGTTCCCAAGCTCCTCGTGCAAAGTGGAGCACAGATAGTGATGCCTGAAAGAATTATTGAAAATTGTTTATCAAAAATTTAACTGGTCCTCAAAATTTACGGCAACACGATCGCCAGGTTGCACATCCCAGATGGTGGTTACATTGCCCTTCACATGGACTTTTTCTTCAACTTGTGTTATTGTTAAGTGCTCAAAATCAAATAATCCATATATATCCAATGTACCGGGTGGGGCATCTGAACATTCGTTGAATACTTCTGGATCCTCCAGGATAAATTCGTAGTCTACTGCGAGCACATTAATAGAAGCTATTCCTAATAGCAGCAATGTCCCTACACACACCCACATTTTCGGGTGCTTGGAAAAAACTAACAATTGGAGCAGTTAAGTTCGGGCTTCGCTTTTATATACCATAGTCACCATTAATTATCACGTAATTAATCAGAAAGCATGTTTATTATGTATGTAATTAAATTAAATTGCAAACAAGCTTCGGAATAACGTAATTTCCGATGTCATCTACTATATTATTAAAATATTTTCGTTTAAAAGCTAATTCAAAATTCGGGCGATTCAGTTAATATTGAATGTACATATGTATGCTGATTCTACAAATAATTGTATAACCGTTTCTAGATATCCTACTGTAGTAGTGTGACAAAAATAGTAATAGTGATTGTCGAGAGTAAAAACATTCTGCGTACTTTTGTATACCCTGTACCCGTAGGGTAAAAAGGGTATATCAGGTTTGTGCAAAGTATGTAACATGCAGAAGGAAGCATCTCCGACCCCATAAAGTATATATATTCTGAATCAGCATGACGAAAGAAATCGATCTAGACATGTCCATCCGTCTGTCCGTCTGGATGAACGCAAGGATCTCAGAAACTATAAAAGCTATATAGCCTGGTTATATGGCTATAACTTTCTTTATGATCAACCTATCATAATGAAACTTGGTATACGGATATTTAATCACTAACTGGATGTGTCACCCAAATTTTAGTTCAAAATTCCAAGAATTACGGGATTTATAAGAAATCTTGCAAAAGGGGGGAGTGGGGGGGTGCATCGGGAAAAATGAACAAACTCGTCCTTTCTCGGGCTCAGGAGCATCTGTATACCAAGTTTAGTTATTCTAGCTCTTATACTTTCTGAGATCCTTGCGATCATACAGACAGACAGACGGACAGACAGACGGACATGGCTATATCGACTCGGCTTGTCATGCTGATCAAGAATATATATAGTTTGTGGGGTCTGCCACGCCTCCTTCTGTGTGTTTCATGTACACTCGCACAAAACTAAAATACCCTTGTACCCTTTGGGTAGAGGGTATAAAAAGTCAAATCGATTGGTCTTACTGTAATTAGGCTACGGAACATTGCGAGCCAATTAACTGATAAAGAACGACAAATTTCACGATTGCACTATCCTTTCCTTTCATTCTTTCCTACCATTCAGCATTGGCTCTTTTCAAATGTTGAAGTCATTTAAGTCATGAAATCAAAACCAGCATACTACCCGTGCGAAGCAGGGGTGGGCCACTAGTATGTACATATATTAGTAATGAACTAAATAAATTTAAATAACCATGTTATTCCCATTTTACTTCATTTTTGATTTACAAATGCTATAATCTTACAAATTCACCTCTAATTTCATAACATATGCTGGTGTTCCGCTTAAAATTCGACATATCAAAAGCTTCAAACTTAAAAATCATCTTATGGGTCAACGGCCTCCCTGTCCTTTCCTTCCATTGGTCTAATGGACGTAGTTTTTAAGCATTGTGCAGCATTGGCTCTTTTCAAATGTTTAATTCATTTAAGTCATGAACTCAAAACCAGCAGGCTACCCGAGCGAAGCAGGGGCGGGCCACTAGTATGTACATATATTAGTTATGAACTAAATCTATTTATATAACCATGTTATTCGCATTTTACTTCATTTTTGATTTACAGATGCTATAATCTTACAAATTCACCTCTAATTTCATAACATATGCTGGTGTTCCGCTTAAAATTCGACATATCAAAAGCTTCAAACTTAAAAATCATCTTATAGCGTCCGCCGAAATTGGATCGCATGTTAGTTATCACCACTCTTATAGGGAATGGTTCATGAACCAGGACGGTCTGTAACGCAGAGCATTAATCACATATATATCTAATGACGACCAAATATCTTACGCCAGGAGTATTAAGGCACTTCTTTTCTACGTCTTTTCGGTTGGTAATAAACTGAGTCCAAAATTTATACCAATACTGGTCTTTGCCGTACAACAAGCCACAGAAATCTGGATGACTCATACTAAAAACAGTGGGTTCCCAAGCTCCTCGTGCAAAGTGGAGCACAGATAGTGATGCCTGAAAGAATTATTGAAAATTGTTTATCAAAAATTTAACTGGTCCTCAAAATTTACGGCAACACGATCGCCAGGTTGCACATCCCAGATGGTGGTTACATTGCCCTTCACATGGACTTTTTCTTCAACTTGTGTTATTGTTAAGTGCTCAAAATCAAATAATCCATATATATCCAATGTACCGGGTGGGGCATCTGAACATTCGTTGAATACTTCTGGATCCTCCAGGATAAATTCGTAGTCTACTGCGAGCACATTAATAGAAGCTATTCCTAATAGCAGCAATGTCCCTACACACACCCACATTTTCGGGTGCTTGGAAAAAACTAACAATTGGAGCAGTTAAGTTCGGGCTTCGCTTTTATATACCATAGTCACCATTAATTATCACGTAATTAATCAGAAAGCATGTTTATTATGTATGTAATTAAATTAAATTGCAAACAAGCTTCGGAATAACGTAATTTCCGATGTCATCTACTATATTATTAAAATATTTTCGTTTAAAAGCTAATTCAAAATTCGGGCGATTCAGTTAATATTGAATGTACATATGTATGCTGATTCTACAAATAATTGTATAACCGTTTCTAGATATCCTACTGTAGTAGTGTGACAAAAATAGTAATAGTGATTGTCGAGAGTAAAAACATTCTGCGTACTTTTGTATACCCTGTACCCGTAGGGTAAAAAGGGTATATCAGGTTTGTGCAAAGTATGTAACATGCAGAAGGAAGCATCTCCGACCCCATAAAGTATATATATTCTGAATCAGCATGACGAAAGAAATCGATCTAGACATGTCCATCCGTCTGTCCGTCTGGATGAACGCAAGGATCTCAGAAACTATAAAAGCTATATAGCCTGGTTATATGGCTATAACTTTCTTTATGATCAACCTATCATAATGAAACTTGGTATACGGATATTTAATCACTAACTGGATGTGTCACCCAAATTTTAGTTCAAAATTCCAAGAATTACGGGATTTATAAGAAATCTTGCAAAAGGGGGAAGTGGGGGGCTGCATCGGGAAAAATGAACAAACTCGTCCTTTCTCGGGCTCAGGAGCATCTGTATACCAAGTTTAGTTATTCTAGCTCTTATACTTTCTGAGATCCTTGCGATCATACAGACAGACAGACGGACAGACAGACGGACATGGCTATATCGACTCGGCTTGTCATGCTGATCAAGAATATATATAGTTTGTGGGGTCTGCCACGCCTCCTTCTGTGTGTTTCATGTACACTCGCACAAAACTAAAATACCCTTGTACCCTTTGGGTAGAGGGTATAAAAAGTCAAATCGATTGGTCTTACTGTAATTAGGCTACGGAACATTGCGAGCCAATTAACTGATAAAGAACGACAAATTTCACGATTGCACTATCCTTTCCTTTCATTCTTTCCTACCATTCAGCATTGGCTCTTTTCAAATGTTGAAGTCATTTAAGTCATGAAATCAAAACCAGCATACTACCCGTGCGAAGCAGGGGTGGGCCACTAGTATGTACATATATTAGTAATGAACTAAATAAATTTAAATAACCATGTTATTCCCATTTTACTTCATTTTTGATTTACAAATGCTATAATCTTACAAATTCACCTCTAATTTCATAACATATGCTGGTGTTCCGCTTAAAATTCGACATATCAAAAGCTTCAAACTTAAAAATCATCTTATAGCGTCCGCTCATAGTGGTGAATCGGATGTTAGTTAACACCACTTTTATAGCGAATGGTTCATAAAGCAGGACGGTCTGTAAAGCAGAGCATTAATCACATATACATCTAATGACGACCAAATATCTTACGCCAGGAGTATTAAGGCACTTCTTTTCTACGTCTTTTCGGTTGGTAATAAACTGAGTCCAAAATTTATACCAATACTGGTCTTTGTCGTACATAATGCTACAGAAATTTGGAACACTCATACTAAAAACAGTGGGTTCCCAAACTCCTCGTGCAGAGTGAAGCATAGATAGTGATGCCTGAAAGAATTTTTGAAAATTGTTTATCAAAAATCTAACTGGTCCTCAAAATTTACGGCAACACGATCGCCAGGTTGCACATTCCAGATGGTGGTTACATTGCCTTTCACATGGACAATTTCGTCAACTTGTGTAAATGTTAAGTGCTCAAAATCAAATAATCCATTTATACCCAATGTACCGGGTGGGGCATCTGAACATTCGTTGAATACTTCTGGATCCTCCAGGATAAATTCGTAGTCTACTGCGAGCACATTAATAGAAGCTATTCCCAATAGCAGCAATGTCCCTACACACTCCCACATTTTCGGGTGCTTGGAAAAAACAAACAATTGGAGCAGTTAAGTTCGGGCTTCACTTTTATATACCATATGTCACTATTAATTATCACGTAATTAATCAGAAAGCATGTATATATGTATGTAATTAAATTAAATTGCAAACAAGCTTCGGAATAACGTAATTTCCGATGGCATCTACTACTTGTATATTATTAAAATATTTTCGTTTAAAAGCTAATTCAAAATTCGGGCGATTCAGTTAATATTGAATGTACATATGTATGCTGATTCTACAAATAATTGTGTAACCGTTTCCAAAAATAGTAACGAACTAAAGTGAAATAAGGTCGATCAATGCACTTGTGTGCTGATTGTCGAGAGTAAAAACATTCTGCGTACTTTTTTGCTATAAAATTTTATGCTTTTAGATGGAAAACACTAATCGAGTCAAATTAATGGCGTACATCAAGTTGTTCCGTCAACAAACTAATATAAACTCATAATAACATATCAAGTTTGGTAAACATTTAAAAAACAAATCGTGCTTTAAGTGTTCAAAATGCATTTTCTATGAGGAGCCTGCGAATAAACTCTACTTTTGTACCCATTGGGGACCACTTAGCGGTTAATACGCTTGCTGTAAAATAGCTGTTCGTTCAACGGTAACTGCCGCTGGCGCTGCTATTAAATAAAAAAGCTCATGCCTTAGCTTTCGTGCGGTTCAGTTCAGTTTACAATTGAAGTCGACTGCGAGCGGTCGTCGTGCCTCGTCGGGCTGTTAGTTATTACTGTTGTTGATTTTGTTTTTGTCGTGCGTGTCAGTTTTATACGTGTGTGAATTTAATTTACGTTAAAAAGAACACGAAGAAATAACAAACGCGATAAAGACAACTAAATTAAAAAGCTTATGTAATTTATGCGCGGTTTCTACCACAGAGAGCTCAAGGGAATTGTTTTGACAATTAAATACTCCAGATCTTGGCTTAAGTCAAGCATAAACCAGTTTTTCTTCGATGTATGTACGTACATTTGCGCCTTTTTGTTTACACTACTGTTTTTCAAGTGCTCGAGAATTGAGCAAGTGGTCAAAACCCCTTTCAGTGGACGCAGGAAAATTCGTGAGTTCAATAAACTCTATAGCCCGGATCACAGATAACCTGTGCAATTATTTTGCGGCTTGCTTAGTCCAAAAGTGCAAGAAATTGTTCGGGTATTAAATGCATTTCTGATAAGCTGTCGCCGTCGCTACGAGCGCTTTAATTACCGTTAAAACAAAGAGAGTGGAAGACAGAGAGACACTAAGAATTGAAAACAACCACATGTTGAGTCGAAGCTCGTGCAATTGTCAAATGAATAAATATACTATACAAACTTATCTCGTTATTGTATACAAACAAACACATTCCGGCTGAAATAGTTAGACAAAACATTTGGCCAGAAACAACTCCAATCAACGCTGAGCGTGCACCACAACCAACCGCGCATGGATAAAGCGAGTGCGAATGACCTTGAGGGAGTGAGTGTGTGCGCGTGTGTGTGTGTGTGTTGATAAAATATACAAAGCAAGTCAGACAATAACATTGACATCCAGCCAGCAATTTTTCAAAGTCCAAAGAGCAATAACACACGCACATAAGTGGCAGCTTCAGCCTCCCAACCGCCCCCATTTGCATGGCCACTAGCGTCATACATCCCGTTGTCTCAACTTCAGCCGGTCGCTGCAGCCCCTGCGATCCCTTGACCGCGCCTAGTCCCAAAACGCTTTCGAGCGGAGACAAGAGTTCGTGCAGCACGACGAGCTGCGCTTGCCTGGACTGTCACAAACAGAGGCCAAACCGTTCACTACCGTTCCACTTCTACACCCACGCCCAGTGGACGGGCTCCACAGTTAAGGGCAGCTGCTCCAACTCGATTGGTGGCGACGGCGACAACAATAGCTGGCCTGAGGAGCACAAGCATCGACCGCTGAGCGCCGATTCATTGGGTATACTTGGTGCCAAAAAGTCGCCCATATTTGGACGCCGGCTGAAGCAACAGAAGCCATCAACTTTGGTGCCCCAAGAACAAGAGTTCTTCTCGTTACGCAGTTTGGCGCCAATCTACACGGAGCGGAAGCCACAAATCGATCTCAGCGCTGTGGAGGCTGCAGCAACAAACATGCCGGGGGCACGTACAAATATGGACATCAATCGGAATAATGGTTATCTGCATAATGGGGTGAGTATTGTGTCTACCCAGTTTTGTTTATCAGCCATCAAAAGTTTTTGAAATCATCATACAAACACAAATATATAGTTATCTTCGTATATATATACATACTATGTACGTATGTATGTTTGTACTTGTACAATATCTGCTACGGCAACATATGTGGCAAATGTATATTGCAGAATGCTCCAAAATGCTAAAAACTGAGTTTTGCTGTGTCAGCTTTGTTTGTTGTGGTTTTTGTACAGTAAGCTTAAGCTATTCAGCATACAAGTCATCAACCAGCGGCCAGCTCTGCGACTTTATATTTATACATAAGAACTAAATACAATATAACGTACAGACATACGCACAATCCTTAAATTCTGAAATGGAGGCGAATTTTCATAAATAGTTTTGATGGGTCGCTTAAATTAACGACGTACAAGTAATTAAATATATCGATGATTGGCTCTTGTAGTGTAATTCCAAATGCCTTTCTGATCACGGCTTGCTGTTAGTCGGGACATATGTACATATACATAAGTAGTAATTTCCTCTGATCGGGACACAGAAGTTTTTTTATTTTTGTTTATATGTAATTTGTTTTACTTTAGTAAAAATGTTGTGCCGGTCCCAATACAAATAAATAATAATCTATTAAAACCCAGGAAATCGCCCTAACTCTACTGCGCTATATAGTACATGCATTAAAAAAATAGTTTATCCTTTCATGAACCTTTGGAAACAGGGACAATTATTGAAACGTTAGACTCGCGCGAGTACGGCTCTATATAATATGATAAAGAACTCTTAAATACCAATTATGTTTACGGTATTGAAATAAAGCAAAAAAATGTCCGTTACGTCACTTTAGTCTTATGATATATATACTCTTAACATGAGCCTGCCACGCCTCTGACTGCCTGTTTTACTCACATTCTGACACCTTAATTCACGAGCTATATTTCATGAAAACCCGAGTGTTATGCATCGTAGTAACCTTTAAGTATACCCGGGTTTCTTACCTATGTGTAAAACGTCTATTATCAGGCATAATTAAGTCTTAGCTAGTAAAGCCAAGTTTCGTAATTAAATAGAAATTACTTACGCATTGTTTTCACATTTATTACAACAACAATGCTATAAATTCAAGCTGGCCTAAAACAATGCCACGCACTGTCTACCCAAATATACATACATACGCACAGACACACAGGGCTATTGGTGAGGGCCCCAATTCAAGATAGGCTTCACCTACTCGTGTGTGAAATTTCACTTTCATATGCGGAACATTGACAGCGCGTCACACTCACATATTTACATGTAAGTATACATATACATACATATATGTATGTATGTGTATGGACATTCCACAGTAGCGTCAACGCCAATGAGGCATGAGCCGCGTGCGGCGATGTGGGTGGATGTGGGCTCGGGTGCGGGTATGAGACGACACTTAAACGATTGCTACTTAGATATTGTTATTGGGGTAACGTTATAAAGCTGCGGACAAAGCTGACAACTGCCAATCTGGCTATTGACGTTTCGATATGGACGACGTCACGTTTTAAGGTCAATTAAACGGGCACAATATTGTAGCAGACGCTTTAATTAATTGCAATGTAATTGAATTAAAGTATGTTACTATATATACATAAAGTACCTATTCATATTGATGAATCACAATAGTGTCAACACTATACAATACTTTTGGCACAACCTAATCATTCCAACCCTTTTTAATGGTGACTCGACTCAACAGAGCTCGGCAATAGGCAAAAAAATTGATTAGATAAGATTTTAATACATGTGCATCAATGTATGGTATTTCATTGCATATATGGATGTTACTCACACCTTTAAGTATATGTGCATACTTACATACTTATGTATGTAAATTCGAAATATAGTATTTGTATATGTGCGCTTAGTTTTTGATGTAATCTGTCAACATTTCGCGCGCATCGTTTCACAAGCCAATGTACTTTTTCTTTCCATGCGCCTAATGAGTGGCCTGCATTATTATTATTGTTGTTGTTGTTATTGCATTAACATGACAATTGCATGTGGAGCTGATAAATGCATGCGATGCTATAGATCTGATCAGTTCATACTCTTACTATGTATGTACGAGCGTTAAGAGAATTTTGTGATTCATTTGAGATGAATATTTGTTTATACATGAGTGCATACATTATATCTTGAACTTGAGAAGGTTGCATTAAGGCGCTACTCATAAAGGCTCGTGAGAAACTTAGCGGAAAATCCCAGGTGCATGCAAACAAAAAGCCAGCAGGTGTGAAAACCATAAAAGTAGTAAATATAAGTATGAAAGTAGTTTATATTATAAACGTAAGCTAGCGGCAAAATCTTTCTTTAAAAAAGATTAGATTATTCAGTTAATGAAGTGAGAAATTTCGGACGCTCCTTAAAGTATGCAACATCTTTGGCTTCAATTTATTGGTTTGCAATGCACATAAGTGATAATACGTACTATACTACAAGTATGTACGCACGATTGCGCCAACATGCAAACCTAGATTTGAAATGTTTTTGCAAATTTGAAGTTGCGCCGTCACGCCCCCTATTATTATTTTCTGCCCCATGTGCCGTGCCATGCGGCATGCAAACCATTTTGCTTAGAACATTTTGATTCACAAGAACAACTAAGAACAAACTTCCTTCTAACCGTTACACTTCAGCGCCACGTTGCTCCTGTTCTCTAAGGAATGAGGTCGTTTGTAATTGCAGCGTTTAAGAGAAATGCCATACATGCCCATACACGCCCGCACGTCCTTTGGCCGACACCAACTGTTGGGATTGCGTGTAAACATTTTTTAGCACAAAAGAATTCCTGGTTCGACATTTACGTTGAAAGTGAATTTGGAATGTACTGATGCTAGTTATACCCTTTACTTTCAGCTAGGAATTTAAACTTAATAGGAGCGCTTGTTAAAAATATTTATTATTGAATTGAGTTAAAACTCCATATTAGCTTTTTATCTCTTAAAACAATACGAACGTAGTTCAACGCATGATTAAATATTTTTAGCTTTTGATTTTGGTTTTATATTTAATCTTTCCAACTTCTTTCATTTGCCTGTAACACTGCTGATTTTAATGTGTGGTTCTACATACATATACATATTTACTATACTGGCACTATAAAAAATATTTATCTAAACAATTATAGTTTATTAAAACACGGTCGGACAGACCTAAGATAACCTGGGGACGGACCACCCTTCTGCAATTATCCCTGAAGAACATCACATGGGACACAGCTAGAAATATAGTTAGATGTAAAGTTCTTGTAGAAGCCCTAAGCTCCCAAGTGGAGAAAAAGGAATTTAAAAAACCCGGTCTAGAGAATTTGCAAAGAAATACTTATACTGCATACCTATTTTAGATATAAGATATTTGTAACTTTTTAAGCTACAAACGTACATCTATATATGTAAAACAAAGTCGGGTTTGTTCGAACACTTATAAGTCGAGATCGGCTGGACCAATTTTAATGGTTTTTGATTTTTTGTATTTGGCATTTTTCAACCGATGGCAAATGAAAAAATTAATTAATTAATTAAAAGTCAAATCGATTGGTCTTACTGTAATTAGGCTACACGAGGAGCAATCGTAGAGCTAACATACGATTGCACAATTGACTACAGCTCGCATCCAAGGGCGTAGCCAGCTTTTACCAAAGGGGGGGGCCAAAAATTTAAAATTTTGATTAAACATTATTTAATGTATTTAAAAAATAATTTATGCATATGATCAATGAAAAAACTTCAACAAATCCAACGCAGATCCATCTTAAGGCGAAATAGTGCGTCATAATAATGAACGTGTGGTCGACTTTATATGGAAAAAATTTTTCTAGGGGGGGGGGGGGGGGCAACGGCCTCCCTGCCCCCCTGCCTACGCCCTTGCTCGCATCCTTTCCTTCCATTGGTCTAATGGACGTAGTTTTTAAGCATTGTGCAGAATTGGCTGTTTTCAAATGTTTAAGTCATGAACTCAAAACCAGCAGGCTACCCGTGCGAAGCAGGGGCGGGCCACTAGTATGTACATATATTAGTTATGAACTAAATCTATTTATAAACCCAAGTTATTCGCATTTTACTTCATTTTTGATTTACAGATGTTATATTTTTACAAATTCACCTCTCATTTCATAACATATGCTGGTGTTCCGCTTAAAATTCGACATATCAAAAGCTTCAAACTTTAAAATCATCTTATAGCGTCCGCCGAAATTGGATCGCATGTTAGTTATCACCACTCTTATAGGGAATGGTTCATGAACCAGGACGGTCTGTAAAGCAGAGCATTAATCACATATAATCTAATGACGACCAAATATCTTACGCCAGGAGTATTAAGGCACTTCTTTTCTACGTCTTTTCGGTTGGTAATAAACTGAGTCCAAAATTTATACCAATACTGGTCTTTGCCGTACATAATGCTACAGAAATTTTGAATACTCATACTAAAAAAAGTGGGTTCCCAATCTCCTCGTGCAAAGCGGAGCACAGATAGTGATGCCTGAAAGAATTTTTAAAAATTGTTAGTCAAAAATCTAACTGGTCCTCAAAATTTACCGCAACACGATCGCCAGGTTGCACATCCCAGATGGTGGTTACATTGCCCTTCACATGGACTTTTTCTTCAACTTGTGTTATTGTTAAGTGCTCAAAATCAAATAATCCATGTATATCCAATGTACCGGGTGGGGCATCTGAACATTCGTTGAATACTTCTGGATCCTCCAGGATAAATTCGTAGTCTACTGCGAGCACATTAATAGAAGCTATTCCTAATAGCAGCAATGTCCCTACACACTCCAACATTACCTTGGAAAAAAACAAACAATTGGAGCAGCTAAGTTCGGGTGTCGCTTTTATATACCATATGTCACTATTAATTATCACGCAATTAAGAAAGCATGTGTATATGTATGTAATTAAATTAAATTGCAAACAAGCTTCGGAATAACGTAATTTCCGATGGCATCTACTATATTATTAAGATATTTTCGTTTAAAAGCTAATTCAAAATTCGGGCGATCGAATAAATCTTTCAATGGTATATTATTTTATTTTTCAATTTGTAACATTATCAGGAAACTGGGAAAATTTTCGATTTCTAACCAACCTGAAGAAACCATAAAACTAACTGACCTACGTATGTTTTATTTTTTTTATACTTTTCTTTGTGTAATATATGTCCTATTATTTTAAGTTAATTTAATAAATAAACTTTAATAAAAATATGTGTTCAGTTAGTGAGTCTTATAGTCGAGTATACCTGACCTAAGCACTCACATCTTTCCTCTTTTGAGTGCGCGAGCATTTGGAGTTGAATTATTTATGCTGACACTTTTTAGTTTAATGACTTGAGCTTTACAGTTTGAGGCACGTTTTGTTTATGCAGTTTGAAATGAAGTTTATTCGTTTGCAAGTTACTTTCAAAGGGGATATATGAGAATACGGCGGATAAGGTGGACTCATAACCCTTAAAGAATAAATTAATAAATACCCACTAATACTTGTATATGTATGAATAGTATACTACTTTTATGTACAAGGTGACAAGTGACATAGTATGTTAAGACCGCCAGATTTAAGTTACTGTATTGACATGACATCATTGGCTTTTGATTTGGATTTCCGCATTTATATGCTTTTTACACGTACTGGGTTGCAAGTATATTTGTCAATTTGCTATTGGGTTAAATGTATTTCCATGTCTGTAATTGTATAGTCGCGATATGTCATTATTGTGGCTTACCACGTTTTGTAATAAGCGTAATTCTATATAGTTCGGGCAGCAGCAGCACCACCCACCCACACCTTCCAGTCCTAAGCTTACTCTTCTGCCAAGCGGCTAAGCGGACTTACTGCCAATTGTGGCAACTAAGCGCGTTGCTTTTATGAGCATGTAAATGGCAAATCCTCGCCCATAAGGAAACCCGCGAAGTGCGTGTCGACTATTTTTGCTGCATCAATGGTTTTGGAAGCCAATGCAAACGGAGCGGGTCAGGCATAGAACAGCGAACAGTTGGCCATAAACCGTTTACTTACCAAGCAACAAGAACAATTGCCTGGCCCTCACGCTTCATCGCCTTTAAAGTCTCAACTATTCCCAAACAAGTTATCACAAGTTGTTGCACAGCCTTGAGCTTAATGACAAGCGTCTGGCAATTTCAATAAAATAGATTGTGAATTAGATCCATCATGAATAGGGCCTACTATATAGCTGGCTAAGACATAGCGTGGCTTTGTTTGATAAGCGACTGGCCGGCATATTTAAAAGCCGCTGCTCTCACGCTCATTTTGCAAGCTTGTGGCCCCCACAGCACCGTCCAGTGTTGGTTAACATTGGCAGTTACATACAACGTCTCAGCTCTGGTCTCTGTAATGTAAAACCGTTTTAGCTCAATCCCGTTGTTGTTGCTCTTGTCTCCACGTTTCTGTTTACAACTACCACAAATGCAGCGACAACAACACCCACCAAGGGTTGGCAGCTAGTAGGGGGAGTGCGTAATGCAGTATGAAAATTTATAAAAGCCTACACACCGTCTTTTTGAAATTCAGTGCCCGTTTGTTGAGCCGTCGATGCGGTTGCATTTTTCCCATAAAGCTATTCAGCTTAAAAACGCTGAAGAGAAAGTGCTCGCGAGCTTAAAAAGGATGTGAATGCCTTGTGCGCAGGATACTTGCTGAGTTTATATGTGAATTATTTGCTTTGTTAGTAGCGTCGGGCACTGATTGAATTTGCTATTCGATTCGCTCTTCTGTTTTTATACGCAAGCCTCTATGAAAGAAGCCCTAAAAATGTCGGACACATTTGATTTAGCGATGGACAAAATCAGAATGTGAGAGAGCTCAGAGAGAAGAAACGCCCTCAGCCCACTCAAAAATCACAAAATACTATATAGCAAGAATCCTATCCATATCCAATCCCTCTATATTTCCCCTTAACCCCGAACCAAAAGTGTTTATAATATGCAAAGCGCTGAAACCAAAGCACCTACGACAATTGACGAGGAAAACTTGACTTTGGCAGCAGCAACCAAAGCGCATGCTGAGCACAGTACCAGTGGAATAGAGGATCAAACAGAAGAACAGGTAGAGGAGACAGAGCCAACAGAGGAACATCAAAATAAGATCAAAGCAAGGTCGCGCTTCTCGGCTGCCTTTCGTAGTCTGTCCAAGACAAAGCCTAAAAAAGAGAAGGAGCGCGAAAAAAGCAAAGATAAGGAAAAGCCTAAATCGAAAGACAACGATAAGCCAAAGGATCAGTCAAAGACTGAACAAGACCAACCAGAGAGTCCAAGCAAATCGTCGCTAGCTAACGTTGAGGAACTTGTGGACAACAGCGAGGTAGTCAGTCTCGATAGTGGGACCAAGCCCAAGAAAAAGAGTCTCACCCAGCGTTTGTTCCTTAGCGGTCTCAAAAAGTCGAAAGTACGACCGCATAGTCTCAATGTCAGTGACGAGATCAGTGTTCTGAGCAGCAGCCGGGACCAGGACTTAACTGTGACACCCTCAACAAGCACCAGCACCGTCCAGATTACCATCAGTGGCAAGAAAATCGAGCCGGTAACTGCCGGCGGACGCAGCAAAAGTCGCAAGAGCGCACTGAGCGAAACGAACGATTACCTGACACCGATACCAACCACAGCAACATCAACAGCCACAACAACAGCAACAACAGTTGCTGCAATTGCAACAGGCAAGGCGGCAGCAAAGTCAGCGAAATCAACAACCACAACGACAACAGTGACAACCAAAGACACGAGCAGCAGTCGCACGACAAAGATAATTGTAGCCAAGTTAGGTAAAGAAGCGGCAGCAGCAGCAGCAGCGAGCGCTAAGAAGAAGCTCAAAGCGAAGAAGCTCTCACCTCCCAACAGTCAGGGAGAGGAGAAAATCGTTATCACCGAGAGCCAGCGTGACACGCCACCTCGAGAACGTGCGCCAGCAAAACCGAGTCGAGCGTCTGCTATTCAGTGCGTCAGTGGCAGCGGAACAACACGGAAATCTGCCAGCGGCACAAGCAAAACTCAGTCAGCGCAGCACGCCACTTCAAAGAAGAGTCTGCGCACGGTTGCCACAATTGCGACAGCCACTGCTAGTGTGACATTGCCCAGCAGCCGCAAGGAGCGGGAATTGATGCAACAGCAGCAGCGCGGCCATCGCCTTATCAGACCCACAACGGCTACCCACACCGCGACGACGACGTCAATAGCCAAGGCTCAACCCGGCCAGGGAGAACAGTTGGAGCAGGCGCCAGTTCAATTTCCAGGAGCAGGCGAAATTGAACAGCTCCCGCAGCCGCCCAACTACGCGCCGCCTCCTGTGCCACCGAATCAACTAACGCCCGAACATCGTCAGCTGGCGTACGAATCGGACGAACACGCCGTATCGTCCGCTGAGAGCGCACACACTGGCCAGGACCCAGTGCCGTCGACAGAGGCAGGAAGTGTGCGGTTTGCCGTCGGTAGTGCGGTTCGTCCGCCTGGGAACGCCTACGAGGCAGCCTTGGCCGCTGTAGCCACACAACAGCCCAGCTCCAGTGAATCGCAGAGTGATTCGAGTCTACGGAGACTCAATTTTGCCCAACAACAGCAACAAATAACCGGTGATCACGACAGCATCGAAGGTAGGCGGGAAACTCTGCGCTATCAATCGGTGGTTAGTGAGTACTCCGACAACTCCCAGTCGGAGGATTTGGAAGGCACCGATAAGCCAATGCCGGCCTTTGGTGACTTGACAATGGAGCAGGAAATAGAACCGGTAAGGTGTCGCAGTTTAACGTTTTAACAGTTTAGACTGTAGGTCACACCCGTGTCGATTTTCAGCACGCCGAAGCCCTAGAAGTGCCGCCACCTCTTGTATTCTTACATGAAATATACAGAGGTTGCTATTGGGCCCTTTTTCTGTTTTTTTTTTTTTTTCATATTTTACCTTTGCATCAGTTCCGGGCCATGTGTCATTCAACCGTTTTCTGTGATTTGCCTGCTGCTCATGCTAATAAACGTCTCCTCTCTCCGCTTTTGCAGACCGTCATGACGCCGAGCAATGAGAAACGCGAGCATCTATACAAAATTCTAGTCATCGGCGAACTGGGCACCGGAAAGACGTCCTTCATCAAGCGGTATGTGCATCAGTTCTTCAGTCAGAACTACCGGGCCACCATCGGTGTGGACTTTGCGCTTAAAGTGTTGCATTGGGATGCGAATACGATAGTCCGCCTACAGCTCTGGGATATCGCTGGCCAGGAGCGTTTCGGCAACATGACACGTGTGTATTATAAGGAAGCCGTTGGCGCCTTCATTGTCTTCGATGTCACGCGCAGTGGCACCTTCGATTGTGTAAGCAAATGGAAGGAGGACCTAGACTCGAAGGTCCAACTACCAGATGGCAGTCCCATACCGTGTATATTGCTGGCTAATAAGGTATGTCTATCTAATATTACCTACATGGATTAATAACACTTTTTTATCCTGAATGGATTAAAGCTGATGATTTCAATCATTTGTTATAAAGGCTCGTTATAGAGGCTTATTGAACATAAAATAATCCTTTGAAGAATGTAAGATGCTAATACTATTCATGTTGAAGCGACATTTAAGATTTATTGTTATTATTATGAAAATTCCACTTAAAATTACAAATCGCAAGCAGCTTATAGAGTAAGCTATAGCTACTAAGACCTTAAGCTTTGTTTGATAATTAATTTATTCTAAAATCCAGATAACTATTTATAAATGTAAGTAGTTTCTTTGCTTGAAAGTTAATTTTTCGCAATTGGTCTTATTTTCGTCCTCAGTGTGATCAGGATAAACAGGGAATTGTAACGCAACCCGAGAAAATGGATGAGTATGTGCGAGAAAATGGCTTCGCCGGGTGGTTCGAGACATCAGCCAAAGAGAACACCAACATCGATGAAGCAGCACGCGCATTAGTAAATAAGGTAGGGAGATGATCTCAATATTTCTTTATATTTCATTTTCATTTAACGGTCTGTATACTTTTATACAGATACTGATCAACGATAAACTGATAACTGCCGCCGATTTGGCCGATGCTGAAAAATTCAATTTGAACAATCCGGGCGATGGCTCCGGCACTGAATCGAAGAACAAATGCTCCTGCTGACCTACCACAGTGCCGAGGAGAAGCATTGCGGGCGTGACTGGCAAAGTCTGAGCGGTTGCAGAGCACAGCAAAGCTGTGACCTAAATGAATACACATACGATACATAAAATACTTAGTGTGTTAGGTGGAAAACTTTTCTAAAGCAAATATGATTATGTTTATATCTACGTTTAAGATTTCTGAGACTTATCACCATCATCATCCACACATGCTTAGCATAATGAGACATGCAAAGCCATTTATACTTCATTTTTCGGTCCATTCCATGCCACTCTGCCTGTCTGTCTGTCCGTCTGTCTCTCTGCCGATCCGCCTGTCTACAAAGGCTTCTATTTGTTGAATACCTATGTTTGCTCCTCCTAATGTTCTCTATCTTTGTTAACTAAACAATATCGCAGCGACAGTAGTGCGTGAATTTACTACGTATTCTATATAACACCTAGCTACAAGACCTAGACACCTACACACCTGGGAATATGATAATATAAAATGATGTATGTACATATGTACGAGTAGTTGCCCGCGCACTACGACATCGCATCGTTATACATATGTATGTATTTATGGCACAGTACGAGTACGTTTGTGTGAAATACGGAATGCGTTTTGTTTTTATTTGTTTTGCTTTTGTTACTGAGATTTTTATCGTAGATTTTTATACACACATATACATATACATAGGTACACTTTGCCATCTTTATTTGCATTTAAAAAAAAAGTACACATGTTTTACAGATCACGATCACATAAGAGTGTCTGTATCTGAAACCAAATGAAATAAAATGTTTTAATTGTAGTCCAACTGCGACCTAAAAAGTTTATTAATATTTATAGAGCAAATTATAGAGAATGTACATAATTTTTTATTGAAAGAAGCTGCAAAAATTCATTTATAAACCCCATTTTTTTAACTGCACACTATGTACTACTTTTCCCCATTTTAGTGTGAAAACAATCTTTTAACTTAAAGATATTGTTTATATTTAAAAAAGAATGTAATTATTACAACTTTACATCTTTAGTATTATATGAAAATGTATTCATCAAAAATTAATTCTAATCCACCGAGCTCCCCGATAAAATTTTCAAATAGCCAACATGGCTTAAATTGTCGGTGTTCTGGGTATCGTTTCGGCTTAAATTCCTAATTCTAATCCTAGTTGCAAATTATTGAAGATTTTTCTGCCTATCTAGTTGTGTCGCAAGCCCATATTTTGCATGTGTTGCTGTTGCTGCTGTTGCTGCATATGTTGCATGTACATTTGCTGTTGATTCATCTGTTGCTGCTGCTGTTGTTGTTGTTGTTGCTGCTGCTGCTGTTGTTGTTGTTGCTGCTGCTGTTGTAGCTGCTGTTGTTGTTGCTGTTGTTGTTGTTGCTGTTGTTGTTGCTGCTGTTGTTGCTGCTGTTGTTGTTGTTGCTGCTGCTGCACATTGCCACTGCCCAGTGGTACATTTGTTGTTGCAGTTTTTTGTGGTTGATGCGGCTGCATCGGCGTTTGTGTTATTGGTTGATTTGTATTGGCGCCTAAAATACTGTTAGAATTCGTGTCGGCACTAAATAAATTGATTTTTTTTATTAATATTGTTTGATCTAGTAGATATTTAGGTCTTTACTTCTTTTCCGTATGTATCTCCTCCAGGTTGAGATGGGTAATAAAGCGCAAGCGCATTTGCAGTACCGGACGCAGCCGTTTGATAATTGCATCCGATTCGTTTTTGATAAAGTTTCCCACATGTATGTACTTGATGTGATATCTGCAAGCGAAATGTATTTTATTATTGAGAAATATGTTCCTCTTTATGGAAGGATAATACTTACAGGAAATCACATATCTGATCCATATACTTGAGAGGCTTTGGACCGTGCTGTTTGTCAACAACTTCAAGCATTTCGTAAAGCAAAATAGCTAAGCCTGGCACTGCATTCGGTTTTTCTTGATCAATACGCGTCAGAAACGGTCCAAATACATGGCAAACGAACAAAAGTTGAGGTTCTGTGCGTACAAATGGCTTCAGCTTTTCCTTCAGATATCTGACCATGGCAATCAATTTAAATGTTCCCATGTGGTGGAAAACCGCATGCGCAACGGCTAGAACAAGCGCATATGTCTTTTCGACCATTGCTTGGCGCACGATTTTAAAATTAAACAACTCGAATGCGCTAAAACGGTAATTCCAATTTATCATGTTCGGTGAGTTGACTACATCTTGCAGGCGATCGTAGATTCCACTCCAATACGGCTCTGGCAGAGCAGCCATTACAATGCCAACGGCATTAATATAGCCGTGAATTTCTTTTTGTGGTATCAGAGCATAGCCAATGACAATAACATCGATCAAATTGTTGGCAACCATTGAAGGCGCAACGGGCAAGCCGAGCAGCTCAACACAAGTTACATAGAGAGCATGCGTCGGTGCATTTGGAAACTCGTTAAAACGCCAGTCGGTCGTAAAGAACACGTTTTTGCCGCTTATAGCTGGAGGGGAATGTTAAAAACCATTACTTGCATTAATTAATGCCAATTTGAAGGTTTGCTTACTCTCCGACAAACGACGAATGAGATTTATGTAGTAATTCAATTCTGGAGTCCATAGTAGGTCTGGGCTGTGCAGAAATACCTTATAGGGCTCACTCACGCTCCAATTCGGTGAACGTATGTCACTAAAGGCGCTGGTCACAGTGCTTACCAGTTTCTTCTTCAGCGATGGGCGATCCCGCAGAATACGTTCATAGAAATGCAAAGTGTTGTAGAGATAGGTGATGGGCCGATCTGTAAACGCACAATGGTTCTTGTTCATCGCAGGCAATGCAAGCATTTTTCTTTACACATACCATGAAACTTGTAAAGTATGCTTAAGTGATCCAGTATGAATTCCAGAATTTGATGCACGCTTGCAATTGGCAGTTCAATAAAACGATGTACAACAACATCCAGTACGGGTAGGAAGCGCAAACAAACATTGGAAAAGTAAACTGGCAAGGGCATCTGGGAGGCAGATTCGTCAGGAGCAAATTTCTCGGGATACTTTTGATGGAAAGATAGATGCTTGTCATGCCTGCACAAATAAACGCTTAACTGATCTCGAATGTCCAATGTCCAAATCTATGGCTTACCAGTTGTTCTGCTTCCAATGGTCGGGATTATTTTCCTTACAAAATTCTTGCAAGCGATTGCGCAACTCGGAGGCTTTCAACAGGAGTAGTTGTATGATAAGAAAACAGACTTGCGCATCATTGCCCTCGTGAGTACGCAGCGCTAAACAGAGTACGACGCGATCTATGGTAACTACATTAAATTTCCAGATCATATTATTTATCGTGTCCACGCATTTGTGTATAAAGTCGCGATCCGAAGAAACGGCCACTTCAACCACAAGATAATCGCAGAATTTACGCAAATGCGTTGATAGGGCGCGAGCGCTAATACCTTCCAGGATTCTGCAAAACAATAGGGCGAAGGGCAAATTGATATACAATTTTTAATAGTCCCTTGATATACTCACTTGTAGGCTACGGGACTGATGTTCTCCGTCTCCCAAATCATCTTAAACAAAAGACACAAAAATAATGGATTTGTGTTTGGACGTAAAAAGTGCGCAATTATATCATTTTCATTTGACATTGATGTCCAATTTCGATATTCCTCTTCCACTGACTTCTTTAGCAACTGCTTGTTCTCCGCTGGTGAATTGTTTTGGGTAAAATACTCGCTCAATGCTGGCGGAAAACAGGCCAACGAGTGCGATGCCCAAGAGTGTGGAGTATGTTGCATTATGTTGGCGAATAACTCCTTGCACCAGCCCTGTAACTCATCACCTGAGCCGGCTATATGCATAGAACGTGCGAGCGTCAAAATGAGTACTCGATTCAGTTCTTCACTTTCGTTGGAAGCCACAGTGCCGGGTGATTTGTCGTTAAAGTAACGCGAGAGCTGTGACTGCAGTTCGGCAGAACTTATGCTGGTTATAAGGCGCAGTGCCGTTGATTCAAAGCTGCAATGATTAACCATTATTAGTATGTATTAGAAAACGTCCTCTTAATTAAACTCACCATAAATTTAATTGCATTTTATTTGTTTGTGGTACGGAGGCCAGCGAATGGAGCAATGACAACAGTTGCATGCGATAGTGCGTGGGTACATGATGCAGACGATATGAGAACATTTCCATGAGCATGTGGAGCAGCGCCCACGCGTGATTCTTGAAAACAACGGGCAGCAATTGCGCTAAAAACAGAAATCAGAAAGATAGGCAAATGAAACGCTTTCTTGAAATCATATTATCTAAACTTACTCAAAAAGCCCTTTATGCCTAAAGATTCAATTTCCGTGTACACCAAAAGTCTGGAGTAAGTCTCAATTAGCGCAGGGGTCGGCACGGAACCTTTGCTAGATGCCAGTTTTAACATATTAGTGACAAAACTATGTATGAGCGACATTTTGCTGTGTACGGTGAGACTGTCCAGGACGCCTACAGAAAAGGGAACAGCTGCCTTGGCGTTACCAACGAGCGTTTCAACCAAAATATTCATGGGACGTGTAAAATACTCTTGGTTGGTTGAGTACGCATTGCAAATAAGCATGATGCGAAAGTCGTTTCCCAGACTCATATTCATCATAGTGCTCGGTAAAATCAGATGTTGTAGGAAGCTACAGTAACATATATAGTTATATTTTGCATACCGGCGTATTATCAATTCACTTACTCGTGGTGATTTTTTAAGGCAATGGGCAACGGTCGTGTTATATTAATATTTTCTACCCGAGCCTTTTTTATTAAATGAATCCATATACATATAGGCGCCATAGCACGTACCATGGAAGACTTGTTATAATCCGGTAGTTTTAGGGGCTCCGGCTCGGGATACAATAGGTCAAACAGTTTAAAAACGGGCAGAAAATTAGACATCTGGAAGTAATGTAAGTTTTTTTTTTAGCAAAATATTTAAGTAACTATATTAATACACATTTACACATACCGGATTCTTTTGTATGCTGCCCGATATAAACTGCAAAAGTATCCACATAAGTTGATCGCGCCCCTTGCGCAGCTCCAGTTTCGAAAGCTATATCACAACAAATAATATACAATTATAATAACATGCACCGTAGCGTACTTACCTTCTCATGAAGCGACAGTACAATGTGCATGAAGCTAACAAATTGGAAAAGTACAAAATAAATTAACTGCGATGAGAGATGCAACCAAACCCATTCGTAGTGTGTTATCTGCTCCTCACAGGAATTAAAACCACTACCCAACGTTACATCAATTGATTCCGTCATCTCCATAGCTTGTATTATCTGGTTGACTAGCTGTTCTTCCAATGCATTATAGCGCTGCTTCTGATGCTTCTGTAGGTTTAACATAACCGATACCATTTCCCGTGAATATGGCTGATCCAGAACATATCGTAGCAAAGGAATCTGTTCCTGTAGAAGTTCCGGTTCGTAAGGCAAACTGCCTCTAAAATTAAACTTCAGCGTACTGTGGTCCAGCTTCCATGAGAACATCATATTATCAGCATAACCGAAATTTTCTACAATTGGTAGCATATGGACATGTCCAATAATTGATACCATTTGCGCAGTTGACCGGAACTCTTCAACAAAATCCGTCATCAGTTTAACTAGTTTCCAATGATAGGGAAATGGGCGCATTATCTCATTGGCAACAAAGTAAGCCGGAAGCAAACAGTTATTCCGATCAAATATGAATCGAAGCAAATCTTCTAAAGCCAGCAATTGCGGCAGGTAAGCGACGTTTACATTGAGTGGAAACCATTGCGTCTTGTCCCGACATAGCTTTAAAATTTCGCGCACACCCTTGTAGTCAACATGCACAATGACCTTCTTAATAAGCCTAAATGTTTCGATCCAGAAAGACTTGTGCTCGTAGTCTAGCTTTTCACAGGATAGCGCCTTGTCACAAAGCACTCTAGAAATGCAGAATTGGCATATTATTGCATTAAATATTGCAGAAAAAAGTCGTACCTTGCTGTTATTAAGTGAGCCTCTACCAACTTAGGCAGCACCCCCATAAGCAATTGCATGTGCTTATAACAACTGGCATCGGCAGCACGGCCAAGCACAGCGATAAGCACCTGATCCCGATTCTCCGGTGGCACATTTCCAAATGCGGTCACTAAAAGGGGAAAAACACAAGCACTGATTAATTCAAAAATGTGATTATTTGTTAAAAATTCATACCAAAGTCGTTGGTAAACTTTGCGGCTTTGTCAGCCTCACTGTTTTGTTTGTTGTAAACAATTACGGTCAAGAACGCTTCGTCTAAAGAATCGACTTTCTGTGAAAAAGGTATTAAGGAACGTTAAAACTCTAGTTTTGCTTTGCCTCAATCATTTTTATGTTATTTAATACCAGAAAGTTCGCCACAATATCTAAAACTTGCGTCTCCATTTATATATTCAGCATTTTTCAGGAACAAACCAATATTTTCACCCGGCAAAGGCAATATTTACGTATCCATTTACTTTGTAACGAGTACTTTAATTGAATGAAACTTCCCAACTGCAACAGTTATTAGTGTTGAGCAAGCGTTTGCCAGCACTGATTTGACCGTCGATATCACCGATGTGAATAACTTGCATCCCTAGCCCACTGCATTTGGAAGAATTTGTAAAACGCGTAAATGTTGCAAAATATAGCAAGAATTAATAAATGTATAATAAAAAAACATAACCGTAGATCGTATTTGCAACCACGAAAAATGTTTTAAGAGTGTAAGGTAAGAAAGTTTGCATTGGAACCTCAAAAATCACAGATAATTGGCTTACCGCTGATTTGGAGCCATGGTTGCTGTGACGTTTACTCCCCTTTTTGATCTTTGTTGTACGTGGGCCGAATGCAAGCTCTGCTGTAGCGTTAGGTTATTTTCCGACTCTGATAAGTGTCGCTACAGCCCATAATTAATCAGTGCTAACCAGAAACTTAATGCGATTTTAAAACGCCACTACTAATGAACCTATCGACAAAATTGCAACAACAACTTAGCGACACTTGTTTATGAATCAGCTGAGCGTCGCAGTCCGTCCCGCCTATTAATAATTTCTAATTGGCATATTTTGTCATATCCCGTATATTTCTATAGAGTTGTTAATTAGTGTGCTATCATTAGTTGAATTTGTTTGTAAACACGGCGCCAAGCTTGAAAGCATCACGTCTAAAAGATGTTGCCGGCCAAGGAAAATGTCGATCTAGAATGTTTCGTGGTAACGAAACACTCATGGAAAGGCAAATACAAACGCATACTTTCAATTGGTACTGCTGGTATCTCCACATACAATCCGGACAGATTTGATTTAACAAATCGTTGGCCGTACTCGGATATTGTGGCCGCTGCACCCGCACGAACAACAAACGTAAGTATTAACGACTGTACCGCCCGTGCCACATCCGGGTGCTCGTGATGTTCTTTAGTTAACATTTGCATTCACAGATACCAAATGAGTTTGTGCTTACAATAAAAAAAGACAAGAAATTGGACACGATCAAACTTTCTTCAGAATATCGTAACGACATACTCAGCTCCATTTTAAAGTATTACAAGGAGTTTGCCGATAAACCTAAGAATGCTCAGGTAAGCTATGTGATGCCAAAAAGTTGATCAACAATAATAATTTAATGCATGTTAATAGCGCTTCGTTGCGTATAAATATCATTGGTCTGGAATCAGCCTGCCAACTGTGTTAGAGGTCACGCCTTGTTCCTTGGACCAATTGGATCCGACAACAAATGATGTTTTAGCCAGTTACATGTACAAGGATATCGAAGGAATAATAGGTACCTATTTCATGGCCTATTCATATCGACATATGAATTTTTTTTTATGCACCACCAATACATGCATATTTTAATTCATGTATGCTTTGTTTTTTTTATTTTTATTTTTGCACTCATCGTTTTCATTTTTGTTTACGCGCACGTTTTAAGCAGGCATTTCTGACTATGAGGGCGGAATTGTGCTCGCCTATGGTGGATTTAGCCGCCTTCATCTCTTCAAAGCGCTGAACCATCATGAGATCGTGCAGAACATCGCTCAACGCTCTTTACAGTTTCTGGGAATCGAAACCAAAATACTCAAGAGTCAAATTACTTTGGAGCAGTTTGAGCGACAGCGCTTCGGAAAGTTTAGGTAAACAAAAAACAAAAGAAAAAACATTCTCTCTGTCATCTAATCGGTATTGTTTACAAACAGTGGGGATCAGTTCCAAACATCGATGACTGAATTCACAGTTCAAAAAATAACACTACGACATCCAGATCCTGTTAAACGAATTCTTTGCTTAACTGAAATGACGCTGCTCGAGCGCGATCCACAAACCTATAGCGTTTGTACGCTTCGCCCTTTAGCCGATGTTTTTGCACTGGTGCGTGATAAGGATACGTTGCAAAAATTTAGTATTGAGTATAAAAACGGGGTTGTGCGGACCTATAGCACTAACGATAGGGATTCACTGCTCGCCACGGTACTGGACGCAGTCCGTTCCAGTGGTAATCAAGATGTGCATATACGAATTGGAAATACGCCACGAGGCAAACGCTATGTGCCGTTAAATAGCTCCGTCGATGAGGAAACCGAAGCCAATCTGTTACGTCTGGTCATCAATAATTTTCAAAACCCAGCTAAACGCTATGAAATACTGGAACGATTTAATGCTAATGTGCCGCATAGTGGACTTAATTATAGTGTTACTCAGGATGTAAGTAAATTGAAGCAATTCCAGAAAAACAAATTAATTAAATGATTTACATTTGCAGAGTCTGTTCGCGGAAAACAAGGAGAAATTGATTCTGGCAGCTTTGCAAGCTTTGGCACAAAAAGAAATGGATAATCCTACAGCCCAGTTAAACAACATTGAATTGGAAGCCATCTTTCATGCTTTGACACGTTTGTTAGCTAGCAAGGTTGGCTATGCGGCATTTACAAATCTACCGGGGTATATATAGCTACACGAATGGTAAAAATGTACTTTATATCTAACTCCCATTGCAATTACAGTTTTCGTGAAATCATCGGCACCAAAATTGTCGCAGCGCTACGACGCAAAGATTTGGCAGTTACCTATTCTGCCATTGATATGATAAACTCGTTAATGCACTCTGTGAATACCGATCATGACCTCAAGCAAGAGCAGTTAAACAAATCTTCCATTCTATCGTCCAAATCGTTTTTGGAGACGTTGCTGAACATGTGGACAACGCATGTGGTAAGTGAACACTGAAAATTACGCATCCATAAAATCATTAATGGTGATTATTGTATTTGAAGAGTCACGGCAGCGGGGCGCTTGTACTGTCCGCCATGCTGGACTTCATGACGTTTGCATTATGTGTGCCTTACAGCGAGACTACCGATGGCAAGCAATTTGATACATTGCTTGAGCTAGTTGCTGATCGCGGACGGTATCTATATAAACTCTTTCAGCATCCATCGTTGGCCATTGTAAAGGGAGCTGGCTTGGTGCTGCGAGCCATCATAGAAGAGGGCGAGCTGCATGTGGCTCAACAAATGCAGGCCCTTGCCTTAGACGAGGCAGCACTCTGTCGTCATTTGTTAGTTGCACTCTACACACCCTCCAATGATCCGACATTGGTCACACATCGTCAATTATCTCGTCATTTGATTGGCCTGTGGCTCACGGATAGCGAGGAGGCCATGGAGCTGTTTAAGCGCATTTTCGTAAGTATTCTGTTGATCTCATCCCGCTGTTCGAATGTTTTAACATTTTGCCTTTGTAGCCAGCAGGACTGTTAACTTTCCTAGAATCTGAAGATACTGTTCCTGTTAGTGATGTCGAGGAGGACAAGTTAAATTTTCGGGATAATCTCAAATTTGCAATTCAACATTCCTATAAAATGCGCAAGAATGTGATAGAAAAGCATTTGCAGGGTATTAAGCATTGGGGCATGAGTTTAATTGAGCAACAAGACTCTGCAGCACAGGCTCTCAAAAATCGACCCGTAGTGCTGCGCAATAGACGCCAAAAGAAAAAGACCACAGATGCCATTGTCAATTTGCCTTTTTTCTTCTACAATTTCGCCAAAGATCATAGTCTACCAAATTTAATTTGGAATCATAAGGTAAGAGATAATTCCAATTTATAAACCTGATAATTGATGGTATTCCATAGACGCGTGAGGAATTGCGTATGTGTTTGGAAAATGAGTTGCGCCAGTTTTTAAATGATCGTGACTTGGCTGGCCAGATGATCGTGGCGTGGAACTATCAAGAATTCGAGGTCTCCTATCAATGTTTGGCCGATGAAATCAAGATTGGAGATTACTACATACGACTGATATTGGAGAAAGATGACTGGCCACAGAATCTTGTTAAGGATCCGTAAGTAAATTGTTGTAATACAAGTACATATATAATATTAAGCAATATTAATTTTGCAATAGCATTGAGCTCTTCAACGCATTGTATCGACGCGTACTCTGCCGCCAGAGAGTGAATGACGATCAGATGACAGTATTTTCTCTGCAAGCGTTGGCTAAAGTATACAGGAGGTATCACAAGGAGATTGGCAAATTCAGCGACATGTCTTACATCCTACAGCTGAGTGATCGCGTAAGCATAATTGCCCCATTTCACATTCATCTTACTTTGTTTTTAAATGTACCTTATCCCATAGTGTCTATCGCCTTCAATGCGAGATGCACTTATCAACTTGATATCTTGCTTGGTGCTCGAGAAATCCAATTGCCGTGCTCTGATCGATCACGTGCAGTGCCTCGTCGACCTAATTACACTGGCACATTTACATAAGGGTCGTGCACAGCTAAATACCAAAACAAATGTTATTGAAGCTGGTCCCAATATGCAGGCGTACGAGGAGAAAGATTGGTATTATAATATTGAAAAAGATGGCCAGAAACCAGAACGGCAGGGTCCCATAACATACTCTGAACTGAAGGAGCTATGGCAAAAGGGATTAATCACTCCCAAAACTCGTTGCTGGGCCATCGGCATGGATGGCTGGCGTTCTTTGCAGCAAATACCACAGCTAAAATGGTGTCTAATAGCTAAGGGCACCCCGCTGTATGATGAAACGGAACTGGCTTCAAAAATACTTGATATATTGATCAAGTGCACAAGTTTCTTTCCAAGCCGCACACAAAATGGTGATGCAGTACTGATACCTGGCCCAAAACTATCACGTAAACTTTCCGAATTTATTTGTTTGCCGCATGTGGTACAAGTGTGCCTGACTCATGATCCAGGCTTGTTAGAGCGCGTTGCAACATTATTGTGTCAAATAATGGAGGACAATCCTGAAATGCCGAAAGTCTATTTAACCGGCGTTTTTTACTTCATGCTCATGTACACGGGCAGCAATATTTTGCCCATTACGCGATTCCTTAAAATGACGCACATGAAACAGGGTTTCAGAAGCGAGGAGGTAAGCATCTATAGTCTTGGCATTTCATATATTTATGCTCAATCTTTTTACCTTTATTTGCATTTAGACCTCACAGTCCGGTATTATGCATCGCAGCATATTAGGCCAATTGCTGCCAGAAGCTATGGTTTGCTTCCTTGAGAACTATAGCGCAGAAAAGTTTGCTGAAATCTTTTTGGGAGAATTCGATACGCCCGAAGCTATCTGGAGCTCCGAAATGCGTCGTCTGTTAATCGAGAAAATTGCAGCACACATTGCAGATTTTACACCGCGCTTACGTGGGCATACTATGGCTAGATATCCTTATCTTGCCATTCCTGTCATCAGCTATCCGCAGTTAGAGAATGAACTTTTCTGCCACATTTATTATTTACGCCATCTGTGTGATACGCAAAAGTTTCCGAATTGGCCCATCTCTGATCCTGTTCAGCTGTTGAAACATACGCTAGATGCCTGGCGCAAAGAAGTGGAGAAGAAACCACCACAAATGACTATACAGCAAGCGTATCAGGATCTTGGCATTGATCTAAGCAAAACTCCTAAACCCGATGAATCGCTAATACGCAAGAGTTACTATAAGCTAGCTCAAATGTATCATCCGGACAAAAATCCTAATGGGCGTGAGGTATTCGAGAAAGTCAATCAGGCCTATGAATTTCTGTGCTCGCGTTCCGTGTGGAGTAGCGGTGGACCGGACCCTAACAACATTGTCTTAATATTACGCACGCAGAGCATTCTTTTTGAGCGGTACCCAGATGGTCAGTCAATGCTGGGTTATGTACATTGCATTTCTTATTAATGTATTTATTGAATTATGCTTACAGTGCTGCGACCCTATAAATATGCAGGCTATCCGCAACTCATTAAAACAATACGTCTGGAGACGCGTGATGACGAACTCTTTTCGAAGGAGGCACAACTGCTAACTGCCGCCTCTGAATTGTGCTACCACACAGTACATTGCTCGGCCTTGAATGCGGAGGAGTTACGTCGCGAGGATGGCATCGAAGCGTTGCTGGAAGCATATACGCGTTGCGTATCTATTTTAGGTGTCGATTCAAAGCCAGACTCAGTGCATTATCAGGTTATTTCAAATGTAACACGTTGTTTTGAAGTGGCATGCAATTTTGAGAAATGCAAACAAAAAATTATCACGCTACCTCAACTGCTATCGGATGTTTGCAGAGTTGTCTACTTTAAGGTGCGTTAGCGATCTATATTTTAAGTCCGCCTATATTAATTAATATGTCTTAACAGCATACGTTGTCTGTGAGTTTGGTCACTGGGCTAGCAGCCAACAACTATGATCTACAATGCAATCTGACACGTAATGGAGTACTCTGGTCGCTGCTACTCTTCATATTTGAGTACGATTACACGCTAGACGAGAGCGGTGTAGAGGCCAGTGACAAATCTAATCAGCAACAAGCAGCCAACAACTTGGCAAAAATGGCTGTATTGGGATGCATCGCCTTGGCCGGTTACAACATGGAGTTGCGTAACAAACCCATAACTGGCAGTGAATCGAATTCACCGTCGGCTGTTGCCAAGCCCCCACCGGCAATAAAACCAAAGCCATCGAGTAACTCGCCAACCACGGCTTACACCCAAAATGCACATAATCCGCTTCAGAACGCCAATAGTAAGCAGCTGGCCATTACCTCAAGCGGCGAAGCAACTCAGACACACGCTTTAACCAAACAAGACTCCAGTGTGAGCAGTGACACAACGAACTCATCACCTACAGACAGCGAGCAAGAGGCCAGGCGGAATGCCATACAACAAAAATATTATGTAACGGGCGAGGCGAAGAATACGCTGGTGAAGCAAGTGTTGGACCGCCTGCTCACGCACTACATATCCAATAAGTTGGCCGGAGAGCGCGATAGCGATGTACTCAAGCTGCTTACAGCCAACACACGCAATCCCTATCTCATCTGGGACAATGGAACACGCGCACAGCTGAAGGATTTCCTTGAACAGCAGCGGACAGCGTCTGTTAAGGAGACTCCTGAAGACATCGCACAAGTCTATGAGCTGGTGGCAAACTTTGAGTTCGATGCGCACAAGTACGATTCAATAGTAATCTAATATTGTATGATCTACTAATTTAATTGATTTTTTGCGTTGCAGAGATGAGCTTCAAGTTGGTGGCATATTTATACGCATCTACAATGATATGCCAACTTACCCCATTATAGAGCCAAAACAGTTTATTATGGACTTGTTGGACTATTTGAAGCACGCTTATCAGTTTCTGCAGTTTAGGAGGTCTGGAAAAAAGGCACCTGTTGCATCCGCCAATGCCCCCAAAATGGGTATTGATGGCATACTCACGCCCACGCTGGCACCAAATCATCCACAACTTATGCAGCAAAGTGGAAAAAAAGCCGGCAGCACTTTCGATGATGTGCTCAATGCCTACAATCGTTCCAAAAGCCGGAAGAAGTTGGAAACGGACGCTTACTCAGAGCATCAAGTGGCCCAGAAACAATGCAAATACGACTTTGAAAACGACTCCCAGTTGGAGCTGCATATCACGATGGTGCTCCGTTCTCTGATTGCAGTTATTAAATCGAACACAGAGGTTGAAATTCAATGCATTGGCAACTTTGATATGATCTTTGGTTTCCTTGCAAATAACATATTTGCTGATGTAAGTATTTCTTTAGACGATCATATCTCCTTGCAATTATGGGCTTGATATCGGATTTCCGCATTTACTTGATTTTGTAGAAATTAGTCGGTCTACAATTGTCGCGCTCTGATGTAATATACGTATATTTAGAACCTTATTTATGGAATATTTACAGAGTTCCACTGTAAAGGCAGTTGCTTTGGAAGTAGTTGCACTGGTTTCACGAAACAAGGAATGCGTATCTGAGGTGGCGTCTTGCGAGGTGCTTGGCAACTATTTGGTCGCTCTAAAGGATCCTGAATTACGTGCAAGCCAAGTTAAAGTGTTGGAGACGCTATCTGGGTTGATGAACGTGCAGGAGATGATCAAAGAAGCACAATCTAAAGGCGCTGTTATCTACTTACTGGACATGTTCTCTAACTCACGAAATCCACAAATACGTGAGATGTGTGCTGAGATTTTAGCCAAGATGACGGCAGATCGATTAAGTGGTCCCAAAGTGCGAATTACGATATCAAAATTCTTGCCAACACTATTCATTGATGCCATGATAGAATCGCCGGCAACATCGGTGCAATTATTTGAGTCAATACACGAGCATCCGGAGTTGATTTGGAACGATAATACACGGACAACTGTTTGCGAGGCAGTAGCCGATACATGTGAACGGTGAAAACTCTAAAAACGAATTCAACAATTTATTCAATATTAATTTAATATATAATTTTAGATTCTATCAGTTGCAAAAGGCGAACGATCGGCAGGTGTGGAAAGATCCCGAGATACTCAAGGATATTGTGTCCAACGAGATTGTTGTCGCTGGTGTCTACCTGCGATTATTTGTCAGCAATCCTGCTTGGACATTACGCAAACCGAAGCAATTTTTGTCGGATCTCCTTGATTTTGTTGTGGAGCAGATAAGCAAAAGTTCATCCGAGAAAGATGTCTTAGATCTGTCTACAACTGCTTTAGTAGAGCTCTTGCGCTCACAGCCTAATCTTGCTGATGATATTCCAGTGTTGGGCCACATACCAAAATTATTCAATCTGCTTTCGGTACAATCAAAGAATACGTTATCAGTATTACATCAACTGTCCCTATCTGAGGTATGTGCTCACAAAACCCCACAGAATAGTTGACAAATATTTATTTATTGCAGTTTTGTGTGAGTGCGATTGCCCAAACGGAATGCGTCGCTCCGCTCAAGAGGTGCATGGAACACCATCGGGACTGCATTGAAAAGGCCTGTGAAACACTGAGTCGCCTCTTCAAGCACCAGCATGTAAGTGTATTTAATAATGCAGCATATACTATATATACATATATGCAAAGCTTAATAAAACTGCTTCTTGTTACAGGACTCATTAATCAGCCAATCTCTGGAGGTTGGTCTTATACCGTTCCTCCTTGGACTTTTGGACAGTCGCCTGGAATTCGTTGACAATCCATCCGCAATTAAAGCACAAATAGTTGCTGCTCTCAAGGGCATGACACATAATCTTAACTATGGTGATCGCGTCACGCAAATACTCCTCAAGCATCCTGTTTGGGCTGAGTTTAAGGATCAGCGTCATGACCTCTTTATCGCAGATAGTAATATACGTGGCTATTTGACGGGTAGATATATTTTAATAACTTAAAATCGTATCAAAGCACTTATTTATATCCACTTTTGCAGGCATTAATCCCACGGCGGGTTACCTTACGGCTGGTCCAACGCAAAATGTTGAAGTGCTTACCTCACCACCGCCCATGGATCGAGATGATCCTTCGGCACGTCCACCTGTTGACTAGCGACACCGGTATATGCCAGACAAAATCTACATATACGTGTAAGCTATGAGTTGTATCGTTTTCCTAGCTTCTTTCATTTGCACGGCCTCATTTGCCACGGGAATTTTAAATAGATATACATACATATATTAATTTCCTTTACTGTATTAAACATTTACCTATTTATATACACTTACTATACACTATTATGCAGACGCAAACGTCGTCAATGAATCATGTATCAAACTGTAACAAAGTCTACGAAACGTTTAATTTTTTATATTTATATATAAATTGTATAAAAATTAGTATATAGTTACCAAAACACCCATATTACATTACCTAAAGCATGCATAAAGTGATTATACATATTACGTATTAAAGATGATTCATTATAAATGAAACCAATTAAATGTGTACCAATCCTTCATTTTATTAAAATTAACGAGAGCCATAAATTGAAGAAAATGTAGCTCGTTACGGAACTAGTTGAAATCCAACTTTTGATCTGGAGATTGGAGCGCTGTCAACATAAAAAAAAATTTAAATCACTATCAAAAATAATTGCGTCGATTTGCTCAACATTGCGACAATACTGATCCTGAAAATTTGACACTTCTTTAAAACTTCTAAATTATTTTTTTAATTTTGCGCACCTGATTGCTCGTGTCACGAAATAAACCCGATCCCCGCTATTGTGAATTAGTTATTCAACAACTTCCACCCCTATTTTTAATTTCTTCTTCTTCATATACCAAACAAACTCAAATGTCGCTTGTGGCTGATTATAGCGATTCATCTGATTCTGAAACTAGCAATGAATCGGAAGCAGAAGTTATTGGGTAATATAACATGTCCGGATTGTTAAATTTATTTTAAATACTCCTCTGTAAGCAGTAACGCCCCACTAGCGAAAAACCAAAAAGCCTTGCCGAGCGCAAATACCGTCTTAGCTAACGTTGGTTGCAAAAAGGCAGGGGAGGTGTTTAGTAATCCATTCTTGGAGGCAGAGCTCAACCAAACAGCGTCGCTGGAACGGCACGTCAAAATGGTTAACTCTGACACGCATTTGCAATTAAAGAATGGAAAAAAGATTTGCTGGAACTACCGGAAAGGGCGTTGCAGATTTGGTACCAGCTGCCAGTATGCACACGATTCGGATTTGTCTACGACTGAGACTGCTACGAATGAAGCAAGTTTGGATGTTTCAAAATCTATACTAACAGCATCTCCAACGACAACAGCAACTTCCGGCAGTGTTGTTCTTAGCAAACGTAAACGGCCTGGTCTGAGTGATGGTATAGAGCCGAGCAAGCGAGTCATGAAATCTTACCAGCAGCATTCTAAATGAATATGTTATCCTTTTGTTTAAACGACTCCAGCATCTGTGATACGAACAAGACATGTTTCACCGCTGGGACCGTAGCAGTTTTTCAGCACCTTCACTAGGCGTATATCGTCGTCCGAACAATTAGTGTTCTGTGGATGTTCCAATGCCAATCTCAGTGTGCTGACCGTGCTCCAGTAACGGCCCAACATCAGTCGATCTTGCTGCAAAGTTTGTGGTTGCGAATCATCACAATAGCCGTAGTTATAGGTATCCGGGTTGACTGTACAATAAAACATTGCAAAACTTAGAAAATTGAAGTAAAACAAATAACAAATATTCATGTGTATTCCACCAACCATTTTCATCCTGTTGAGAAAAACAAAGATTTCCTATTACAAATGCGACATGGTACTGTGTCGCCAATCTGCGTACGAGTGACGCTAATTGAGTTAGAAGACAGCAGCTCTCCCAACGCTCATCATCGGAGCTAAAGCCTACCCTACATGCGGGCAATGAATCCACCAGAACAAGCCGAATATTTGGGGAGGTCCTTTCAGCTCTTAGTTTCTTATACAATTCCTCAAGCACTGCTAAAATGGTAAGTTCTGTATGGACTTCTATCACCTTGATGGCCCGTAAAGCATTATCCCTATCATCCTTGTTTAGTTTGCGTTCACGTAGTATGTCATGAACACGCCTGACCGAAAAATCGTTTTTTGTGTCAATAAATAGGACCTCTTGAGTGCACTTGGATTTACACACAAAATTTACTGCCAACGTGTACAGTAATTCAGTTTTTCCAGTGCCAATTATTCCACAAAGCTCCCAGACACGGTTGTCTTGCAGTGGCAACAGGATATTTTTCAGCATTCTGTCTAATCTGTAAGCAAAGGCGTTATTTTCTTAAGTAAAATTTTAAATTAATATGTCATACGTCTCAATTCCTGTTCCATACTGTGATATGGACATTATATCTTCATTTCGTTGGTACAATGTTTGAAATTTGATATGTCGCTTAATTAACTGTAATTTTATCTCTCCAATTGCATCCAATGGTTTTTTAATAAGCCCACTAAGTTTACTCGATTCTGTGGTCATAAATTTATTTGGCGTATCTATGAAGTTCCTAACCAACAAGTTAATCTCGTATTCAGATAGCTCTCCTCCAAGAGCGACCACCAAATCCGACTCCATTTATTATTGTTATTACCCGCGTTCCCAACCAGGGATACGGATACAAATGACATTTTTCTGCTGGCAATGCCTATGATATTTATAACCAGATGGCGCTGTAGCATTCGTCTGCGGTCATAGGGTTGTACTCTTCTGCGCTCTTTTCACAGTCATCTATATACTTCGCTAGAGGACGGTTGGTCCACGCCGCATGAACACCGCGCACGTCTGCAGAAAATAAACTTAAAAATAAAATTAGTGCGGAAGAAGGCGAAAATATAAGATAATTTGTGCATTTACAGTTAAAACATCATTTCGGCTACGCGCTACCATAGTTTTTATGCACGGATGCGTCGCAGAAATGTGTATATTTTGTGATTAAAAATTCCCCCCATCTGAGGTATGAAAAAATCGTGAAAAAATTTCCGCCCAGACACTACAATTGACGGCGTACAAAGAACGACGCCGACGTAGCAGTCGAAGCGGCGGCAGCCATGTCATATTGCTATCTTTGTCGTCGGCATTTGCATGCATACATATGTGTGTATGTATGTATGTGAGTAATTATTTAAAAGTTAGAATTTTTGGAAAATTTTTCAAAATACATAAAATATTTTCTTAAACCATTAATGTCACCGAGCTGTAAAAATATATATCTACATATATACTTTGCAAATTTTGACGCGTGTGTATATTAAAGAAGGAAGCGAAGCCATTTGTAATAGCAGGGTTGCATTTGTAGTATGCGATCTGAAAGGCAGCAATTTTTAATATTTCAAATAACATTTTTATTCCATTGCGTATTAATTATTATCAAAGGAGTAATGCGTTTATGTCAAAGTGTAGATATATCTACATATGTATGTACTCGTATATGCCTGCGATTTTTCAAGTCGAGTAAATCCCTGAGTTTTAAAAGTTGGATATAATTATTTTCCCGCCAATGTCAATCTAGTCTCAAAGTAGCGTTAAATTAGTGATTTTAAAAATATATAAAAGTAAAATTAATATATTTCTTTATTGCATTGTTTGGGGATTTAAATTACATTTTAGGGTTGAAAAAGGACAAGTGTAAATACCAGTAATCATTATTGAAAAACAATTATGATTTTGCAGATGTCTCAAACATGAATGAAGGTAATTCAGCAGGAGGGGGGCATGAAGGGCTAAGCCCAGCCCCTCCTGCTGTGCCAGACCGTGTAACGTTACAATCTACGGAAAAAACAGTTACAGCGCCAAAATTGGCAACGACCCTAGCCACCCACAACAACAATAAAATCGCAGCAAACGTTTCAACGGCTAATCGAAATCAATCGCAGCAAAAAGGAAGCAAGCAGCAACAGCAGCAGCTGCCAAGTGCGCAGCTGCCTGTGCCGCTGACGCCCTTGCAGCAGCAAACGGCAGAGGCAACAGCAGCAGCAAGGTCGCCAGCAGCATCATCCTTTCCCACTTCACAAACAAACAATAATCCGATCAACGCAGAAGAGTCTTCATCGCCAACACAGCCAAAACGTCAGCGCTTAGACAACTTAAATTCATCCGAAGCTGCCATTACCAGTATTGTTGGTGCTGCTGTTACAAGCAACGTTGTTGGCTCATTGCTGCCAGCGTCTGTGGCTGCCAGTGCTGACGTTAGTGGACCATCATCGGAGGCGCAACAAGATTTAATTGCGCTTAAGAAGCGTTTACTGCAACAAAAGTATCAAGTTTTGCGTAATCTTAAGGAAAGGTTAGTATTAATAACGGCAGTTATCGTGTATTTGCAGTATCTAAGATAAGCATATTATTTTAACAATCACCCAATTATTTTATTACAATAGAAAAGCAAGTTTATATTTCCCTTATTTCAATTGCAGACATCTTGAAAATGTGTCCGAATACTTTTATCTACAAAACGGCGGCAGTATGATGGACTACCCCGCGTGGCGTAAGAAAACACCAACACCGCAGTTCATCAGCTACAGCAATGCGAATCGTATAGATCAGCTGATACTCGAGGATAAGCCAAGCACATCTGCCGCAGCTGCTGCGGCGCAAGCACAAAGAACTCAAGAACAACAGCAACTGGACACAGTATCTGAAGTCAATAGCAATATAAATACAACAGCAACGGACCCAACACAGGCAGATACCACACAGCAAATTGTAAGCACTTAAAACTTGCATCCCGGTTATTTTCAGCTATAAATTGTACTTTCCATAATGATGTTAACTACCAACTGAACGTCATTACCAATCTATATTTGAGAAGTTTTGACCTTAAAGGATGTTCGCAGTTGCGAGGCATTTGTCTGAATTATTTACTATTTCACTTATGTTTCTTATTTTAATTACATAATTCACTGCAAAGAAGGTATAATATATTTTTTCTTTTGCAGAGTACGCAAAATCAATTAACAACAAATATTGGAAGCACCATAAGTAACGCCAGCAGCAATAGTAGCAGCAACAACAACAACAGCAGCAAATCATCAGGAAGCTTGGCAAGCGCTGTGCGTAGCCATCCGAATTCCAATTGTAACAACAGTGCAGCACCGGCAACGTTGCCCACAGCAGTTAACGTAGTCGAGCCAAGCGGTAATGTTCTACCACCGGAGGCGGAAATTAAAATTCCAGCTGTTGGTGCAACACCCGTGGCCATCTCGACGAAATTACCCGCCGCGGTTGTCCAACTTACACAGCAAGGTAAGTAGCCCACTTCTCGAGCTTAACCCATTCCCTATTATTCATATTTTGTGTTTGTTACGACAATGTTATGTTGTTTACAATTTCAGTTAAAGTATTATAAACTAAAAATGAAATTATGCTAAATTCACTTTGTAAAATCAATGTCAAAACTTTAGCAAACTGCATACTACTACAACATACTACTCCAACTCCCGAATCGTGCCAACTGGTTCAAAAACAACGCACGCATTGCACAAACAAGACCAAAATGTTTTCAAAATCGCTCAACTAATACTGGAAACAGCAATTATAGTCCCTAACCAAATTGTTCGCCCTTCCACCACATACTCTTAAATTTGTTGCCCAATTTTTGTCATACACTACTAAACATTACCGCTTTGTATACACACACGTACATACATATACACTGCCAAATCATTTACACTGTATTGCTGTATATAATTTGTATTCCAATTGTTGGTTTTTTTCTCGTTTTCGTTACCTTATTTTTTTTTCTTTTTGAACAAAGCTCACATTTTACCTACATCCTAACGCACTCACTCTCACCATAATTGTATCGTTATAATATAGGTCACATACCCGGTAGACCTCTAGGAGGTCGTCACGGTATGGTCTTCGGTCAAATACCCGCGCCTCCTGCCGTAGGAAATTCTTCTGTACCTTTGGTGCCAGGTGCTTATCGTTCGCAAAAATCAAAACAAAAAACTAAAGCATTTTCTTTTATACTTTCATTCATGTATTGATATTTCTTAACATTTGTGTGTTTAATATTGATGCATTTTTGTTTTTTAGAAATTGCAAAGTGTAGTGCATTATTAATGTGCTTTAAAATTTGTGAAAATTATTTACATATTTAGAATTGGTGTATATTTATTTTCATTTTGTAAAATGCTTAGTTTTTAATTTTAATAAACAATTGAATGTTTTCCTCACTGTAAATGTACTATGCGCAATCCAGTAACGTACAAAGTGCATCGATTAGTGTTAGACCTTCTTTTGCATTGTAGATATCGTGCATCTAGGGTGGGTTGACTCAGTTAATGATATTTGGTAGCAAAAACTGACACACGCTTTATTTGTTGTTGCTACAACAATGCACATTCAAGCATACACATTCTCGAATTGATTTTCATATATATTTATTAGCTCCCATTTCCCACCATCAAAATAAAACAGATTACTTGTCACTTAATGCTAAAAGTGTTATTAAACAACCAATTTTTTTTTAATCTCGCACCTAAAAGCGTTTTCTTGTACGCTAACATATGCGCTTGAAAATCGTAGTTGTGTGCCAAAGCACAGTCCAGTCGCAAGTGACTTTAGAAGGTTACTACTATAGTCCCAAAAAGTCTGGCTACAATAGGTCATAATCAAAAAAATTTGCAGATACACATGTCACAGATCGGCACCTAAAAGCGTTTTCTTGCACGCTAACATATGCGCTTGAAAATCGTAGTTGTGTGCCAGAGAAAACGTCACAGTAGCATGTGACTTGATTAATGCAACAAATCAAGTCCAATTACACTGTTCACATGTCCAACACTCCTAGCTAATAGAAGGCACCTGTATCTGTAAATTGCATACGCACTCTGTGTCACATTGAAAATCGACCAAATGTGATGACAATTTGTAAGTCTGCTATACAAATTTGGCGCTGTTATTTATCCATGCAACAATTTTTTAAATAATTGCTGCATTGATTTAAGCTCCACATTCGTTAGGAAAAATGTTTGCATGTTCCTCATCAGTATATGCGTTTATTAATAGCTACTAATTTACAAATAAACTAATTCGCAACAATATGGTTCACTTTACTTATAACATTATGTTTTTTTTAAATCAATTTTCTCGCTTTTACGGTAGACATACGTTATGCATTTTCAAGCATGCAGATTCTCAAAGTCCCTCAAAATGATAAGCCTCTTGTGTTTAATGCTAAGCTATCAATTTGCTTCTTTTCAAAGGTGGAACACCGCTGGTACCCTGCAGTACTTCAGTGGGTTCGACTGCGCTGCGTCGGACGGATAACAGAAACACACCGAATGCTGCAATCACAAGTATTGCAGCCACTCCAACGCAGCCAACGTTCAGTGGTGGCACCAATGGACCCGATGGAAACAGTAACGTCGCAGGCGTCACGCCTTGCACTCCTGGCAGCAGTCTGCTCAGTCCCTTGGACAGTTCTGCAACACCAAATAGCGCACAGGAGTTTTCGTTTAAAGCCAAACAGGAGGTGTACGTCATGCAGCGTATATCCGAATTACAGAGAGAGGGATTATGGACTGAGCGGCGGCTGCCCAAGCTGCAGGAACCCAGTCGGCCGAAGGCTCATTGGGACTATCTGCTGGAAGAGATGGTGTGGTTAGCCGCTGATTTTGCGCAGGAGCGCAAATGGAAGAAGAACGCAGCAAAGAAATGTGCCAAAATGGTACAGAAATACTTCCAGGACAAAGCCAATGCTGCACAGCGTGCCGAAAAGGCGCAAGAGCTGCATCTGAAAAGAGTGGCATCTTTCATTTCCCGAGAAGTAAAGAGCTTTTGGTCAAATGTTGAAAAGTTGGTGGAATACAAGCACCAAACAAAGATCGAGGAGAAGCGCAAGCAAGCATTGGATCAACATCTCAGCTTTATAGTCGATCAAACGGAAAAATTCTCACAGCAGCTGGCTGAGGGCATGAACAAAAATGTTGCTGAGACGCCAAGTATGACATCCAGTCGATTGACATCACCCAAGCGAGAATCTGATGGTAAGTTTAAACTTATTCAATTGAATTATGTGAGAGTTATACGGAAATATTATCAAGTGATGACAAAAATAAACTGAAACGTTGTTGTGGTCTATTCTTGAGTACAGCGATGTTGTTAAGGGATGGTCGCAATTGCGAGGCATTTGTCTGATGAATTAAATACGATTTTAAATTTCAGCAAAATAACTAAATAAACCATTGGTAATAACGTATTTTTCTGGATTTGCAGATGAGTTTCGTCCGGAATCGAATTCAGAAGACGACGAAGAGACGATTGCAAAGGCGGATGAGGAGGCTGCTGATGTCAATGAGGAGGTAAAAGCGCTGGCCAAGGAATCTCAAATGGACTTTGATGATTTTCTGAAAGATTTGCCTAAGGGCTATTTGGAAAATCGAGATAAGTTGATGCTCGAGGAGCAGAGCTCGTCGAAGGCTAGTAGCAACAACGAACCCAACGAAACCGACGACAGCGAGTTCGAGGCAAAGGAATCCAGCGATGATGATGAGAATACTATAAGCAAACAGGAAGAAACAGAAATGGAGGTCGATCATAAAAAGGAAATCGATGAGCTGGAGGCAGACAATGACCTTTCCGTCGAACAGCTACTCGAAAAATATCGCTCCGGTAAAATAAATGAGTCCAGCTATGGGAAACGACGAAAACTAGCTGTTGAGGCTTCTGAGTTGGACTCGGACGATGACTCGACAGTGGTTGAGGATTCAACAGATGATAGTGAGATGGAAGGAGAATTTGAAGAAGATGAAGATCTTTCAACCATTAAGACCGATACCGACGTTGATGATAATGAAAAGGAAGATGGCCTTAAGAGTCTGCTCACAGATGCTGATGCCGGAGGTAACAAAGATGACATGCTCAATGATGCAGCAGCGCTGGCCGAGAGTTTGCAACCAAAAGGCAATACTTTGTCCTCCACCAATGTGGTCACGCCTGTGCCATTTCTTCTTAAGCACTCGCTGCGCGAATACCAACACATTGGCCTTGACTGGTTGGTCACGATGAACGAGCGTAAACTCAATGGCATCCTGGCCGACGAGATGGGATTGGGAAAAACCATCCAAACTATTGCGCTACTGGCACATCTCGCTTGTGCCAAGGGCAATTGGGGGCCACACCTAATTGTGGTCCCATCGTCTGTGATGCTCAACTGGGAGATGGAGTTCAAGAAGTGGTGTCCTGGTTTTAAAATACTCACCTACTACGGTACACAAAAGGAGCGGAAATTAAAGCGCGTTGGTTGGACTAAGCCGAACGCATTTCATGTGTGTATTACCTCATACAAATTGGTGGTGCAGGATCAGCAAAGTTTTAGGCGTAAAAAATGGAAATATTTAATATTGGATGAAGCGCAAAACATAAAGAACTTCAAGTCGCAACGTTGGCAATTATTGCTCAACTTTTCTACAGAACGGTAAGTAGGGTTTGCTTAATATAGGACCTATTTGTTTAGCACCGAAATCAGTAACCTTGCGACTGCTAACCTAGCATGGCGACTACGCTTGGGTGCTAAAATTGAACTCGCTATAATGCCGCATACTAATCAGAGCATACCAATAACGCCTTAGGATGCTTATGGCCTTGTTTTGAGACAAATTTTCTAAAAAAAAAAAAAAAAAAAAAAATCAAATTATCAATAAGCTAAGCATGCACATATTATTTCAGACGTTTGCTTTTGACTGGTACACCACTGCAAAACGATTTGATGGAGCTTTGGTCGCTAATGCATTTCCTAATGCCCTACGTTTTCTCATCACATCGGGAGTTCAAGGAGTGGTTCTCCAATCCGATGACTGGAATGATTGAGGGCAACATGGAGTACAACGAAACGTTGATAGCACGTTTGCACAAGGTGAGCGGATACAAATAAATTCGTGTACATAAAAAACATGGGCACCTAAAAGCGTTTTCTTGTCCGCTCAATTTTAATGCGCTAGAAAATCGTTGAAAGTGTGCCAAATAAAAGTCCACTTGCAAGTAACTTTAGCTTTTACCACACTTAAGTTTTAAAATACTGGCTACACTTTTTTTTTTTTTAAATCGTTCAACTCCATTAATGGGCTATGTGCCGTTTGCACCTAAAAGCGTTTTCTTGTCCACTCTTTTAATATGTGCTTGAAAATCGTAGATGTGTGCTAAAGTAATCGTCACAGTAGCAAGAGATTTGAATTTTAAACCAAAATCAAATCCAATTAAACTGCGCTCATGTCTATATCTTTAAGCAAAACTCATCTTTTAATCATCTACGCAAACGCACTCTGTGTCACATTGAAATATGACCACATGTGATGACAATTTGTTAGTTTGCAAAAACAATAGAAGCTCCGAATTATCCATGTGGCAATGTTTTACCAAATTGACTACATTGAAATCGAGCATCACACTTAAAAACAAATTTATTAAGAATATTTTATGAATTGCCATAAATCAGGGAAGCAGTTAATTTAACAATGCATTCAATTTATAAGTTACAAACATATAAAAACTCATCTTTTAATCATCTACGCAAACGCACTCTGTGTCACATTGAAATATGACCACATGTGATGACAATTTGTTAGTTTGCAAAAACAATAGAAGTTCCGAATTATCCATGTGGCAATATTTTACCAAATTGACTATATTGAAATCGAGCATCACACTTAAAAACAAATTTATTAAGAATATTTTACGAATTGCCATAAGTCATGGAAGCAGTTAATTTAACAATGCATTCAATTTATAAGTTACAAACATATAAAAACTGCCAAATACTTATGTCTTTGAGCATCTATAGTGACAATAAATGATTTTCCCAATTACTGTTATTTATAGGTCATCCGTCCATTTCTTCTACGTCGACTCAAAAAAGAGGTGGAGAAGCAAATGCCAAAGAAATACGAGCATGTTGTTATGTGCCGCTTGTCCAATCGCCAGAGGTATCTCTACGAGGATTTCATGAGTCGTTCGAAGTGAGTTCATAACCTCCGTTTTTATATGAACGGGACTTATATGTCGTTTACTTTGTCAGAACACGGGAGACTCTTCAAACTGGTAATTTACTAAGCGTCATCAATGTGCTGATGCAACTGCGTAAGGTGTGCAACCATCCCAACATGTTCGAAGTTCGTCCAACTATATCGCCATTTCAAATGGAAGGTATTACATTCCAAACACCTAGACTCGTGGCCGACCTTATGGAGTATGATCCGTTCACGGTGAGTTCAAGAAAGGTGTACAAAAAGTCTGAAGTCTATAGAAGATAAAAATGATGATAAACTGTCACTGATTGTTGGATTCAATCTATTTTGGAGCGAGTCATAACGTTTATAGGGATGTTCGCTGTTGCGAGGCATTTGTCTGATGCAGCAACGTCCGATATACAAATCGTGTTATTTTATGAATTGTAACTAATCCTGTGTCTTTTTATTTGTAGCAAATCAACCTTCATTCTGTAAATTTATTGCTGATGCAACTGGAGAATACGCTTACCGCTTACATGTCGCACAAGTCTCGATTGCTGGCACCACCTCGAAAGCTGATTGAGGAAATTGATAGTGCACCTTTGCCACCGCCTCGCTGCCCCAATGGCAAATATCGTTTTCATGTACGAGTACGTAATCCAGAGGTGGCGCAACGTATCAAGCTGCAAGCTGTGCGAGTGGGCGCAAGTCCGGCGATGCGTCTGGAGGGTACTAAAATCGTGCCAATGAGAAGTCTATTGCCTAGTGGGCGTGTGCTGAAGCGAGTAACGGGCACCATTAATCCCATTAATATGTCCATGCGACCAGTCATTTTGAATAGTTTGTTGCCTGCAACTACGGTGACGACGGCGACGACAACTGCGATAAATGTGCTAGGCACTTCAAAGGTGCTCACGACACGCTCCCAAATGAATGCACCGACTCCGGCGAAAGTTGCAAAGACTATACAGGATGGCAAGCCATTTTTCTATTTGACGCCTGCAACAAATACAAGTGGCGGTGGTGCGCGGCTGACGTTGACCAGTAAATCGACGACTGGCGTTCTCACGACTACGACGAGCAACACAGCAGCCTTGCAATTAAACAAAGAGCCAATTGTGAAGGATTTGGCAACACACGTCAAAGCCGCATCGACAAAAAAGCAAGCAAGTGATGCCAAAGCGGAATCCAGAAATCTTGCTGGAAAGGAATCAGCACGCGGGGAAGCCGAAGACCCTTTCAAGTTAGAGCAATTGTTACAACAACGCAAAGAACAGCGGTTGGCATCTCTGAAGCGTATGGCTTCTATAAACAAACGGCGGTCAGAAGCAACGCCTATCTACGGGGCTGACTGTCGTGGTACTCTTCAGCGATGCATGCAACCGACTCGTACGTTGAACCGTTCGACTTGGCAGACACGTGGCTACGCTAACTGTGGCATAGCTATGAGAGAACGCGATGGATGGTCTCTGAATCATATATTAAAAAGCTACGAGCAACGATGTGCCGAATTGACTCCCATCTTTGCCAACTTTGTGATTTATGTGCCGTCAGTTTGTGCGCCGCGGATTCGTCACTATGTTCACAAACTCACTTCGACGCATTGGCAATGTGAGCGTGAAATTGAGACGGTTGTGACTAAAGAGCTATCTCCAAAACTGGGGTTACTTCATCCCATAATTTCTGCTATGACCACACAGTTTCCAGATCCACGACTCATACAATACGACTGTGGTAAGCTGCAAACGCTGGATCGACTGCTGCGTCAGTTAAAGGTTGACGGCCATCGTGTGCTTATATTTACGCAAATGACCAAAATGCTGGATGTGCTTGAGGCGTTCCTTAATTATCATGGTCACATTTATTTGCGGCTGGATGGTTCGACACGTGTCGAGCAACGTCAGATTTTGATGGAACGTTTTAATGGAGACAAGCGCATTTTCTGCTTTATACTGTCTACACGCTCAGGAGGTGTGGGCATTAATCTGACAGGTGCGGATACTGTAATCTTTTACGATTCAGATTGGAATCCTACAATGGATGCACAAGCACAAGATCGTTGTCATCGTATTGGCCAGACCCGTGATGTTCACATATATCGTTTGGTGTCTGAAAAAACGATTGAGGTTAACATTCTGAAGAAGGCGAACCAAAAACGTATGCTCAGCGATATGGCCATTGAGGGTGGAAACTTTACCACAACATACTTCAAGAGCTCCACCATTAAAGATCTCTTCACCATGGATCAAACAGAACAGGAAGAGAGTCAAGAAAAGCCATGCAGTAGTTCAGCTAATGATATTGGATCGCAATCATCGAATGGTGGTGCTTCCGAGCCGGTGGAAACAGAAAAACAATCACTGCGCGCATTCGAGTCTGCGTTGGCTGCTGCCGAGGATGAGCAGGATGTGCAGGCTACCAAGACGGCAAAAGACGAGGCCGCAGCTGAATTGGCTGAGTTCGATGAAAATATTCCTATTGATGAGACTATCACTGAAGGTGGTGCAGGCGTCGAACTAAGCAAGGCTGATTTAGAAATGCAGAACTTGGTAAAGCAGGTGAGTCGCATAGAATTACGTTATATATCGCTATTTTTTCGGGCGCTTTTGCTAAAAGTTATCAAATAAGTTTGTTTTGCTGCGAATTTGAACAAGTATAGAGCGCCCAGAGCGATTTCTAACGAACTAGACGTTCAGACATAGTCAAAGCGATGACCCACACTTGATTATATCACTCAACGTCTAACATTTGGTTTTCTTAATCTAGTTTATGAATTTGTTTTGATCCACATTTAATCATTTTTTTCTCCCCATATAGCTGTCGCCCATCGAACGCTTTGCCATGCGCTTTGTGGAGGCAACAGGTGCTGCGTGGACAGCGGAGCAACTAAGGGTCGCCGAGGCGGAACTGGAGGCGCAAAAACGAGAATGGGAGGCAAATCGTCTAGCAGCTATGCAAAAGGAAGAAGAGCTACTCAAGCAAGAGGCCGAAGCCGAGGAACTTCTCACATACAATCGCAAGGATGCAAGCAATCAGGTTAATACAAAACAAGAAAGAACTTCGAACCGACGAAACTCAATAGTCAATAGGCGGGCTAAAGGGGATAGCAAAAAGTTAAAGCATCAAGTTAGCAATAACAGCAGTGTTAGCAATAGCAGCAGCAACAACAGCAAATTGAAGAACACAAAATTAGCACAAGCTGTAAGTCCAGTTAGAACGCGGCGTGACAGTCTTAATATGAGCTCGTCACATATTCAAGCAAGCAGTAAGAGTAGTAGTAACAGTAAAAGGGCAGAAGAACCGATGCTGCCGGGTAGGCGACAGACACGCCTTCATTCGCTGGCTGTCATAAACGTTACGGTCCAACCAACTAGAAAGACAACACGCACAGCGATAGCTGCAGCGGCAGCAGCAGCTGAGGGGGAGGAAGGAAACGCTTTGGAGGAGCGCCCGAAGCGTTTGTCCGCCAATATTGCAATGAGCAAGTTTATGAAAGCGATACCGCCCGCGGTAGCATCACCGAAGAACTCTCCAGCGAAAAGGGCAAATAATTCGTTGCCAGTGCGAAGGAGGAGAGAAAGCGTGTTGCCGATTCGAAAGAAAGTCTTTGCCAGGCGCGCAACAATTTCAGCGGCGCCGCAAGCATTGAAAAAGAGCAGAAGCGCAATTGATGTAAGAATTGCGAGGAATGAAGATGATGATGATGAGGATGAAGATGAAAGTGTTTGTGTGGACGATGATGCGACAATGGCTTCTGCGATTGAGACCACAACTCAAACTGAAGACGACACGGAAACAGAACAAGAGGAGATGGTAGCACACTCAAAAGGGGGCAAGAAGCGTATTAATGTGCAAACTTGTGAAGATGGTGAAAATGATGAAGATATTCATGTGGATGACGTCTCGGATGACAATGACTCGGACGAGGTGGATGCAAAGTCCAGTTCAAGCTATGCCACAGCTGGCGGTGACGATTCAAACGCGAACAGTATGGATGACTGGAGTGCGCATGACCAACTACAAGATACAACAATGACTAGTTCTACGTATTACAATGTGTCTGAAGAGTCAGATACAGATGACAATGATCCTTTGGCGTTATCTGCAAATTCAAAAACGCCGCAGCTTGCTCATCGCAACAGCAGTCGATCTGAATCAAACAACACGCCACGCACACGATCTCGCGGAACTGTAAAAATAAATCTTTGGTCGTTGGATTCAAGTCCCGTGCAACCCGTTCCAAAACCGCAGACATCAAAAACTGCTGCCAAGAAGACGCAGCGCACATCGGAAAGCGAAGGTGGCAAAAAATTGAGTTTAGCTGAATCCACTCCTCTTCGGACTAGCAGCAATCATGAACTATCGACCAGCGAGTCTAAGCTAATTGTGACGTCTCGCAAGCCGCAAATAGGAAAGCGGGTACTGCTGCCTAGTGTTGGAAAGAAAATTGTCGACAGTAGTACACCATCAACCGCTCCCACCACAACGCTGCATCGCTGGCTAACCAAAACTCCACGTGTACTTCTGCGGTCTACGCCAGCAGCGACCACATCTACTGTTTCAGGCACTGTAAGCAGTTTGACTTCTGCCAATGGTGCGACACGGTGATGCTGATGAAGCGCGCAGTTTCATGGGCACGCCAAGTCAAGTATTTCCTCTCCTTCAGCAGTATTATTATTATCTCTTAAGCTGTCGGACTCCTAACTGTGGCAGCTAATCGTATGTGTGTCTTGGATGCTTTTTAGTGCGCGCTTGAACAGACTCTGAACTTTTACTGTTACTCTAGTTCTGTACAGTAGGATCAGTTATTTCCGCCTCCAGGGTTCAAGTTTTTATAGACTGTAACAAGTTTCCTTCTTCGATTTAGAACTTATTTTAGCTAGATGGCAGGCATATAAAAGTTTAGCTTTACGATTTGTGTAGGGTAAAACTTTTGTGGTATGTATGTGTATGTAAAGAAAAAGGGGCGGGTGGTCGGCGAACTTGTATACCAAAGGCGCACGAGAGATATTTTCATTAAATTCAAACAACTTTAAATATATTTCAATTTTTGTTTGATTTTCCGATTTGTATTTTTTTTGCGCTCTACCTGCCTGCCCTGCCCAAGTCTTCAAATTGTATATATATTGTAGTTATAGTCATGTAAGAGGAATTCAATAACTAAAGCCTAAAAACTCATATAATTAGTTCTGTTGTTAATTCATTCTGTTAAGCCTTTAAGTCTCTTTTAATGCTTAAGTTTTATAAGTTTAGGTCAGGACATATTTGTTAACATACATTTATCATTCAATAATTTATTTTGTATTTTACTAAAAAAGAAAAAAGAACAAAAAATCTAAAGACTACGAGCATAGATTGACTACTAATAAAAAAATCAATTGATATGCTTTAAAAAATGAACTTCACATCGAAAATAGAATGAGACGTTGTGGTTTTTATTTACGATAAATTTCATGTAAAAGCTTAGAAGACAATTGCCCCATTGAGTCTTTGGCGTAACCAAAGAACAGTGGAAATGAATAAGCGGAAATCACTAAATATTATTTTCTCTGTATGTCAAAAAGAATTCTGTTTTGGTGTCGCCTAATGATTATATTGTGTAAGCAACTAATAATTATACGAATTATACAAAATATCAATTATAAAATTCACAATGTTAGAATACGTCCAAAAAGCGCGCATTTTCTTTGGTTTTTGGTCTGTTAACAAATGTTGGCACCAAGACCAAGGCTATGAATCGGTTCAGATTTCCGTCAACCCAAAATCATTAAATACTATGCAAATTGTTCTTCTGACTTTACGAAATGGTTCGTAATGAAAGCTACAACGCCTACAGATAAGCACGAGTTTTAGAAGTGTAGACAACACCAAAACAGAGTTTCTCATATGAAAATAATATTTTCCGTTTATTCTCTTCTTCAAATTTTTCTCTGTACGGCGTCAATTTCTCTACGTGATGTTGATGTGTGTGTGAACATAGATCTGGATATCGCGCAACAACATGGAGCAAATGCCGGTAAGTTTTGAGCTCAGCTGTTGTCATTTTTCTTGATTTTTTTTTGTACTTATAACATACACGCCAAACTTCAGATGTGGTGCCCACCTACACCGCCGCAGGATAACAACGACATCTACATTGACTTTTCACTGTCGTTCATGTACGAAATGGACCCCATACCGGAGTTTGATCTACCGCCAGTGTATGTACGCAAGGAGTACAAGAGGTCGCGGGCGGATGCCGGTTTCAGCTTTGATGGCAGTCGCCGGCCGAGTAAAATACGCCGCGAGGATAACTTTGTTCCCCCGCGTTCGTTGTTCGATAGGCCGACAGCTCAACTGGCGCGCCTTCGCCGCGATTTGAAAAATCAACGCTTCCGTGGGGCATTCAAACCAAACTCGCCTATACCGGGCCTTAAGCCACAGATGCAACTGAAGCCAATAGCCGAGCCCGAGGCCATGAGCGAGTGGTGTATTTTTGAGGATATAGCCATATTGCATGTTTTGGTGAATCTGCAGGGATTACCCTGCAGTCTCATGTTGCTCTCGCCGGGTCAAACGCCAAACTGGGATCTGGTGTCGGAGATGGTTAACTTTTGCTCAAAAACATATCGGTCTCCGCGCCAGTGTCGCTGGCGCTACGAGACACATATACAGCCGCGTGAAGAAGGTAAGGTGGTGGAGAGCCCCAAAAAGCAAAAGAAGCTGAAGCCTACACTGCGTACGGAATATGTAAAGAGTCCATTACGCTATTTGCGAACGACTCAGCTCTATATTAGCGACAACAACTCATCCTTCTATAAGGTAATGCGTTCACGCTTCGATGCCATAAAAACGGCCTATTTAAAGAAGGCTCCGCCGCCTAAGCGCCAGTTTAGTGCGCCCAGTCTAATGAATCCCAAACACATGGAGGTTCTACAGGAGTTTGGTATTGTTAACTACGATCAGCCAGTGTCGCCCATGAACATCGCAATACTGAAGGCCAACAAGCTACGAGAGAAACAGCAGCAGAGAGGACCTTTGGCGCCACCAACAGCACCGCAGCAACAACAGCAGCAGCAGCAACAACAACAACAGCAAGCACAGGTATTACAATCTCAAAATGCGCCAATGCAACAGGTTCCTACAACGCTGCCAATGCAGCAACAACAACAGCAGCCGCAGCTCGAATTGGTGCAACAAGCCCAGGCGCAGCAGCAACAGACAACTGTGGCCGTGGGCACACCCCTGACCACGAGTAGTGCCAGTCAGTTGCAGCAGTTGCAGATACAACATCTGACCAATGCGAATGTATCCGCCGGCTTGGCACAGACGCAACAAACGACCATATTGCTTCATCCGCAGGGCAGCTTGCAGGCTGCTCAACAGCAACATGCAACGGGCAGCGTCACACAATCGCAATTACTTCGCACGCATCAGCTAGGACCGCCACAGCAGCAGCAGCAGACGGCTCAAGGACCTACTCAGATCGTGAAAACCATTGTAGGCACGTCGTCTAGTCTCATTGCTGGTCAGATGCAACAACTGGCACAGCAATCCGCAGGCTCTGGAGGTGTGCAGCTGCAGCCACCACCTGGTAGTCAGAGTTCTGTCTCCGTAGTGTTGACCACTCCCGTTCAGTCGCTGCCATCGGTGGTGCAAACAATGACTCATCATGCGAATGTTCCAGCTTCTGCGGCACAGATTGTTTCCATATCCTCGCAAACCATGCCTGTCAATAGTTCGCCGCAAGTGGGCAGTATTGTGCAAACTCAGACACTCCCCCAGGTAGTGTCTGTCTCCTCCCTGCAAACTGTGGGATCCGTGTTAACAACGACGGCGGGCCTGCAGTCCACAGGCTCTGTGGCTACCCTCAATACGACCACATTGCGCGGTCAACGCATCGTGTCCGCCGCCACAGGAAACACTCTGCAGGATGTGGTGCTGCAACAACGAACAGCGCAGGCTGGTCAATCCATCGTGTCAATGTCCAATTTGGGACAGGGTGTGTCGCCAGCACAATTCCAGACACAGCTTCGACTGGCGGCCGTTCCTACTTCACCTGCAACGCAGACCCAACTGGTTACCACCAAAAGTATGCCAGTAAGCGCATTGCAACAGGGTGCTAAGGGCGTCCTGCCTGGAACGCCACAGCCAGGCGCACACATCCAACTATACCGGCAACGCAACATAAAGGTACTCCAGGCCGCACAGGCATCAGCCAATGCCTCAGCCACCTTGAGTCCGGCAGTAGTGCAAACAACAGGTGGTCTGGCGCCTGGAACCATTATCCAGGCTAGTAACATCATGCAGGCGGGCCCTCAGACTCACGTCACCAGCCAGAAGGTTGCAGTATCTGGCATGCAAGGAGCCACCACAGCACAGGCTGGAAACGTAGTCACATCCGTGAGCACCGTACAAATGACTCACGGTCAGGCGCGCACGCAATTCATCAAGCAGATGGCCGCAGGCAAACAGACACTCCAGCGACAACTGGTCACAGATGGTAGCGGAAATCCCACAGGTGGCGGGGACATGTTGCTTGTTAAGCGTCACAATATAATTGCTGCTCAAAAGGCTCAACAGGCAACGGGGCAACTTTTTACCACTACAACCACCACGCAACAAGGACTCCAGCAACAGCAGCAGCAAGGTCAGCTGCCTGTAGCTGGAGCTGGTGGCCCGCAACAATCTTTAGGTCAACAACAACAGGTGACACAGCAACAGATTGCTTCGCTGGTGAAAGCTTCGACTGCAGCAGCAGCCAGTGGTGCTAGCGTCAGTGCCGGTGGTGTTACTGTTTCGGCAACGGGTCCACCCACCGCTCAGGGTACTGTGAACATGACGTTGCCGCAACTGAAGCCGGGAAGCCAAATCAAGGTGACCATGCCCAATCAGATACGTCAGATGCCCCAACAACTGGCCATGCCCCGCAAAATCAGTCGCATGACACAGCTGGTGAGCGCCTCTGGCCAACCCACGGCCACCAACATAGTGACGACCACGGTGCCGCAGCAAACGGCCGGTGGTGTCACTGTTTCGCCAGCTGGTAATCCGACGTTGCCCACGGTGCAAGGGCAACAGCAGCAACAAAAAGGAGCGCCTGGTGGGGCCAGCGTGCAAGCCCAACTCTTGCATATTCAGAACACCAAAACGCTGTCCAATTCGGTAACTGTGCAACAAATCCAACAGGTAATGCGTAGCGGCCAGCACGGTACTCTAGCCACCACAAATCTGGTGCTAGGAAAAACTAGTGTAGGTCGTGTTATACCAGTTTCACAAGCCACCCAGCGTCAGACCATACAGGTGAGCTTCTCTATTATTCGAAGAGCAACAATTATCAATTGTTAATCGCCTCTTGTCTTTTGCTTATTAGGTTGTATCGGCTGCCTCAGGTAATCTGCGCACCCATGTCTCGGGTCAAAACATAGCTAGTGCTCTAAAGGTGGCTGCATCGGGCGGTAATCCCACACAGGCAACGCAACAGACTCTGATTGCTGCACTGCAACAAAATCAGCGACAAAATGCAAGTCCTGTGCGACTGCAAACCACTGCCGGTGGCAATTTGCTTGCTGTGGTGCAGCAGCAGCAACAACAGCAGCAACAACAACAACAGCAGCAGCAACAACAGCAACAACAACAAGTGCAACAACATACAACTATGGCTGCACCCACAGCTGGACCAGCCGAGGTGATGACCATAACGCAAACCACCGCAACATTGCCGACAGTCAGCAACATGCAACAACAGCAGCAGCAGCAACAACAACAACATCAGCAGCAACCAACGACACAACAGGTACGCACGCTGGTGAAGAAAAAGATCATGATCAGAAGCGAGAAAGAATAACATTTACCGAATCGCACAAGAGCCGCTCGGCCACGTCATACAAGAGCCACTAGTACTCGACGCAATATCACAACCACCACCACAACAACCACCGCCATTGCCATTGCTGCCACAGCCACAGCCACAACCAGCTGCACCACAATCAGCAACAATGCAATCACGCAGAGTGTTGTTAGTGGCGGCCGAGCTCGTAAGGCAACATAAAAAAATATTTAAAATTTGTTTTTGGAATAAGGTTTGTGTCAAAATTTGAAGCCCATAGCCACCATTCTCGTCCTCGTTCTCAACATTCATGCATTTTTTCCATGTCGTCGCTAGCGTTTTCATTAAAAACGGTTAGAGAGACAAACAGACGCACAGTCAGTTAGTCAGTTAGTCAGTCAGTCAGTCAATCAATCAATCAGCCAGTTTATCAGTAATTGCTAAATTGATCTCAATTTTTGTTGATTGAATTTACAGCCGTGAGCGCTGCTGGCTTCCGAGTCTGGGCGACATGGCGACTTGGCTACGCCTGTTGGAGCGAACTCCAGCAAGCAAAAGCTGAACCATTCTGCAGCTGTATTATATTAACATATAAATAATAGAAATAATATACATATATAAATAAATACATATAAATAAATAAATATATATATGAAAATAAATACATACATACACTATGCATAAATAAATAAATATAATAAATTCACATATAGTATACATAAATAAATACACATATATAAATAGATACATATAAGCAGGAAATATATTCAACTTACTATTAATGTGTGTAGGGAATTAGTTTAGTTTATAAAATGTAGTCGATAAGTTTATCAAATAAAGATTTAGTTATACACTTATTAGCTAACTGAATTTACGAGTATAGCGATTAATTTGCTCTAACTCTTTAGCGTATGCAAATTCCTATTAATTATATACATATGCTTGTATATTAATCATAGAAATAAACTCGGTCAATGAAACACACAAGAACAGCTATTTTCAGTTGGTGAAACAAAACAAATCGTCGAGGGGGCTTTAAGGTGTTAAGGTGAACAACCAACAGCTGGCTTGCCATGGCAACTCACGCCGGGCATAACAAAATACTGTGTACAGTAAAGGTGTGTGCAGGAGTTTTCAGTTCCTTGTCGTTTTCTTGAGAAATTGTGTAAGCTGGAATGTCGCTGTTTAATGTTCGAAGTTGGTGGTCCACTCAGTGCCCTGATCTGGGTGAGCAATACGATGTGGCCAGTTTGTTGTGCGCTCGCTTTGGGCTGGAAACGCAGGAAAAGGACTACATAATAGTGGGCTCACAAACGGGACAGCTAAGCATTTATTACCCGCACATGCAGCCACAGTCTCGTGGCAGTGGCAATGTATATCAGGTCACAGATCTGCTGCTGGAGACACAGCTCCACGAGCCCATCCTTGGCATCTATGCGGGCAAGTTCAGCGGGTAAGCATTGTCGAATAGTCTGTGCAGTCCACTGAGTCCGCCCTTACAGAAATGTGCGCAATGAGAACGTAAACCAGCTGGGTGTGCTCTTGCCCAATGCCATTGCCATCTACAATCTGCAAGTGATGAGTGGCCTGGCGGAGCACGGAAGTCAGCTGCGACTGCAGCTCCAGGTGGAATATAAATTCGAGCGTGTTGCCTTCTCCATGTGTAAGGGACACTTCGGACAGGTGAAGGGACGCGAATTCTTCTGTGTGGTGCATCTGGATGGCACGCTCACCTTTTACGAGCAGGATGGCATTGCCTACGAGTGTCGCTTTCCCGGTCATCGAGCCCTTCCTGCTCCTGTCGCCTATTGCGAACGCACAGATAGTTTCTTTCGGTTCAGTGCCACCTGGCACTTGGAGTGCTATAGCTATCAGGATCTGTCACATTCTCTAATCAGCAAGAGCAGCTACCAGCCCGCTTGGTCGCAGTGCATTGGCGAGGGCGTGATCGACATGTGCGTTGTGCAGGTGAAACAGTAAGTTTTCCATAAATAGAGCACATCCTTCAAAGTTGCAATTTTCAGAGAAAAATAGAGAGAAATTCCAACAAGCTATACGAATATTCTATGTGTAAGTTATATGGTAGAATGGTCCATTTCAGAATTGGACATCTTAACGAGATTTAAAAAGGCATAATAGCTTAATTAAATTCCGATTCACATACATAGTTCCCTATATTAATGATATAGTAGAATAACTTAGCCAGTTTTCCCTGATGCCTGTTTCTTTAAAAAATTACGATACTAAATTATGATATAATTTCATTTTACCAAATCAAATAATGGTTGCAGAATTGATAGCCTGGCCTTTAGAAGAAGATGGTTTTACCAAATAACATTAATGTATTTTTTATGTTTTAAATGAATTTCGCAATGGAAAAACAAGTTGCATACATCTCAATTGGGTGTAAAGCTTATAGCTATATTTTCTGCTAAAACCTATCCCTAAACTTGTTTACCCTTCTGATAATGCCACTCATCTAAATAATACAGAGATTTTTATATTCAAAAAATAATTATACCATTACTACAATTAAAAGGAAATGAAGCTACAGCAAGTCCTTTTACGATAGAGACTTACATAGTATGTGCTTGTAAGACAATTCACCATTTCTGGTCCTTTTGTGGTATACTTACACCTAATTCTGTTTTTACACGGTAGATTTGTTCCAAAAACAACCGTGTAAAAAAATACACTATTCATATGCAAAAATAGGTGATTGGTTCCTTATCACTAAAGAAATATACAAGTATATGAAATTTTTAAACCGTGTTTTATCAAAATTGTGTAAAAAATCCGTGTAAAAACAGAATTAGGTATACACGTACATAGTACACCTAATTCTGTTTTTGCTCGCTAGATTGGTTCCAAAAAAGTCGTGTAAAAAAACCTTATAAAAAAGACATTGATCATATGTTATTTTAAAACGTGCTAAATGGAATAATGTCGCGTATCCATATATAAAATGTTTAATTTTCAAATCGCGTTAAATCAAAACCGTGTAAAAATAGAATTAGGTGTACATGTATGTATGTATCATGATACATTCGAAGAGGCAGTAACAACATTTCTTTCGAAGAGACTCGTCGTTCATCTTGATTCTGGGGGAACGGAACTTCATTAGCCTGGATGACAATGGAAAATTCCATTTTATGCTGAAGCTGGATTATGCCCCCAAGTGCTTTCACAGCTTTGTCGTGGGCTATTACTGGGGTAAGTTTGCAATGAAAGGGTGAAGTGAGTCTAAGCTTTTATGCTTCTTGCAGAGCCAGGGGCTCGTCTAATCAGCGCTTTAGTGTCCGACGCTGGGAAACTTTATTTGTACGAGGAGGGAAATATAATCTGGGCCGCACAGTATCAGGACTATGCTCCTGTAGCCATAAAGCGATCCAATCTGAACAGCCTACCTGGAGGCATAGTTACCCTTGGCCCCACAGGACAGCTGCAAGTGGGCTACCTTGGCTCTGATCCTTTTCTCTTTCAAGTTCCGCCGCTCAATGTTGAGGAATTAAGCTTTGCCGAGGCGCACAAACAGCTACAACAGTTGGAAGATGAAATTAAAGAGGCTGTGGACATCCAAGACATGGACGCGGTGAATCAGCAGGCAGCAGACAATGTGCGCCTGAGTTTCAAGATCCAACTAGAGGTGAGGGATGACTTGGACACGTTGTTGTTGGATGTGCCAGCTGATGTGGCTGTTAGGGAGCTGCCATCGGCCAGGGGTTACTTGAAGGTGAAAGTTAAAACAGAGCTAACCGAGCTCCAGCTGGTCTTCAATACGCCAAATGGTGTGCGTTGTAGCAAGGATACGTTGAGCTTTGTAGACGTGCCAGGGGGAAAAACCTTCGAACTGGAGTTGGACTTTTACATCGCCGAGCTACTTCACGTACACACGACGCAAGTGGATGTAGTGGCGTCTTATGTGAGCACGCGGGTAAGAGTAGCATTATTATCATAATCATCATCATCATCATCATCATTAGCTGTTATTTGGCAGGGCATTCCACGTGTTATACAACAAAAGGCGCATCTGCCCTTGACAATGTTCTACAAGACGTGCCAAGCCCAGAAAGCTGCCGGCATTAAGTTAACCTACGCAATTACAACTAAACACTTGGTGCCCAAGCTAATCACGTTCTTCGGCGAGTTCCTGGAACCGAATAGCGAGGTGCATGCATTGGGTCTGCAACTGTTGTGTCCTGGTCTAGAAATGGTGCCAGAAACTATCACTGTGGTAGCGGCAAAGAACTCGAATCGTCTGAGGTAAATACCAGACTGTCTGCTTCCAGCCAGCATTAAAGTTAAACTCTTACCAGAATTCAATCGGATCATATTGAAGCGTTTCCCATGATACTGGAGCGTATTGTTCAGACAACTCTGCAGTATGACAATGAAGCTGGACTGATAAGAATGGACAAAAAGAAGGCAAAGAAAGGCGCCCTTAACCGTAATGTGGAGCGCATCATTGCTGCCCCCTTTCTACCCTCCCAACCTATTCTGCATCGCATTGACATACATCGAGAAACCCAGGAGAATATAAGGAACCAAACGGTACGTAGTATTATTCCAATATTTAAAGGTGCTTCTCACCTTCACCCGAAGGCTAAATATCATATCTTTTATTCCAAGTGTAACACTCAAAAGCACGACGCTGTCGTAATAATGAAGTTATCACTTAGGAAATTGGGTGGATATTGCAGAAATGTACCATATCATGAGCGACCGCTAAATACCCTAAAAGAGGTTACATAGCAGCAGAAGAAGAATGAAAACATGAATGGTGCTTAGGAATTACCAAAAAATTGAAATTGTGGAAAATAATCAAAAGCACATAATAAATTCGTAAATTAGAAAAATGTACATTCAAAGTTTGGTTGAAATACTACTAAAATACAGGTGTTTAGATATATCTAACATACAATTATATACCCAATGGAATCGGAGATGCTTTCTTACATATAAGTAGTAATACATTTACCTTAGGAACTGATTTATAAATACGATGGATTGGTAGATAAAGGAGATTTAGCTGTTGTGATAGCTCGAATTAAGTATTTCTCGCATTATTGATCATTTACGTTTTGTTTTGGCCGGAACAGGAAAAATTGGATGCGCTATGGCAACAGTTCAAAACGCTACAACGCAAATTACAGGAGCAGTCGGAGAGTGAACCGAAAGAGACACTGGTAATGCAAATAGAAGAGAACTACGACCACCTCATATTGGAGGGAGATAAATTGGTCGAGATACGCAAGGAGGAACGAAGGTGTGTGTGTGTGTGTCTGTGTGTAGAACGCCTATTCATATATACATATATATTCAATCGGCACTCGACCTATGACACGTGTGTATAACGATTGTTTTGATTGTCATTTCTAGAGAGCGGTGCGACCTCAACTGCGCCGTATCATTAGCCAAATGGATTATTTATGCCCTGAACTTGGAGGAGCGGGTTGTTAATGTTGTGCTGTCAGTACTGAGTGTGCCCGCTGAGGACTGGACGGAATTGGTAGCACGCAATATGCATGAATGGGCCAAATGAGAATTAAAAATATTGAATTTTTCATTCCTCACACACAGAGCTGGGAGGAATCGATGGCACCTGGCATTGATATGCTCCATCATTTTGGTCCACTCACACGTTCCAAATCGACCTCCTCGACATACGGCTTATTGGAAGCCAGCACCACAACTCACGATAGCTTCGACTACACTCGCTTTCGACGTCATTTGGCCACACTCTTCGATCGCATAGTCCGTCTGGCCTCCATGAATGAGCCGAAGGCTGTGGTCGCAGAGCCAACAGCAGCTCCCGTGCCTGCAGAGCAGAGTCCGCTGCAGCAAGTTGATGAAATAAGCAACTTGCAACGTATGATGGGCGAGCCGGCAACGTCATCCACGTCTACATCGCGTGCATCGAAGTCAACTGTTGGCACAACTCTGGAGGCTGTGGAGGACGACGAAGATGAGTATGATGAGGAGGACCTACGAGAGGTCGGCTATCGTAAGCACCATGGTTCAGTGGATCAGCAAGAGAACGGCTTACGGTCCCAGTGGGTCAACAAAGACTTCGACCTACCAACTAATGAGGAGTTGTTCAGCGACTTGGGCATTTGGTGGTAGCTTCTGGTGCTTATTCTTTTATAGAACCAATATGGATACCCAGTAAAGATAGCCTACAATTTAAGTTGTGAAAATTAAAATGTTCTCTTATACTCACTCCTGTTACTCTCGTCTAACTAAGGAAAATGTGTCTAGATGTGTATGAATACTATATAAGCCATTATAGTATTGCGTCGGCAGGCAGTATCGCCATCTCGAGAGGTGCTTGTTTATGGTAACTACTTGTAGAGCGTTTGAGCGGTGTTGTTGTTGTTTCAAGGTGCGCCGCCAACAGTCAGATTTTTGTGGGGATAGCAACTGTGTAATCGCGATTTGCATATTTCCTCAAAGGACCACAGACACGCACACACACACACATATGCTATATACTCGTAGATGGATTGAAAATCTGTAAAGATCTTGGCATGTAGGAGTTGCTTAGATTTGTGTGCGCTGGACATGGACAGGCTGGAACTGGTTTATGATGCATAGGCTGGCATAGTTGCCTGCCAAGATAAAACAAGATAAAAGTCACATGTACTCGTACAATGGCACACGCATTGTTCGCGAAATGAGTTAAATGTTGAGAAAAAGTATGGATCGCCACTGCTCCGGCTGCTGCAGCTGCGCACTCGCTGGGCCCAGACAGTCTGTCGTTTCAGGCGGGCAGACAAGCAGACAGCCAGACGGACAGAATGTCTGGCATTTGCTGCATGTGGGCCGTGATCCCTTGTCATAGTGCCAGCCCAGTCTCACTGTCTGTCTCTCCACGCAAATCCCACACATGAAGACGTAAGTTATACGATCTGCTCCAGTTTGCTTGCTTGCCGGGCTTCGGGCGGCTCTGCACTGGAGACAATTGAGTTAAGAATGCCATAACTGGCCATTACGGCGATGATGACGATGATGACGACGATGTCGCTGCGTCAGACCAATATGTGGAAGTGTGAAGTTCATATTTTGATATTTTTCCTGATTGCGTCGCGTCATCGGGAGTGCGACTTTATTATGCAATTAACAGTGTTTTATTGCGATATTTTATAATTAATTGTATTGTTAGGCGCTTTGATGGAAAATCGAATACAAATTCAATTGAACGCTGGGTCAATCACACGAAATGACGCGTGAAATATTAAATAAATCATCACAGTGGACTGCTTTTATGAAGCAACTTAATAATTTTGATATTTACTTAAAAACAAAATGTTGGAGATAGACATGAAGAAATTAAAAAAAGAAGAATAAATCAGAATATTCAAATGTAACCGTAAAAATTAAGATTTATAAAATTGCAATTAAAAGATCATATAAAAATTATTTCATGTAGTATAGATTAAATTTTCCACAATCATTTTTTGGTGTTTAATTAATTCAGATTTGGCTTCGCAACTTGCACTCATATATTAGCATTTTAAGTAAGCTTAAGATATACCAACATCTGACAATTCAATACAATATTATAAGCTCTATTATGGTTTTAGAAACTCTTCGAAAAACTCACTTGTTTATCCTTAAGAAAAAGTAGGGACACTCAACATATTAGTGCTTATAAATTAAAATAAATAAACATTAACAACAGATTCATTTCACATACTTGTACTATATATCAAAAACTAAAGCTAAAAACATTTATCAATCTATTAAATACCATTACAGCAAAGGCATTTACTGTACGAAAATAATAAAACAAACTTGATTGTTTATTATTATTTTGATTATATGAAAATCACTCGTACATACTTGTACTTCAATTAGTTTAAATGCTGATTAGTGTGTGATATTTTATAAACTTAGCTTGGGACTAATTTATTTAAATGCTCGCATCATCGCGAAATAAGTAAAGCTATTCAATCCCATTGTAACAAGTGTCAGCAATATTGTAATTGATTTCACTTTCAGGCTTGACACTTTACTGGTATTGTTCAGTTATTAATACTTGTAATGTTCCGCGACTTAATTGCATTGAAAAAGTTGTTATCGCTACACAAAATCGCCGTTGTTTACTTAAAAGCTTATAATTTAGTGAGCGTTTTGTTTACATTTTGTGAGCACGCGACGAGCCTCCCACGGGTTTTCCAACATCTCATCAATTAAACCGCACTATGGCCCACTGTGCGCGAATGGTTGTGACTGTACCTGGACTCAGTTATTAGCAATATATTGAATTTCGTGTGAATTTTTGAGTTGTTGCGTAAATTAAAATGTTGAATTGGAAATTAAAATGAAATGAAATTAGCCAATTGACGCTGGCGTACGGAAACGTAATGGACGAAGAAAATATGAAACATGAGATAGTAAAAATGCTTTGGAAATTCTTTGGTAAATCAAGTCAGTCCTTTATTTTTGGTTTTTTCTTTCTAAGTACTAATCATTGTAATTGGGATTATATTGCTCGTTTGTGGAGCAAAGGGCTGGGTAAAGGGGATTGGCGCCCGTTTTGCATTCCGATGTTGGTTCGCCCAACCTATAGACGGGCACACCGATGGCATATGTGCTGGCGTAGTTGCAGGCCGTATTGTATATGTAGAGAAAGGGGTAGTCGGGATTGGTAAAACGCATCATCGCGCAGCCGACATGTGTATTCCGATCGACGACCGTCTCCGCAAAATGGCCGTATTTGTCTCTGTGGGTGAAGGACAGATTAGTATAGTTCCCAAAAGTTCTTAGAAGTGGCACACTTCAGACTTACAGATGGCTGGCCACACGGAACTTGGTTATGTAGCTGCTGTCGATGAGCGGATACTCGCCGAACCACAAGCCCATTGACTGCTCCACAATGTTGGTCACATTTAGCTGCCAATTGCGATACCGATCGACGCCCGACAAGTTCTGACCTACATTGCGAAAGCGGTACGAGTTATTGCAATCGTCGTGCTCCAAATAGCAGGTCTTCAAATTCATGGTCGCCAAGTACTCCAGCTCCTCATCCCACTTCATCGTTGCCATGCGTGCGGCTGGATAATATCCCATCAGCTCTCCAGAGGCAATAAAGTTGCGACGCTTGTTGTGCTCGTGAAGTATAAACTTGCGGTAGGGTCGCAGATTGATCATGGCGGCGTCGGGCGAGCAGTTCTCATGGAACTCCTAAGGTACACAGTGTAGAGATTTAGGTTTTAGTGTCAGTGTTGCGACCAAAGTGAGATTTTTGCTTTGCTTACGCCGTTGTTATTGCAGGCCACATGGGCGCGTCCGTCAGAACATAGTTCTGGATCACACCAGGACAGCTCCTTGCTTAGGACCGTGGTAGAAAGAAGGGTTAGCAGTGTTATTGTGGGCAGTGACATGATGATGCTGTGCTACTCAATGCTGTTACTCAAATGCAATTCCTTCGCGCCTTTCTCGCAATATTTATATCGAGTGGCATAAAAATATTGATTTGCAAGTGAAGCCGTCAGACAGGCAGGCAAACAGCACAAATACTCGCACAAAAGCATTTGTTATTTTTGGATATTTTCGCTTTTGCGGCTGTTGTTTTCCAATATTTAAAACAAACGAATATCGACAGGTGCCGGTGGTGGTAAACACTGTCAATGCGGTTGAGACAGGTCAAGCGACGTTTTATGAATCATTTCACTTTTGGCGTTGCTGTTCTTTGTTCAGATCTCCTCAGCCCAGTCAGCCAGCCAATCAGCCAGGCGTGCCGCAACGCCCCCAATGTGGACAGCCTGTTGCTGCCCACAAATCCTACCCAAATCAGCCATATGAATGATAAAGCGGCTTCTTGGAATAGACCTCGTTTGTCTTAAGTACCTCTAAGCCACGGCCATTAAAACATTAAGTACAGTGGCATAAAAGACGCACGTCAAAGGTGAGTTAAGTTCAGTTGCTCGAATACAAGTCAAGCATTAACGCTTTACCTCCCAGTGGGCCAATTACCTGCCCTAAGCACAAAGCGAATTATATTTGGGGTTTGATTATTATATTTATTTATTTTTGTCAACAAACATTTCCTGTCGACATAGGAAAACAATATACAGAAATTATATAAAAAAAAACAAATAAGCTAGGAAACCCTAAGTAGGAGAAATCTAAGCAAATTACAAAAATATCTAGTAAAACGCCTCCGACCCGGTGGGGGAATATTACAAGTATTTGTCAATGAGCCTATGCTGTGAAATAAATGAATATTAATTAGGTATATGAATTAATATTATTAATTAATGGAATTATTAATTATCTATCTATTCAATATTTTTGGAAATTTAAATTCGATTCTGAGTACTAATCCAGCGGCTTAAATAGGTTTTAATTAGACTGTAAACTACTATGGAAATACCACCGTACAGGGGAAGCAATTTAATAATAATTTTCTCAAGGTGGCTTTCTTTTGTTCCTGTTTTCAGTTGAAATTCTTGACATTTTATATTTGACAAGCGAATATCAAGTGAAACATCCAAAGGAAAATGTCAAGAGTTTAATGTTTTTAAAATGCTCTATGTTATAATTCTACAAACTAGCCTTTGAATACCTAATTGTAGTTAGTTACGTTTCTATACGCATTGCCAATTTAAATGTTTACTCCTTAACTCAATCTAGAAAAGTCGCGAACTAGGCTAAGAGTTGTGCTCCAGGGCTTCGTAGAGTAGTTGGCCCACCAAACGCAAGGCAGTGCATGAACGGGTTAAGCCATTCAAGTTTTCAAGATTACGTCCGGGATTTCTCTTCGAATGGGCGAGCACTAATTCAGTTTTGCGAAAAGTGGCGTGGGAGTTCAACGACACTTTTATTTGCTGCTTATCTAACAGTGACATTGACCCAATTGGGTTGGACCGACGTTGTTGTTGTTGTTATTGTTGTTGTTTTTGCTTCATTAGCCATATATATTAACACTTGTTAGCGGAGGTAGGGTGCGCTGTTCAGCTAAGATTCTAAATCTAAATAAAATACTGGTTTTCAATTATGACTGAAGCCGTGCTTTGTTAATCAGCTTCGGGCTGTCCATAAAATCGATATACGCAAGTTAAAAAAAAATCAAAAATAAATAAATAAATCGAAATTTGCATATGTTGGCAAAACTTTTATGATGTTTCCACTTTGTTGTTCTGGGAGGGAACAACAAACGAAAGTTCTGCGCTAACGAAAACGTTAACCTCTACCAGCACTCCCCTACCTCCCTACTCGAGACACTGGAGACCTATTCAAAATGGATAATGATGTATATATGAGTAGAGTTGAATAATTTGGCAGGTGACTAAGTAAACAAATTTTGAATCGCGACTGGATACCTGTCTATTAGCTTTAGTAGCAATGTGTTAATTTCCAACACACTCCTCCTCCATCCTTATGCAATGAAAGCTCCGCTGCGAACTCAGTTTAAAGGTTGCTTTTTGCCGCATATATTTGAATAAATTATACATAACTTAATGATTAGTATATAGTATTTATTGACAAAAAGCAAACAAAAAAAACACAAAGACATCCGAAATATAAATGTTTATACAAACAAAGGCTGTTAATAACAAATAAAGACTTATGTAAATACAACAACACAGTTCTACAAATAGTTAAACACACTCGTACAACGAGAATGAATACCTGGCAGCTATACCTGAGTAAAATTCGTATGTATATTCACACACACACACACGCACGCACACACACACACACACACACACACACACACACACACACACACACACACACACACAGACACTCACTCAGCCAAACGAAGACGCGCTCAATAATTTGGATTGAACTGTTCGCGTGTGGAACAGAGGCCGGGATAGAATGGATTCTTTCCGGTCTTGCAGCGCGATGCCGTGTAGCCCACCTCGTAGACAGGCGCATCGAGGGCATATATCGATGCGTAATTGCAGACAACATGATATATATACACATAGGGGTAGTCCGGCCGTGTGAAGCGAATGATGGAACACCCAACATGCGAGTTGCGATCAACGACCATTTCGGCAAAGTGTCCATAGTCCTCGCTGCGAGTGAGCGAGATTCCATGAAATTTTCCCATTTAATCAGAACTGCCAGTACTTACAATATCTCGGTGACACGAAATTTGTCAATGAAACTGCTGTCGATTAGGGGGTACTCGTCAAACCATAAACTCAACGACTCCTCAATCAAACTGGTCACATTCACATTGGGCGAACGATCCCGCCAGATGGCACACAAGTTTTGGCCCGAATTAGCGTAGCGGTAGGTGTTGTGGCAATCATCGTGATCCAGGATGCAGGTGCGCAAATTCAAAGAGGCCAGATATTGGAGCTCATCATCCCAGACCTAAAGGACACAAGAATGCCAATCGCTTGCAGCTACAGCACTTTTTCAAACCTACCATGGTGGCCATGCGAGCAGCAGGATAGTAGCCCGGCAGTCGTCCCAGAGCTAAGAAATTGCGACGCTTATTGTGGGCATGTAGGAAGGTGTTCTTGTAGTTGGAGACATCCAGTTCAAAGGAGTCGGCCTTGCAGCGCCTGTTAAAGTGCTGCGGAAGAGAGAGATTCCCACTAAGATCTCAGAGATATGGCTAGGGTTCGATTAGATGATTACCCCATTGTTGCGACAGGCTACATGCTTGAGACCTGCACCACACAGATCGGGATCGCACCAGTCATATTGCTTGGATGTTGCCGATTCGGACAGCAACAAGAACACGGCCACGCCGAGCATGGATGAAACGATCGCTGACATTTCGTTGACAAACCGCGCTAATTAATTTTAAAACCGATATAAAAAGAAACGCGCTCCTATAGTTATTGTAGTTGTTGTTGTTGCTACTGCTGCTGGTGCTGCTGCTGATGCTGATGCTGATGCGGTATGGAAGCGCTCACCGGATAGCTGAAGAGTTGGTTGTTGCTATCGTTTGGTCTAACGCTTTCAATGAGAACGTTAGCGATGCGCGTGGCCGTCTTTATTGAACGTTTCCGTCCGAATGAGCAGCGCTTAGATAGACAGACAGACTACAAGCCCTGACTTGGATTGTCGGCGGCGGTCAGGTTGAATTTGTGCTTACTTTTTCTTATCGTGTCTGCCGCTGCCATTTCGCGAACCCTGCCTTTCTAACACGTTTAGAACAAAACGACTAAGAACAAGTTTAAGCTAAATAATAAATATAAATATTAATTTAGAGGGGAAGCGCACGAGGAGTGCGTGCAGCTCCCGCTCTCGGCTAAGCCGTGCTAAAAGCTCCAAAGCTTGTTAGTTAGTTGAATTGTAAATTTGTGGGATGAACACAAAAGAACTGCGACCAAAATGAGCGGAGAGAGCGGACAGACGCAGTTCTGTCTGGATAGATGACTGTATACATTTGTTTCTTTTCATCGAGAATAAATATTATACGAGTATTAGCGGATAAGTCGGTAAAATGATATCCATTCAATGAACTCATTGCAGGCCATAAAACGACCACCTTTTATATAATTCCCTAATTAAATGATCTTAAGACGCTATTGTTAGTGGGTGCCATATTAACTGCTAAATCAATTAAGATTATTTTTAGGCTTATGTTTGTTTAAATCTGTCTTCATATAATTGTAATATGTACCCATGTATATATGTATGTATGTGTGAGTCAGGGTGGATTATTAGCATTCGGGCTACAAGTTTTTAATATGATTTTTATGTCTATAAAAACGAGTCATTAACCAAAATTTAGTTGCCGCGAACTTGCTAATCTAAGCGACAGATATGGCGGGCAAAAAGTCTTTTAACAGTCGACCGATAATTTAGGAGCTCTCGATTGGGTAAATCAGCATCTTGACATATGACATGCGTTTAATTTATGTACGAATTTAAGAAATTATGGGAATTAGCCCAATCCAGCAAAATTGGAAAGTGGATAAATTTAACTGACTGTGTGGAATTTTTTTTTCCAAAGTTTAAGCCTTTTAAGGCGAAAATTAAATGCCATCTACTTCACTTAAGTAATTGGAGACAAAATACAATTGCCTGCCATGAAGGTTTAAAAAGAAGGTTGGCGTTTATGTGTTCTCGGAGAAGCTAGATCTGGATCCATCAACAATTAGGACTTATATAATATTCTGAATTGATATTCATATATAAATACCATCGGCAATTAAGAAATATATATGTAATGTGCTTCTCTAACCAGATATCCAACAGACATATCATGGGTCTTGTGGTTATTAGGCTTGGCACCTGACTTCGGTTGTTTAATTAATTTCTTTAAAAGCAATTTTTTATTTGATCATTTATTGCCCTTTGATTTAGTGTCTTCATATTATAATAATTTGAATATTTTTGTCAATTGAATAAAAAATTAAAAAAATTATTTTGTATGTATGAGCGATTGAAGAAACGATTAAATCTTTTATAAACGAACGTTTATGGAAGTTAAGCACAATGAACAAATAAATAAATAAAATGACCAATTTCATTGACAAGTAAAAAAAAACAACGGAAATTATTTGTTTTAAAATCTCGACTTGGAAAACAAATAAATTCATTTGGACAGACCGTACTCGAATGAAATGTCCGGAAAATGACTGTTTGACAAAAATCGAGCAGTTGGTGGTTAGTCGTTAAACAGGACTGAAGTATGTGAACCATAGACTTCTAACCCTATATCTATATAATTAGTTTTCTTATTTTATTTATAAGTACAACCGGGTAGCTTTAAAAGTGCCAGTGCGGTACCAAGGATGTTAAAAAATTTCTGATACTATACAAAGAAAATTATCTATTACATATAATAATACACAAGTGCTTGCTTAAACAGAAGATTTTACTTATGCCATTGTATCGCTTTAAGTGCGGGTATAATTATACTCTGTACATGAAATGTACAAGGGTATATTAGGTTTGCGGGAGCTGAAAAATGTAACAGGCAGAAGGAGGCGTGGCAGACCCCACAAAGTATATATATTATTGATCAGCGTGACAAGACGAGTCGATCTAGCCCTGTCTGTCTGTCTGTCCGTCTGTCCGTCCGTATGAACACCTGGATCTCAGAGACTATAAGAGATAGAGACACCAAATTTTGCACAAAGATGCGTTATGTGTGTATTCTATACGAGTTTGTTTTATTTTTTTGATTTTCCCCCCCCCACTTCCCCCCTATGGGGGTTTTCCCGATTTTCCATTCGTATAATCGCCTATATCTCGGAGACTATAAGACCTAGGAACACCAAATTTTAGTCCAAGATGCCTTGTGTGAATACGCAGAAAATGTATATTTTGGAATTCCCCTCCCTCCCCCCTCTCCCCCGCAAATCGTAACTCCCGTAATTCTTGGAATTTCGAACTAAAATTTTGCAAATACCCCCAGTTAGTAATTATGTGTCCGTATGCCAAGTTTCACTATGTAAGACCGATTTACCAAGAAGTTATAGCCATAAATATATTTGCTGCTCAAGCGCTGCTCAAGCGCTGCCCGCGGCTGTTGTTGATGTTGCTGTTTGGTTGACTGCGAAAATGCTTACACAGACACGAATTGATGCGCATAGGCATACATACACTCACACAGACGCAATTGCTATGTAAATGTGCAATTATACACCCTTTACGTGAGTTCGAATACCGAGAGAGGTAAAATCGAACCAATTTTTTTTTCTTTTTTTTTTTTCTATAATTATTGTAAACATATGTACAGAGTATTTCAAAGTCGGGACACCCGACTTTAGCTTTTTTACTTGTTTTATTCTATGGATGTAGTCTCAGTGGCTAACTAATATAAATTTGTACGCTTGTTGGAATGACAATATTATTTTTCAATACTTTCTTGTACAATTTGGCCAGTGGGAACCAAGTTTTTTATGTTCATTTTGAATATATTAGGTTTTTATTTTGATTCTTCGTTTTCTTATGCATATTTAGCCATCAATCAATTTTGCCTTGGCATGAGGTATTTACCCAATTGTGTTTAGACGCACGCGCATGCCTGAGGAGCATCTTGGACAACATACTTATTGGTATGTCTTATATATATGGATGCGTTCTCATGGCTTGAGGCGCAGTATTGGATAAACCGAGAAATAATTAAAAGTAAGGCTTGCAAAGGCTGCAAAACATCACCACCTTCCAATTGCAGTAAGAAAAACAAAAACAGCATTCCGCGTGTGTGTGTGTGTGTGTGTGTGTGTGTGTGTGTATTGCGCAACACTTGAGGGATTGAAATATTGTAATTAATGCTGATTACAAGTCAATTACTTCCGTCATTACTCAGCGCCAACTGAAGATATATAAACACGTGCTTTTGCATAATTGCATTTAATTGCATTCGAGCTCCGTCTGTCTTCGCCCGTTGAGGGGTTTGTTCTTCTTATGCATCTAATGAGTAGAGTTCATTTCAATAATTAATAAAACGTATCGAAAATATAAGTAAATTGCCTGTGCATTATAATAAGCATTAACATATGCCAAAAAGTCTCCTCTTGCCGATTAATGAATGACAGCTCGTTTAATTTGCATTTGCGACGATGAATAAAAATCAACCTGAACAGCAACAACAAGAGAAGCTGTCGCGTGCTCGTCTGTTGTTGTACGAGTGTGTGTGCGTGTGTGTGTGTGTGTGTGTGTGTGTGTGAGTGAGTGTGGAGCTGTCAACGCATATGCTAGCCGCACAATATGATTGAAAAGGATGCCGCAAACACACTCCAATCCAACAACGACTATCCTCAAACATTATGCAAATGACAGGGGGGTGTAGTGGGCAGCGTGTCAATAATGTTGACTCAAATTTGCCCGGCAAATTAATTAAGTTAGACAGTGTATAGAAAATAAACACAGGCTCTTAAATCGCACACGCCAACGCTATTAGAGGCCACACTGAATACTTGATTGCGAATTAAATTAGTCAAAACCACTACGAATGAAAGACATCATTAATTTAACAATTCATTCACTCATTCATGCATTCATACATTCGCACGCGGCTTTTGACTAAAAGCATAAATAAAAAGCCAATACAATTTGTCTCTTTTATGGCTTACACTGGCTGCCCGATGTATGGTGGGGGGAGTGACGAAGCAACGGGCTCAATGGCGTAGCCTCTGCGGTAGCTGAGTGGCTGAGCGGCTTTGGATGTTCAGTGAGCAGCATTTAGGTCAGCGCCGAAGAGTATGCTTTAATTTATTTCGACCATCCAATTGATTGCTGTTCACAACTCTCTCTCGCACACATACATACATACATAAAAAACGCATATGTGTATGTATTTACACATTTGTGACGCATGCCAGCCATTGACATAAATAACGCTTCATTGGGCGACTTGTCATCAACAATGCATAGATTTTCTTGCCCTTCCGGAATTGCGTGGGAAAGCCATACAATACTCTTCGCTGTAGCAATCCAAACACAACCCCATTCGAGCGCGCAGCCCGCAGCCCCAACAAGAAACCTTAACCACTGCCACAGCGTGGCAGGCACTTGCAGCAGCTTGCGTTGGCGGCTGTTGACATATGCGCTAATGGCCCAACTCCTACGCACTATCTGGCTGCCAATTGCCTTGCCAAATGATTCATGCGCTTCCACTCGCTTGTGCACACTTAAGACTATTGCTTCTACCCGTTGGGCACGTTGGCGTCACTGGCCATTTTCAGTGGCAAGCATTATAGAATATGATGCATGACGTCCCCCACCCTCTGTGGCTTATCGCAGCGCATCTTCATATCTCAGTAAAAGCTTAAAAAGAAGCAACCCTCACACCAACCCTTCAAACGAAGGCTGTACGAACGATTTTGGAAGTGCCAGTGAAAAAGCCAGTAAGAGTCTTTAATTACTAATCTATGATCGACTAAAAATCTGGAAAAAAAGATGCACAAATAACTTATTAATCGTTCAGAATAGTTTGTCCCATTTTTAATGTAAAAACATTTTAAGCATTTATTCAGACTAGGAGCCAAATGCATTATGTAAGCTTTCTTTGCACACAGTCCTCGAATATCCTTGGTAATGTGTATAGTCATCGAGTTGGCAAATTTGTAATTATTTGTGCTGCACTTCTACGAGTATTTGCCAACTCTTCGCTGACCCTGCCCGCTTTAGAAGCACAAAAGATTGATTTATTTATATCTAACGGTCTTATGGCTTTTGTTGGCTTTAAAAGGATTATACGCACATAAGTACTTACAAATGTATCATCATCTTGTTTGATTTGTTGTCGACTGACGCTGTCATAATCCCGGATTGTTGCTGCCCAGCATTAGCCATAAAGCCGGTCTGCTATTCAAAATGCAGCTAACGACACTCGCCGATATTTCAAATGCCAAATTTGGTGCCCGCCATGGCGCCACCGCGGCACGCACTGCCACTGCCGACGCACCTCGTCCATCGGAATGATACAGCACACACAATATTGGCTGGCATTTGTACCGATATGGACAAGTTAGCGCCTGATAAGGCCAGGTATGGTATGGTGCCAACCCAGACGCAATTGGCACGAGTCTTTGTCTCCAGGCGAGCGCCACCAGCGCCGACACACGCGGAAGCACGAAGACATAAACGACGACAACGCTGGCACGCACGCGCAAAACAGATGTCAGCCATTAGTTCGATTCTAAGTAGAGAGTCGACGTGCATCGATCAGTGCGTCAATCAGTGCGCCGCCTAACAAGCCCAACACAGCGCCGGACAGCAACAACGCACAGTGGAGCAAAAACACAAAAAACTAGTCGAAATGGGAACGTAAATATTTTGATTGCAGCCACATTTTGTACGCGGTGTCACATTCTGCGGAACCCCAAGCACGTAAGATCAAGAATGCAAGCTGACAATTAAAATACACCTATGTATATAAGAAAATTTAAATAAATTGAATCGAAAAATGTATAAAGTTTCAGAGCAAAGACAATGCAAATGTGTTGCTTTAGAAATATCTGTTTTCATTCCATTTTAAATGGCAGTTCTTTCGAGCTACTTTTGGTTCAATTCGAAGATAATGGCTTGAAATTATCTACATTTTCTTTTTCTGCTTTTAATATTCTATATAAAATAACAAAATACACTGCTAGAAAAATGCGATTCTCTTATTAAGATAAATGCACAATAGTTGAAGAAGCTGCATTACCAGTATATTATTAGCATTTATTTTGATAATTAATTCCAAGTCAAAAACGTTATCACACACAATTAACCACTTAATAGACATTTCGAATTTAACAGCGGTGCATTTTTATTTAATCATAATATTCCCTTCCCTAATTTTAATTTAATAAAACCTTAGCACTTTGTAGGTGCACCCGCAGTGAGTCCTCCTTTCTTATATTTTTTAGACTTAAGCAAAGATTTAATTTCCAAACTCGAATTCTAGAAAGTGGATCTGCATCTTCTGCACTTGCTAGCATTATCGAAACCAGTTAGAATTGCTGTTTTTATGTAGATTTATTAAAACTAGCTAACAAATAATATACAGTAATCGAAAAAAGTAAGAAGAATGTTTACTTTTCTATATTGGCCTTAAATTATTATCAGCATATAGTTTGTTATGTAAAAATAAATATATGATTGGTTCAAATTACAAATTATACTCCATAGAGTTGAAATTTGAATTTTGGGAAACACCAAGTGTCCGCTCCTACTCCAGCAACATTTAAAAACTTTAATTGCTTATAAAAATAATGAAATTTGTAGCAATTCGAACCACAGTCGTTGGAAAAATTGCTGCAATCGCCCGAGGAGCTGCCGCTGTTGCTGTTGCCGCCATCAGCTCTTTGCGCATGCGCTGCACGTGCCAGTTGTGTAGATGGCTTGTTTTTCTCAATGGTGTTCATCGGCCCGGCATCGGCGACACTGCGCCTGGGACTGTAATTTCAGCTTGAATTTCTTTCTAAATCGCCAGCAATCGACGGCCGTTGAATTTACGAGCTTATTGTGTGTGCCTCTTGCCTTCAGCCTGCTGCCTTCAGACTTTGCCAGTCCCTGTGCGTCTTGTTCCAAGAAAACGCCTAAGCAAATTATTGTTCCGTTTGTGGTCGTTTCTTCAAATTACAGACAAAGTTGTTTCATTTGTTGATGGCAGCAGACGCGGATGGAACGGCGTTGGTGGCGCAGCCAAGACCAAACAAACCCTAGACACTTTGACAATTATAGCAATGCAAACATGCATAAATTGAAGAGTTTGCGAGTGTGTGTGTGTGTGTGTGTGTGTGTGTGTGTGTGTGTGTGTGTGTGCAGTGCTAGTAATTCAATGCGACGGGACATATAGCTGGCCATCAACATCAATGAGCCCCACACGCTGCTCACTTCCTTCCGCCCCAGCAAACTTGCACTTGCAAAGCTGACTCAGGGACAGAAATAGAGGCTGAGTCTTCACAGACGTGACGTCGTCGGCAAATGTTTGTGTTCGTGCCTGGTGCCGTAGCACTGCAGACACTCAAACATTAAAATAAACGCCTTAAACCCAATGAAGGGCAACTACCAACTAATAGCATCGTCGCACTCTTTGGGAGTTCCTTTAAAGTTGTGCTGAGTTTTGAGATTTAGTCTTGGGTGTCGTCGTTTACATCAACTTTGGAAATCAATGTTTTATATATGTAACTAATGATGATTCAATTTTTAATCCCATTATAACCAGAATCAGATTATCTAGAAGAAATAATATACTTAATATTCTAAATTGATTGAAAAACGCATTTAAAATTTTTATTTAATTTATTTCTTGCATATTAAATATTTGCATTGTTTCATTTTTTGTTTTTTGTCATACATTTACAGCTTCACTCAAACACTTGTATTAAACTTGATTAATGTATATAGTAAGTATTTTAGAAAATGGCAAATAATAATAGATATTAACACAGTTTATTTAATTTTAAGTAATTCTTTCAGGAAGTGGAATAGTTTATGTTCGAGATTTCTTGAGCTATAGGACTCAGCTTTTCAAAGTAGAGAGGAATAGAGAAGGATTTATATAAGTACAGATGTATATATTAAGAGAGAAGGAGCAGGCACTCTAATAGATGCTCCATTTGTTCATTATTTTTATTTGTAGTATTTTAATTGTATAGTAATGCTCAGCTTAGGATTACTTTTAAGCAAAAATACTGTTTGTGCGAATTTCCATATATGCATATATGTATATAGTATGTATGCTTAAGAATAAAGCTTACACTTTAGCCAACTTAAGTATGTTTAATTAACACTATGCATTTAGTTTTATAAGTACACTTAGCGCTAGCGAGTTACAGATACTCCTACATGTGTAAGTAGTAGAGCTTTCGAAGCGAAAATGGAAGCGTCTGAATGCTGCACGCACACATACGAGTATTCCTAGAAAAATACATAAACAGATATAAACATACACGTACACGTACACGTACATGCGCCGGTGCTAAAATTCAATTTCAATAACTAGCAGCTAGAATAAATAAAACTTAACAACTAAAAATGGCGACAACGAATGAAACGCATGAATAACTAACTACACGTTTAAATGAGGCGACGCTCTCCCGAGCGGCTGGCAAGACCGGAGGAGCCAACAGGCGTGCGAATCATGGAGTGGGTGGGGGGGGTGGTGGAGCGGGTGGGAGCAGGCCATACAGATAAGGAGCATAGCACCAGAGCATAAAAAGTGGTTGGAGTTGAACTTGCGCCTTGGCCTGACAACAACAACAAAAACTTTGCTGCTTCAGTTGAGTCTAATACTGGCGTGGGGTTGGCGGACTCTGGACTGTGTGGGAGGAGCATTTGATGTGGACGAGGGGAACTCAATGTATGTATGTATGTATGTATGTATGTATTGTGTAGTATATGCGTCATGCTAGAGCTATGTTTAAAATGTTTATGCATATAGTATAGTATGTGTGTTATGGAACTTTCTGGTTGCTTTGAACTACTCATAGTCGCTTAAAGTATGCAATGATTTCTTCTGTGTTCTGCGTGTGTGTGTGTGTGTTTGTTTAACTCATAGATGTATGTATGTATGTATGTAACTTAAAATGTACAGATCGTGCTAGCCTGTGTTCAGCCTGTGCTCAGCCAGTGCTCAGCTTAATGTAAGGGCGGCGGTGTGCGATCCGGCGCACGCGGCCGCAATATGTTGGGAGGCACATGCTTCTTCAGGAAGTCATTGTCGAGCAGCTGGCTCTGCTGGTTCTGCTGGCGTCGCAGCTGCTGCTGTTGCTGTTTGCGCCGGCGTCCCTTGAATGTGGGACCACCGCGCCCATTAAATTCGAGAAAGCTCGCATCGCCATAGTAGGGATTGCCGGCAAAGGAGGCTAAGGTGGCGTTGCGCCGAAAGCTGCCTGCGGGGCAGTTGGTGGCCGCTCTCCAATCGGGCAGGCGCACGCCAAGGCGCTGGCACTCGTGTGCGTACGCCGCGAAACTGTCGCAGTGACACATGCCGGACGGACACTCGCACACGTCCATTCTGCAGGACTCAATGTAGTTGATGGGATTAAGTCTATTATCACAGTTACCGAATACTTCGGAGGCGCGCAGGGGGCGGCAGTAGAAATTCGGCTTGCGTTTGCTGCACGTCGGCACTGCCGCCATGTTTTCCTTGCTGCGCGAACAGGATTTTGGACCGCCCACCTTCCAGGAGTTGGCAAAGTGCCAGACTTCATCGTCGTTGTGCCGCGTCCCATCGCGCCCCGTGATGTCGTCTCGCCCACTGCCATTGTAATTGCCGCACAGCCCGCACAGGCGACGCTTGTAATTGGAAGGCACGGACACCTGGACAAAGTTGCTGCCATCCCATTCTATGCTAAGGCCCAACTCGGTCTTGAGCATAATAGCGCCCTCCGTTAGGCGCTCAATGCTTACAATGGGGCTGTGAGCGGCGCCTGAGTAGGGCAACGTAATGCGGGTGCCATTCACCTTGACGCGCATCTTCTGGCCGAGATTAACGCGCACACCACGCATTTTGAGGGTCACCGTTTTGGCCCAAGAAGAGCGTCGCGTGCCGCGTCCATCGTTGGTCAGCCGTATCGAAAAGGTGTGGGCAAAGCAATCGGCAGCCAGCAGATACTTGCAGGAGCCTTGAAAACTGAAGAACTTGCCGTCGAAGGTCTTGAAGTGTGGATCGCCAAAGACGGTGCAAGTGCCAGCAGTCTCGATGCACTTGGCACAGCATTCCCCAGGCAGAACTTTCAATTCCTCGTTGGCGCGACACTTTACAGCCGGACAGCGCATTTCGGAGCAACGGATGTTACCGGCTGTGCAGCGACAACTACGACAGGGTCCCATGTTCCAGGTCTCGTTGTTCATATAGCTAGTCTCATTATAGGTGCACTCGCTGCGCACTTCGGCCGATATGCAGCGTGGACAGCAGCCGTCATCCTCCTGAAACTCGGGCGCACACTCCAAAATGGGGCATGTGGCTCGCTGGCAGACCGAGGTGCCATTCAAGCAAGTGCAGTTGGTGCAGCGGTCAGGCGTAAACCTGATCTTATCATAATGCAGCTTATTGCTGAAGAAACATTTACCTGCAAGAGGGATTATGAAATAGACAATTAGAGTCAGTTGCTGGTGTGGTTGTTGGTAGCATGGGATGGTCCCTCGACTCACCAGTCATGGGCACGAATTCGCGCTGTTCTGTGCAGCGAGGACAGCACTCGTTGGGATGCTGCTTCTGCTTCGATTTGGGGCACTGCAGAATGGGGCAAGTCTTCTTGGTACAGCTCAGCCTATTATCGCTGCACTGACAGACCAAACAACGATCGTCGATCGAGGCGACGACCTCTTGGCCTTCGGCAACATACTGGCCATTGATCTTGCAACCTGTAACGAAACAGAAAAGTTATTTACGAGCCACAAATGTTGGGCGCGTGCCAGTCACGAAGATTTTCACCAAACGATGTGTTCGAAACAAGTTTTCTGTGCCGTGTGTCAAAGTCACGTCATTTGCATTTGATGAGGGGTTCGGGCTCGGCGTTATGGCCACAATCTGGCGTAATTTGTCGCTCTGGCTATTTTTAATGAACGCAATGCGACATTGTCGACTTAATAGACAATTTAAAGCTCATAAATAAGCAAATCATACAGACGCAATCATAAAAATGCCCCTAAATATTGACCATCTGCTCGAGAGCTGTCGCCGTCCGCTGTCCGATGACTGTCGTTGTCTGTCTGTCTGTCTATTGTTTTTTTTGTTTTGTTTTTTTTTTTTTTGCTGTGGAATGCGAGCATCGCATAAACCGGAGCTGATGCTGATGTTGATGTTGATGGTGATGCCGATGCGGGGTGATTATGAGGCATTAGTCTGCCATCAGAGCAACTTAGGCTACCAGTCGCACGCTAATTTCGGCAAATGATCTGCGACAGGTTGTTGCGGTTGCTCACCCTGACATGTTGGACAGCACTCGCCGGGACGTGGGGCTGTCAGCTGGTGATCGTCGCACTGTGAATAACACTTCATTGTTGTCTCGGTGACAACACTGGCGATGCACTTGTACGTCTTGCAGGGATCATCAGGGTCTGTCCATTCGGCGCCACTGGCATACGCCACGCCATTGTACATGCAACCTGCGAATCACAAAACAAAAAAGAAATAAGGCGCACACCCCGTGCCGTCAACATATAGCCCATATCTGGTGGATCATGTACTCGTATTTACCTTTGCATTTGCGACAACAGGTGTCATTGGACTTGGAATCGAGTAGGTAGCAGTCATCGATAGATGGACAGCTCTTGTCGCACTTCACAAAGCCATTCTGTAAAAGATGATGGGTTGCGGTATGAGTTAAAGGTTTTCCAGGGAATAATACATTGGAGTTACTTATGTTTATATTATTGTTTTCGTAAGACCTTGTTAGTTGTCAGGCTGCAAATGGCCCTGTAAAAGGTGAGCCAATGAGCCATTAAGTTGATTGACCACGCGGCGTATGCGCAATTCGCTCATGTTTAGAACCGCAAATGCGCTTAATCATTTGAGAGATTGCTGTCAAAGCTTTGACCAAATGATTTGTGACTCTGAATGTGCACATGTGCGCATAAGTCAGCCAACCGCAGGCACACCGCTCCCACCCCACTCCCCCACATCCATCTTGGTCAAACCGACAGTCCACCACAGATTGGCGCATAATGGGCTCTGAGCGCACCTGTGTGCCGTAGGAGATGTGGATTCGATTCTGTGGCGATTACCAAGATTTATTGGTGGCACAAATAGCAATTGCTGCCCTTTATTTTGTTATTGCTGTTAACTTTGACCTTCAGAAATGATCTATTCGAACATTGCAAACGATTCAAAGAGGGTATAGGCTGGATACACAATAAAAGGGTGTGGCCATTTGTCGGCTTTTATTTTGCGAATTTACAAACAATATTACCATGCACAACACTCTCTACCACCTAAGGGGAATATTATTGATTGTCCAGTTAAAAAGAGCTATCAGTTCTACTAGGTAGATAGTGGTGGCATGGTAGCCACACTTTCGTCTTTGACTTTTATATTATTATAAATATACAGTAGATGAGGGAATAAACAAACTGTTTGGAAAAACTTTTGCAAAGGTATTTGAGTATTCAAATATATCCTTGAAAACAAATAGAAGAATTCTTGAATATCAGCATCATGATCTCCCCACATCTATGTAGATACATAACTACCACAAAAATGATTTGATTTAAGGCTAAGTTAAGTTAAGCGTTGTTTTACATTTTTTTAAGTGACAAATAATTCGGCGAGCCCAAAAACTTTTTACCAGCGCTTTAATCGTACAGATTGTATAACATGCAGAGATAGATACAGTATTTGTTTCGCAAAGCTCCCTAAGCCTCTAAGGCTTCCCAATCTAAGTCGTTGCTGTATCAAGGCCTGTCCATATGCGGCAAGCGTATTTGGAGCACTAGCTGACTAAAATGCAAACCGTTTTTGCACAAGTTATTTATTTGTTTTTTGCTTTAATATATTTTTTTGTTTTTAGTTAACTTTACGGCCTCGTACTTTAGAAATTGTTGTTGTTGTGGCGCACTGTTAACGACATGTTGACAGCGGCAAGCTCCGCATTAGAATTGATGTCGATCATAAGTCAAAATGTGGCAAGGCGTTTCGGCGCTTTGCATTGCTTATGCAACCATTATCGAACGAGTCGGGCAGTGCCTTTAACCCTTGTGTGCAGCTGACGCGTGCAATTTGCATGTGACAGGTTAAAAATGCCAACAATACTCGTAATGGCAAGCAGGCTGGCATGGGGGCAGGCGGTGCACTGCAATTGCGAGCGTCTGGCTGCGGCTAATTGTAAATGTATCTATAAATCTAGATAGATGTCGACCAAAAACAGGCAAAATATTTCACTAATTTGTATGCAGCTTTACCGGACAGAGTGGCAGCTCCGAATGGGCGGTACGGTACTGGGAGGGTTGACGGGATGGCGGGTTGGCAATGTCGCACCGCCTTGCGACTTGTGATTGCAATAGTGAGTGTGGCTATGTGTGTGAATGAGTGTGTGTGTGTGTGTGTGTAGGTAAGCGTGTATGCATGTGAGCGTATAATTTAGTGCAACGAACAGCACATGGCTTGGAAAACCAGATTGGATCTCAATTTGGATGGGGCGCTCGTGCAAAATTTGCAATTGTTATGAAAATGTCTCGAGTGCGACGACGGTGCTGAGATGTTTATCTGTGTATTAGTTTTAATGGCAGTTGTTAGTTGGAATTTTAATGGGGCTTTAGTATGGCATCGCAGCTCTGTTTTATAATGATAGTATGTACATACATACATACATACATATGTACACATGCATGAACTCTCAATAAAACTTGGCCAAAGTTCAAATGCTCTTGAATTGTAGCAACAACGCCAGCAGCAACCAGCTCGTCACACGGTACTCCTTCCTCGAAACACTTCTATCTAAAATTCTTTCTTTCTAATCTAAAACCGGTATCGTTGTAGAAAAATTTCAGCATGAAAGTTAAAGAATTTTTGCGCCCATGTTGTCTACGTATCTAGTCGTCTTCGTGCTCGCCTTCATCTTCATCTACGGCGTTGTCTGAATAGCCGCTTCTAAAGGTTGCCATTTAATAAAATGAAGAAAAAGCACGCCACGATGGCGACCGCCCGGTTAAGTTACTGGTAGTAAGAGTAAGTAGAATTATATGCCGCCGGCTAGCTGTTTTTGTTGTTTCTATATGTATGTATCTATGTATCTGCTAAACATATGAATGTGTGCGTGTTTGTGTGCCACAGTGGCAGAACCACATTTGCAAACGGCCTCCAACGACCTTGCGTTTGACAAAACATGATCAGATTTAACACCGATTGGTCGTTTGGCCGCTTGGTCGCTTGGCCGTGTGTTCGACCGGCTGTCGTCTAGAGTTGAAACTTGGCTGAGTGCTGGGCTAAATTGGCTAAGTCTAGAGCGTGTTTTTGGTATGCACAGAGTATAATAGCTATGGAATATATTGGTAGACAAAAACATGAATTAATGGGCGCATTTTGTCACTTGCATAGTAGACTAGCAAGGGGAATTAGATGTCTTCTAAGGAAATAAAGTGGCTTCTTGCTTTGAAGATCTATTATTGACCCACCCAAGTAAGTAGAGTTCAGTGTTTTATTCTTTGTGAGTTTAAATTTCTATTTGCTATCATAATTTCAATATTCCTTTCTCACCTCGTACCCCTTTAGAGCACACTGTGCGTCTCCCAATACGACATCTTTCTAATAGCCAGAACTGCCTAACGACATATACATATGTATGTATATGGATTATATAGCTCTAGACTTATTTGCATAACGGCTTTATTTCGCGTTATTCGCTTCTATCGGGCGAGGGGAAAATTTAATTTTCACAAGTCGAACATAAAGTATGACATAAAAATCCCAAACTAAATCATCCCGCGCAATGCGCGAACAAGCGAAAAACGCTTAAATCATAAACCATTAAGAGCAATGCGTATTCAGCATAAATTTCACATAAAAGCTGGAAATGGCTAAACGCTCTAGACAGACGACAGACAATTTGTTTGATTGTCCTTGGAGCACGACTCAGCGAACATACTGACATACATACATGCATAAGTCAAATTACATAAACACACATATGTATACTATATATATACTTGTATGTATGTACATACATCGTGTGTATGATATTCGATATAATATTTGAATTCATAAGCCTGAACCAATAACATTTTCAACCACCAGTCTGCAGCAGAGTTCGCAAATTCTAGAATTCCTAGAGTATATGTAAATCGATGTTTTTATGTGCCAATAAAGTTAAATAATGCATAACCATTTACTAGGAATATATCTATATTTATTTCTATAAAAATATGTTTTGACATAAATATTTATTTGCACATTCTTTGCGCCCACTCTCTTGTCGACCCTTAAGTGCATTTGAAGAGCACAAGCGCTAAGAGAGAATATCGGCATTCTCTGAATATTCGTTTGAAATTATGAAGTTCGATCGATTTCATGAACTTTTAATGACTTCGCACAAATCGGTTGTGCGCAGACGCAGCCCACTTGATGACAAGAAAAACAACAACAAAACAACAACAACAACAGGAGCATCATCAGCACCCAGCAATGGCAAAGTGTAGCTTGGGGCGCTCGTGCTGCTGCTTCGATCAAACGATCGACGGACCGATCAACCGATCAACCGATCGGCGCCGTCATGAGCATCATAGGACGCCATGGCTTGTCGGCCAAATGGGAGCAGCGTCGTTTAGCAGCGCTTAGCGCGAAAATTAGTAACAAGTGCGCTCAGTTCACGACAAACTCGAGCCCAAACTCAAACGGTAGTGGCAACAGCAGCCACAAAATATTAATACAACAACAACAACAACAAATAAACAGGGCACGAGGCAGTCCACCGTCGGTGGTTGGTGCAGGACGGGGGCAGGGCTATGGCGAATACCTAATGACGACATGGCCGCTGACTTTGCTGCTGGTTGGTGCGGTCGAGCGATCAGCAATGAGCTTTGGCTTAGGCTAGCCGTCGGTAGCCGGTCGACGGCGACGAAAAACACGGCGCCAAGTGTTTGTCAAATGATCGCTACATTGTGGTTAAGATTGTCAAGTTGACTTCGACGTGGACGCCGCTGCCGTCGCCGTCGCCGCCACAAAACCAACAAAAACGCAGAAAACCCGTTTGACGACCTTGGATCATAAAAACTTTTAAATAGATGTGTACAAAGCGACGCGACGGTCGAAACCAAAGCAAACAAATGCTAACAAACATTTTGAACTTGCTCGGAGCCTCTACAGAGCTGTAGAACGACAGGGGGGCGGGAGAGAGGGCCATAAGCTTGGATGCCTTAACGGTACTACGTTGAGGCGCAAACATTTCACGCATTTCCTAAAAATACATGCATACATAAATATGTACGTGTATGTGTAGATAGCTGTGGACCCTCGCAAATTTTAATGCCTCCACACGCCAGCGGTCCAGCTCCGGAGCCCATGGAGTGCGTCTCTAATATAAATATTTGAAATATTTGCACTTGTTGTCAGGGCCTGAAATATTGGGCCAGCGTCGCAGCCACGGGTGATATTTATTTATTTTGTTGTTGCCTTTGCATTTTTGGCAGGCGTAGTGAAATGTTTGACAGCCCACTCGCTGCGCACATCCTTCTGCATATCCATGGACGTGTCTGGACAGTGGCGACGTGCCTGCAGCGCCAGCCTCAGCACCAGACACAGGCAACTCGGATACATAAATGAGATATATTTCCATTCATTTGTTTTATACATTTTTTCCTCCAGTTTTTGGCTGTATTCGGGTCAATAGCTGACCAGGCTCTCGCGCATAGTTGCCAAGCTTTGCCAGCTAGCCATTTCTTTTTCTAGTTATTTTTTTTGGCACAAAGCATTTACGCAATTTTTGTAGTCATAGGGGTGTGAATTTTGAAAGGGGAGTGGAGTGTGCGGACCCAGTGGGGTGCCCCTAAGTTACAAGTAATTTTAGTCATAGATTATCTTACCAGGCATGTGCATTTGAAACACTTTGAGTTCTTAATGCCTTGTATTTGCACCTCTTCGCCTTCATTGGCACAGGATTGCATATCGCCTGGAAGAGAAAAGGAAATAAGAATAATGAGTATCGTAGAAAACATACTTCCTAGAAATTTCGTTAAAACGTATCTAATCAGTTATACTATTATGTTTGTGTTTAGAGATTAAAATCGCGCATCTGCAGTTTTGACCATTACAGAACAGTTTAACTTTTTTATATAAGTGACCAGGCCCCAAAAACGTTATTGGAGAACATAATGGTTGGTTCTAATAGTGATTATCTTAATCTCTGTTTTCACCAGCTTTGAAGCAAATATTTGATAATGATACTGGTGTGAAAATATACAAAATATTTAAACATTTTGTAAAAGAATCCACAGTTATTCTCTTGATAACAAAATTGGTTAACAAAGAAATGTTGCTTCCAAGTTCGTTTTCTAGTCCATTAGTTGTCGACATATATACAATATGTAGATATGAACGATCAGTTATGCCTACTTCTGCCTTTTGCATAATACATATTTTATTTAATAACCCCATTCTTTGACTGACTGGACTGGACTAAGGATAAGCTGTCAGTTTGGGAACCCACTGCTGCCACCAATATATGTATATAAGCAGAATCCAATAAAGTAATCTATCAAGATTTAGTTTAGTTTCGTGCATTTTGGTTGTCGTTAATAAAAATTAACGATTCAATTAATAAAATTGAAAAAATAATAAAGTAAATTGGTCTGCATTGTATAGGTGAAGGCTTATCACAAAAGTGTTTCCCGGATAGTAATAGAACTTCAAACAATTAGTGGCTATGTGCTTATGACTTAGTAATAAAATAAATAACAAATATTTCATTTTTATAACCATTTTTAAGCGCAAATAATGAGCAGCCGGAAATGCTCAATGACTGAGATGTTATCCACAATCAAGTGGGGAGTGCACAGCAAATGAGGACCGCATAATCCAACAAGCTGCTCAGGTCGGGCCATATTAAACCAGCACATATGTATGTACTTATATACACAGATTAGGCAGTTTTATCAGTGTGTGTAGAAGCAAAGAACAACATGGCATGGCAAGATCATAAAGCAACCATTTCTTGCCTGCCCCCTTGGCTCTTGGCGCTCCAAAGCGCCGTTGTGTGTCTCTTTCTTTGGGTTTGATTTTGTAGTCGAGTTCATTGTTTGGTTTACCTTTTGATTGCTTTTGCCCTCGCTGCCTGGCCAGAAGTGGCGCTAAGTCAAAGAAGCGAGCGCAGCATGTTAAACATGCCCAGAACAACAAAGCAACGGACGATACGAACGGAAACGCCATAGCGGCGATGCGACCTGAATGGCAGTTCCCGAGACCCAGAGCGAGTCCGGCCCAGTCCCAGTAATATACACTTGAACAAGAATCGAGTTTTCAATTCCCACATATAGTATTAAGCGTAAGTAGTATACCAAATATTTTAAAAACATAAACAAAATTGCTGACTAAATAAATGAAATTAAAGTATATCCTAAAACTCCCAAATTCCGTGCAACTATATAAGATTTATTTATGATCTTGGCCTTTTTTAAAAATCGGTAAACTGTTTAATTTCTTGATTTAGATTTGAATAGTTAAAAAGTTAATGAAAAGAAAATGAAATCTGCTGAAATCAAAATACAGAATAGGTATGAACAACTCGAAAATAAATAAATTTGTTAACAGTTTATCTTTATCAAACGCTAAAGAAGTTCCTCTTAAATGAATTTTAAATATATTCAATAGAAATACTTTTTCTATTCATGTTTTGGAATGGTCCTGTGTCTGCAGTATCTTCTATATACATAGTTAAAAGTTGCTACGCTATTTTATAAATCTAAATTTATATATTCAAGTATAATACTAAAAAGGTCGATTGTTGTTAATCCATAACATTTGAGCCCTTCATGCCTTTTAATTTCTATCCTCAGCATTTTCCGTACATCCAATTAAATAATATTCATGTTTTGATAAGGAATTCGATTTGATTTTCCAATAAAGATTTAACAGGGCCTTACAAAATGAAATTGATTTCTTATAAAGGCGATAGCATTTTTTTCACAATATTTTTGATGTACATCGATGGTTTGATTATAACAATAAGCAGCATACTTTCGTGAGTATTTATTAAAACAATTAGAATATTTTATTATATTTGTTTTCCTTTTAAACTGATCGTTTGGAAAACCTATTCGAAATTTTTAAAGACTGTTCTATGTCAAGTCTAAGCCGCTATTACGATGCTAAGGTAGTACTATATATATATATATATACTATATATTTACTTATATTTTTTATGTAGATGTATTTTTTATGCAACTACACTGTTCTTTTACAGTAGAAGCGGCTCTAGTTTCGAGGGTGTTTACTTATTGGCTGTGAATTAGAAAGGACTGGCATGTCAGCAATCATTTTTAAGATTCTTAACCACTAGTTTCTTCAAGTGTTGTCGCAGTCACAGACCCGGCGCTACCAACAATAAGAACAACAATAGCAGCGGCAGAAAGGACCACCTGCAATGTGCTGATAAACACACAAAACGAATGACTCTGTGTTCGCTGATAAATGCAGACGCCGGCGCTACCCATAAACACACAGATAGTCACACACACATAGACAGACACACACACACACAGACAGAGAGACAGACAGACAGATAAGCGCTGCCTCATTCTTGTAGAATGCACCAAAATTGTCTTGAGAACGCCTCTCGGCTCTCCAGAAGAATGCTGGGCTACCTTTTTGTCTTTTTTTTTTTGTGAATCATCTGTGGGCGGCTTGAGGGTTACGTTTACGCCACCACTTCACATTATCAATGTTGTATCTGTATCTTTTGCCTCAAGTGCCTGTTGGCCAACTACTTTTCAACATAATTTGATCGCTTGTTTGTACAAGTATAAGTATGTTTGTTTGCTTGTTCGTTCGCTTCCCTTTGATGATGATGATGATGTTGCTCGCTTTGTTGTTGCAGCTCCTGCTGCCGACTCTTTTGGGTTTGGGGCGCAGCTTGTCGTGTTTCCTGTTATGCGAAAGTGTCCTGCTGTGTTTTTTTGAAGTTAAGATGCAACCGATATGGTAGCTGCCTCGCAGACCACCTTTATTCAGAAACAAAACGGGGCGCATGTTTCTCATGCCTAATTAAGTGGAAATTTTTAAGTGACCGCCAAGCGAGTTTTAGTTCTCCCACACTTTCTACATTCTACAGGTATACTACATATACAAGTATGTGTTTATGTAGGATTTTATGTGTGTGTGTGTGTGTGTGTGTTTGTTCTTGGTTCCCATTCTCTTTTGTCTCGACTATTTGATAGTTAATGAACAAAGTTCAAGTAACCCGATATCGAAATTGCAATGTTTCTAATTTATGCACGACACACGGATTTTTATTTTATTTTTTATTTTATTTTATTTAATTTAACACTCGAAACCATAAAAATCCACTCAATACGTTTAGAAAACAAAAAACCGATGACAACAAAAAAAACTCAGCCAGTAGCTTGGGAGCCATTCAAAAAGGCAGCGACGCCGTTGGCGTCGGAGACGGTAATTCCGACTCTGACTCTGAACCTGAAGGTGACAGTGGCGACATCGACATATAGTAGACATAGACATCGACGACGCTGATTAATCACAGATACAGATTAAGCGCCAGCGAGGCACGTGTGCGGAGGAATGCGGCGCACGGCGCCTGACAACAGAACAGAACAGAACCGAACAGAACCGAACAACCGCTTTAAATCCAAATGCAAAACTAATGTCAGGAACACTGAGGTAAAGTCTCAACAAGTTCATGGTTGTGTGTGGGCGAGGCAGACTCAGATTGTCAAAAACAAAAACGCGTTAAGATCGCATAACGCATACAGTAAGTCTCTTTGTCCGATGGCTTAGAGACGCGGCAATTAAAATCTATTGGCTTATAAATTGATTACAGAACTTTGGTTCTGTTTTTTAATAAGTTTTTCATTTAGATGCACGTAATCAGAAATTAACTATGAAGAAAAAACATATAAATAAACTGGAAAGCAGAAACGAAATTCAATCATTAATTAGAAATCTCCACCTTATAATTAAGAAAAAATATACCTAAATATGTGAAGAAGATAAAATATTATAATTAATTTATAATAATAATAATGAAAAGCCGAGTGCTGAAAAATCCTTGTTAGTAGAATAACTTTCTATATTTACAATAAGGAGCATATCAGTTCTTTATAATGCCTCGAATTATACAAATTTGGCGCTACTTATCATGAATATATTTAGACTATTGTATCCAATATTTCTATGTGTATCACAATCTTTTCATAATACATACAACGCATATGCCTAAAATAGAAATGATACGGACGATCGCATAAATTTAATCTCTTAAGTACCACAATCACTGCTAATTTTATTCTGTTTGATGTGATTAATAAAAATTATAGATTCCGGATAATGAATGCTCACCTAATAGGCTCTCGCCAGCTGTAACCAATTCCAGCTGCATTTGAATCGTGGCCAACACGATCAGTGTAATAATTGTGGCTAACAAGTGGCGGCTATGGCCATGACTTTGAAGGCGAAAGTTTTGCACTTTAGTATGAGTTGTTTCATGGATCAGGAACTTGACTGCTGGTGCTGGTGCTTTTGTTTTTGTTTTTGCTGTTGTTGTTTTTATTATTGTTTTTGTTGTAGTTGCTGCTGTCGTCAATGGTGGTTGTTGCTGCTGCTGCTGCTGCTGTTGTTGCCGTTGTCGTTGCTGTTGCTGGCCACTTGAAGACATACAACATTGCCACTTACCGCCTGATTTGCAACACATTTTCACAATTCGATGGCACAGTTCCACAGCAATATGCACAAGTTTTGACAACGGCTCTCCTTATATATTTATAGGTATACTATGGTGTTGTTGTTGTTGTTGTTGTTGGTACGTTTGCTCTTGAAATAATGCTGAAAAATATGAGAAACATCATGCTGATTAGTTAAAAATACACACGGTGTGCGCCAAACTATAAATTTGTTTAGAGATATTGCAGGTGTTTGTTTGACTTTGTTTGCTATTTTTGGGCCTGAGATCAATTTGAAATTGGCGGGTGCGATGAATAAGAGTCAGTCTGTCAGTAAGGAGGTGTAGCACATGTACATACATACATACATACATACATATGTGTGTACTTTGACTCTATGGGGCGCTATCTGAAGTAAATCTGGGCAAGAGCTATTAGCATTGGCTTTGAGCATCTTTTGCACTTGCCGCCAAATGTTTTGGCCTGCGACCATAAAGGCGCAGTAACTCATTTGTTTTCGAGTTTTATGACGGTGCGTATCAAGATAAATCTGTACGGGATATTTGTATAGCTATTTTAGTTCTTTCACAGAATTCTACGAATCACGTCTGGACGAGCTCGTGTCGGCACGGTGGCGGTGCCGGTGTCGGTGCCGGTGTCGGTCAGCATCATCGATTTCGCACGTACACCCTAGAGAGATTGAAATTCGCTGCCTTATCTGCGACTATACCTACCCCAACCACCCGAAAGGTGCTTCAGTATAGTCGCATATGTCTATTTGTCTAGTTTTCGGTGTTAGGTGTTAGGCAACTTGGACATTATTAGTTGCGATTTATGAGTGTGTTTGTCTGCGTACCTGTGTGCCCGCCCAACTCTGAAGTCGGACGAGCTGACGACTGACAGATATGAACACTATGTGTGGTGTTCTTTCTTGTATGCCGGGTGGTCATAAAAATATTAATGATTTTTGACTGGCGCCAGCCAATATTGTAATGTTTGTTTGAGTTATAATTAATTTCATTTTTTTGTACAAAAAAGGCATTTTGCCTACAGAAGATGTGTATGTGTGTGTGTGTGTGTGTGTGCGTATATAGCTCTCATAATTTTTATTATTTGTCTTGTTGAGCGGTTCGAGAAGAAGAAAATAAAAAACCAAATCAAATTTGCCAAAGTTTATTGATTTCTTGCATCAAAGTGGCGCCAAAGTTCTCCGAATTCATGTTAAAATCAAACGAACAAAAAATCACAACACGGATGCATACATAGCTCGGATGAATCAGCTTTAATTATGTACGAAATATGTATAACCGCGCCCAATTGCTGCTTTTGCATTTGCATTTGCATGGAGAGATGGAGAGTATACGAGTAGTAACCCAAATCGGTGCTTGACCTAAGATTTCTACATACATATAATTAACACCCAATTATAATAAAAACAAAAAGTGTCGCATTTCATGATAACAAGCTGTACATAGATTGGCATGTATAGTATACATATGTACTTGTATATATTTGAATGCATGAGGTATATATAAACTTCTGCAATTGATAAGAGACACAAAAATATACATAGACATATGTATGTATGTATGTATACGACTTATATGTATGTACTTGTATGTATGTATTTGCGAGTATATGTGGAAATATAAGCCGGTGAAATACGTGACAGCGCGCAATGCGAATTTGTATTGCAAATGTACTGATTAGCTTCAATTAGTCAGTTGACAAGGACAGTACACAGATCCGTCGACTAATTGTGTGTAGATTAATAAAAATACTCTACAAATAACTAAAACACATGCCACTTCAATTGAAAATGTGCATTTTTGTTGATCATTTTAAAGTAAAGGAATGCCTAACAAGCCAAATCTTTAGATGACTTTAAAATCTGAGCTAGCCTGTTGGATTATCTTCTAAATTATCGAAAAGATAGCAAATTTGAGCGATGACTTTTATTTATAGTGATATTTATTTATTTCAAACTTAATGCAGCTTAATTTTCTGATATTGCATTTTTCAGAAATTAAGCAATCTGCATTGATTTACAAAGAAAATAATCAAATTGTATCGTTTCTATCTGGAGTTTAAATTGAACTGCAGAACAAACATACTCTGTCGATGTTATTTTAATTTACTTAACTTTTTTATTTCCAATAACATTTGAGCTGTAAACTAATATTTTCTCAGATTCTCTATGGGATTGAGTTCTAGATTTTTCCTTACAAAGGCCACCTTTTGTCGATTTTCAAAGTGTATTTAGACTCAGTAGAATACTCAAGTGCAAAGTGTATTTATCTCCTTTTAAGCTCAGCTCATTAAATTTATTAAATAAACTAAATTAAAAACATTTAATTGTTATATATTTTTTATATTGAACTGCAGAACAAACATACTTTCTTGCTGTTATTTTAATTTATTTAATGTTTGATTTTTCCATAAAATTTAATTTCACTTGTAAACTAATATTTTCTCAGATTCTCTATGGGATTCAGTTCTAGTCTTTGTTTTCTCGATTTTCAAAGTGTATTTCGACTAAGCAGAATACTCAAGTGCAAAGTGTATTTATCTCCTTTTAAGCTCAGCTCACTAAATTTATTAAATAAATTAAATGAAAAACAATTAAATTGTTATATATCTTTCATATTGAACTGCAGAACAAACATACTTTCTTGCTGTTATTTTAATTTATTTAATGTTTGATTTTTCCATAAAATTTAATTTCACTTGTAAACTAATATTTTCTCAGATTCTCTATGGGATTGAGTTCTAGTCTTTGTTTTCTCGATTTTCAAAGCGTTTTTCGACTCAGAAGAATACACAAGTGCAAAGTGTATTTATCTCCTTTTAAGCTCAGCTCACTAAATTTATTAAATAAATTAAATGAAAAACAATTTAATTGTTATATATCTTTCATATTGAACTGCAGAACAAACATACTTTCTTGCTGTTATTTTAATTTATTTAATGTTTGATTTTTCCATAAAATTTAATTTCACTTGTAAACTAATATTTTCTCAGATTCTCTATGGGATTGAGTTCTAGTCTTTGTTTTCTCGATTTTCAAAGCGTTTTTCGACTCAGAAGAATACACAAGTGCAAAGTGTATTTATCTCCTTTTAAGCTCAGCTCATTATGAGCTTCAATCCTATAAATAAACTCAACATTAGTAACTATTTTAGTCATGAGTGGCAGCATTCGGAATCTTTTAATTTTTACTTAAATTCAAGTACACATGCGAGTACAAGAGTCTCAAATGTAGTGCTGAGTCCCAGCATTTATGATTGTGCTATAAATAATAATAATAAGCTTGGACAAGCATAAATACGAGTATAGTATTAATTTTAACTACGCACATTTTCAAGGGCTGCCATTGAAGAGTCAGTCGACGATGGCACTGATTGTTAGAGTACGCACTTAATACTTGCGTCTTGAGCGCTTATCGGACGGAAAGCCATGGTCGTGCCCCATGTGCGGGCCCTCATCCACAATTTCGAATTCGGCAAGCGGCCAAAAATGGAGGTTGTTGAACGTTTGAGTGGCGTTTCGATAAACAGGCGAGCAAGTAAGCTCGATCTGCACTCGAGCGGCAAGTGCTGAGTGCGCGTCGCACTTGACGCGATCGGCAAGTGGGCGGCCCTAGAGAAGGTTTAGGCTAAAAATAGCCACTAAACACATGGGAGCAATTTGAGAGTAAAATTAGTAGTAATTTTAATTTGAATCAAGTTCCTATACTATACTCGCATGCTCGTACGTTTGGCCTTAATTGGCAAGCCAACGGCATTACGCTTGCGCTTACCCCTGCGTCGACGTCGATGTCGACGTTAACGTTGACGTTGGCGTTGGCGCCGACTTAGTCGTGCCAATTAAAAGCGCCTGAGGCTAAATGCCACCGACCTGTCGCCGGTCGCCGGCCGCCGGTCACTGATTATACGTTTCATATGACCGGACCTGGACGGAACGCCGCTTTGGTTTCTAACGCCAAAGCCGACATGGCGTCAACAGCATCAATTAAGTTAAGCGCCCCAGTCCCCAAGTATGGGCTACATGTCCAGCCCAGAGGTCGCGCACAGTAGGCGTGCATTTCGTGCCCCTAGGGGGCTACAACTGCAAGTGCAAGTGCAAGTGCAACTGCAAATTGCCGCAGTGGCAGCTCTGAAGGGGTTAACAATTGCGTTTATGGGCTGTGGTAGTGGCCGATGGGCAATGGGCTGTAACGTGACGCAGACTGTGTCTAGACCAGTCTAATGATGCGTGGTGGGTCGGCCAGCGAAGAAGGCTGCGTGCCCGCATATCACACCTTCAATCAGCACAACTCAAATTCCACTTAAAACTTGGCCATTAAGAGCGGCAACTTGGCAGGCACGTCACTGCTGCCGCACAGTGTATAACACCATATGTATGCATTTATATGCATAGGAATACGTTCAAGAATAGGCAACAAAACGAAAAGCCACCTGCTTAACATTATTATCCTTTTCTATGGGTTCCTTTAGCTGCTAAGCCATTTTGATAAATTATATACAATTTGAAAGGTATACTAATACAATGGTGTATGCCTATTCACACTCTCGCTAAAAGCAATTTGTTCAGATCGTACGCAATAGAAATTAGCGTTGGGACTAACATCGATTTTTAGTTTAAAGGTGGCATCTTCTAATCTTTGCTGGAATCATTGTAAAAATTTCGAGTTGATTTTAAATAATCCGTTCAATATCTCAGAAGTAATTTTAGTTTCTTCATGTCTTAGACTTCTTTGAGTCAATTGTGGAATATGCTTTTAAAATAACTAATTGACAACTATAGTTGATCCAAATATAATTTAGGCATGAGTGAAAAAAATATTGACTTCGATGTAGTAAGGGCATAGCTTTATAATCAGTTAGTAAACTATTCAGTTGTTGTTTGCAGAAAAGGCTTTATCTTCGCTAAATCTAAATTTCCCCATCCGGTTGAAGGCCTTTTGCCATAAACTTATTGCTTAATTAATAAAAGTTACGCCAATTAAATAGAAAATATAAATATAAATATAAATATAATAAATATAAATCACCAATGTTGCTCTTTTCGAAGCTGTATCCCAGATATACTATTCTCGTAGTAACCAATATTTTGAGCATATTTATAGTACCGTGTTTTAAGAAACCATTCTTTAGATAGTAT